TGTCACTGTTCACTGCATCAGCCTGGCAGGCTGGCTTGCGGTCTGGGGACTCTCTCGGTTACCTCTCATTTTGCTGCAGGCGGGCTAGGGTTAGAGATGCACGCTGCTGGATGTGGTTTTACGTGAGTCCTGGGGCTCCCAGTTCAGGTCCTCATGCTTACCCGGCAAGTGCTTTTCACACTGCGCTGTTTCCCCAGCTCTGTCCTCCTCAGAAGAAACTCCCTAGTACATACACCCCTCTCCCCAGAATGCCAGACGGTCACAGGAAAGTAAAGCAGCAGGCTTTCTGTCCGAGGTATGCCACAGGTAAAGGTCTCAGCCAGCGTCCTGTTTAACAGATGCCTACAAAGTACCATCACCATGCTGTCTCATTCACTGCTCAACCCCTGGCACCTGGCACACTACCCTCATGCTGGTACCTAGCAGCCATCTGCTGAGTGGTCAAGTATCCACAGCTCTGTCAGAAGTATCATGGGTTCAAAGATTCAGAAGCCCTGGCCTCGGGGGGACTCACAGCACCGAGTGGACGGGAGGCAAGTGTCCAGGAGAACACTGGAGGGGATGGATGACGGCAAGCTTTTACCGAGCACTCACTGTCCACACTGTGGCACCGGGTATTTGGTGGCTATTAACTCATTTGATGCTGGTAGCAGCCCCCAAGATGCTGCTGTGACTAGTTCACAGGGGAGGGAGCAGGCGTGCTCAGAGGCTGGTTCAAGACCACACAGGCACAGGCCCAGCCTGCATGGGGACCGTTTCTGTCTGGAACCTCTCAGTCTGTCATGTTGCTCCCCATGAAGTGTCTCCCAGTTCAGGCAGATAGTTTATTTACATGGGTTGAAAAAGATATCCCCAGGCTTGCCCAGGGGGTCCTGATTTGGTGGGTCTAGATACCCCTGGGTCTTTAGAGGTCTCCGGATTCCAGTGTGCAGCCTGAGCAAGAACCACCAGTCTAAACCAACCCACACCCGAGAGCATCACTTGGCTAGCAGCTGGTAAACAGCTGTGCCCTCAGAGGATGGACTAAGGCCGAAGCTGCCCATGTGCGCCACAGAGGTCCCTGCAAGGACTCATTCTGGGCTGGCAGGTGTGCTGAGGCGGAGCTTTGAAGAACTGGCAGAGGAGGGTATGCAGGGTGCGATTTGGGGCCGTCTCCTGCTCTCCGCCTCAGGCCAGTTTGCTTCAGAAGATGTCAGCCACAGCTGGAAGGTCCCTTCTTCAGCAAGCACCCAGTCACGGGAGAAGAGGAACATGTGGGAGACCGATTCAGAGTGTTCGCTGAGCAGCTCAGTGTGAACCAGAAGGAGGGCAAGCTGAGTCCCCCTGGGCCCAGGGCTCCTTGGGAGCTGGGAAGACAGTTCTGAGCCAGGCTTGGAAAGCTGGAAAGGGTGGGCCTGGAGCGAGAATGGGAAGAGGAGGTAGGTAGAGTGCAGTGGGCTGGTTAGCTGGTGTTGAGGGAATAGAACAGGGTGGGACATGAAGTCTTCTGGAGCAGTGTGCTGAAGACAGGCAAGCATTGTGAGTGGGGAGATGGCTGTGATTAGGAGAAGCCTGAGGCAGTCAACAGGCATGCCCTAGCTGTGGTCTGCCTCACCTCCGCTCTAGTCCTGGTGAGCACTTGGAGGGAGACAAGGGAAGAGCCTGGTCTACCAGGAGCCGAGCCCCAGCAGATGGAGACAGACACCACTGGAATGGCTCACACAGGGACTTTGGGAGGAGCCTCCAGGTTTCTGGGCCTTATGCAGAACCCCTAGGGTTCCGATGCTCCTCGGAACTCTGTGCTGTTGGGGCATTTCCTGTTTGCACTGCCACCGTGAACATTTAGCCTATGGCTAGTGGGACCAAAGAGCTGTCTTTGAAATGAAATGAAGAAAGCCACATGTGGCTCATGGCTCCTACCGCAGTGGACAGAACAGACCTAGACCCTCACTGTGCTTCATCCAGCTCAGGCTTCTGGCATTAGATGCCTCCTGTCATCCACATACTTCATCAGGCAGTTCATGCAAATTAACCTCATCAGCTGTTCACAGCCTTCTCTGAGGAAGCACCACCATCCCCACTGTATGGGGGACTCTCAGGACCGAAAAGGAGAAAGGGGCCAAGTGTGGTGGCCACACCTGCCATCCCAACACTAGGGAGGCTGGAGCAGGGATTATGAGTTGGAGGTCAACCTGTGCTACACCATAAAACCTTGTCTTTTAAAGGAAAACTTATGAAAAGGCCTCCCTGGAGGGGGGTAGAGCTGGATCTTAACCCAGGATCGTCTCCACTGTTGATGACCTTCCTTCACGGGGACATTTCCTGCTCCTGTATCCACTCTATCACTTGGACAGACTAGTTCTCCAACGGCCTCTTGCCATCCACGAGGGCACTCTAACTTGGCTTATGAAGTCCATCTCCATGCCTCGCTCTTCCATCTTTTCATTCCATGGTGACTGGCTGGCAGGCACATGACTGCTGAGCTTGGGTGAGGTGGGCAGTACGTGTGGACAGTCTCCTAATACTCAGAACTGTGGGGACAGTCAGCCGGTGACACACAGAGGAGCTGAGGGGTCTCGAGCAAAGCTGAACAGAGCCAGAAGATCTGGGGCAGGGTGTGGGGTGTTCACATTTCAGTTCTCAGCCACACAGCGCCCCAGTCCTGCCCCCAGTGCTTCTGGAGGCATCAGGACAGAGGACAAATGATTGCTTCTAGCTCAGGCTTCTAATTGTTGACAAACTACAGAAACTGTCCGTGCTCAGTGCACTCTGCTTGTTAAAAACACAGGACATGCCAGGCGGTGGTGGCGCACGCCTTTAATCCCAGCACTTGGGAGGCAGAGGCAGGTGGATCTCTGTGAGTTCGAGGCCAGCCTGGTCTACAAAGCAAGTTCCAGGACAGCCAGGGCTGTTAACACAGAGAAACTCTGTCTCGAAAACTCCCCCAAAAAACAACAAAAAAAACAAACACAGGACATATCTTCACCTGAATTCACTGGATCAACGACAAGGCCTGAGAACCTGCATTATAACAAAACCTACTTCACAGCTCGGGAGTCACACCTGCCTCACCCCCAAATCCCCACTTTCACTGGCAGACTTCTGTTCATATACTCTGTATACTGTTTACTTTTTCTGGTTCACAGGTGGACATGGCTTCTTTCTCCTCAGACTATGACAGGGCTCTCAACCCTAGCTACTCAGTAGAATCATCTGGAAACTTTTGAAAAATACTGATTGCCAGGCCCGAGCCCAGACTTGTTGACTTCAGTCTTTGGGGCCTTGGGCATTTTTAGGGGAGTTGGCTCTGCTGTACTGCCTGGGTTGAGGCCCTCCTCGTCCCTAGTGTCTCATGGCACCTACCTGTTTCTGCTTCCTGTCACTTATCACCTGTGTGGTCCTAAATGTAATGACTGCCACAGAAAACCCCTTTCCGCTGAATGAGACCTCCTCCTCTACATCACTTCAGCTTTATGGGCGCTATAATGTTGTCTCTGACTTCCAGAGGCTCTTTTTCTTTTCTATTTGTTTGTTTTTCAAGACAGGGTTTCTCTGTGTAACAGCCCTGGCTGTCCTGGGACTCACTTTGTAAACCAGGCTGGCCTCGAACTCACAGAGATCCACCTGCCTCTGTCTCCCGCCCCGTCAAGTGCTGGGATTAAAGGTGTGTGCCTCCATGGCCCGGCCCGAAGTCCGTCTTTCCTTCCTCCCTCCCTCCCTTCCTTTCTTTCCTTCCTTCCTTCCTTCCTTCCTTCCTTCCTTTCCTTCCTTCCTTTCTTTCTTTGTTTTTTTGAGACAGGGTTTCTCTGTGTAGCTTTGCGCCTTTCCTGGAACTCACTCTGTAGACCAGGCTGGCCTTGAACTCACAGAGATCTGCCTGGCTCTGCCTCCCGAGTGCTGGGATTAAAGGCGTGCGCCGCTACGGCTCTGCCGGAAGTCCTTTCTTAATCACCCTCATTTTTGCCGCTCTGGAGGAGCCTCTTCCTTTAGTGTGGCTCTGTCTGTCATGCCTATTAGAGGGAGCACTTAGCTGGAGCGAAGAGACCCAGAACTGCGGGTGGGGTGGGGTGCTGCCTGGGCAGTGGAAGAGCTCAGAGAACTGCACTTGCCAAGCTTCAGATGCCAGGCCAACCCCTGCCAGCTCCTGCTCCTTCTGTTGATAGCTCAGGGGCCAAAGAAACTCTTCCTGGATGGAACTCTGTTCCTCTAAAGCTTCTTGGTGCCATGGTGAACAAGTAGGAGCAAGCTTGATCTTTTGTCTGGGTTTTTGAGACATTCGAGTGCCGGAATCACAGGTGTGCACTGCTGTACCCGAGTGCTGGGATCACAGGTGTGCACGGCTGTACCCAAGTGCTGGGATCACAAGTGTGCACAGATAGATCACAGGTGTGCACAGCTGTACCGGGATCACAGGTGTGCACGGCTGTACCCAAGTGCTGGGATCACAGGTGTGCACCACTAGATCACAGGTGTGCACAGCTGTACCGGGATCACAGGTGTGCACGGCTGGATCCAAGTGCTGGGCTCACAGGTGTGCACATCTGGATCACAGGTATGCCCGACTGTACAGGGTAGGACAGGTCTGTTCTACAGTGGACTGTGAGACAGATGAGGATCCCACATGAGCCCTGTCTCCTTTTCTTCCTTAATTACTAGTGACCAGCGGGGCAGGGTGGTACATGCCTGTAATCCCAACTTTTGGGAGAGATGGAGGCAGGAGGATCAGGCATTGAAGGCCACCTTCAGCTCTGTAGTGAGCTCTAGGCCAGCCTGGACTACAAGTGTCCCTGTCTAAGTGACCACTGGACAAGGCCACCTTTTAGGAGGCCAGCGGCTCCCTGCCTGTCTCTCTCTCCCTCAAAGCCTGCTGCTAAGAAAGATGAACTAATTAATGTGAGGGACCTCAGGGGTGCAGTGACTCTGTCTTGAAGAGGGGACTTTGACTTTGGGGGACACACCTCCAAAACTTACTTGAGAGGTGCCGGTTGAGGTTCTCACATGTCCCCCTCTGCCCCTGCCAGATGTGGATGAATGTGTGGAAGGGACTGACCATTGCCACATTGATGCCATCTGCCAGAACACGCCACGGTCGTACAAGTGCATCTGCAAGTCTGGCTACACTGGGGACGGTAAACACTGCAAAGGTGAGGCTGGGGGTGCCTGCAGGCAGTGGGGGCGAACGCTGGTGCCCAGGGGCTGCAGCACTGTTCTCAAAGGCCTGCAGTCCCCATGGGCCAGGGCAGGCCGATGCATCTCCCCAGAGAGCACAGTGTTCTGGTGTGCTTCAGACACTGCACAGACCAGCTGGAGTGCTGGGGGGAACACTCCATAGCCCCGTGGTCCCATAGCTGTCTGGAGTGGGCACACCTCAGTCACAAAACGAAGGCCTGAAGATCCCCGCAGCAGAAGCCTCTACTTGTACCCTTCAAATCAGGCTCAGAGGATGGGACCGGTGTGCCCCAGTGGGAATCCACCCACAAACAAGCATATCTTCTGCTATAATTGAAACACTGCAAAGTAGCCTAGGAACAGTGTTCTCGGGGTGTGACCCTGAGTACCACTGAGGCTTCAGTGGACAAGGTACATGTTACTTCTTGTTGGCAGAGTAAACTGAGAACTACAGTTGCCCCCCCAGGACCTGAGGGGTATTGGTTCAAGGATGACACCCCTTCCCAGCAATACCACAATTGAAAAATATTCAAGTTCTCTATCTAAAATGGCATAATTGAAACCGTAGACGGCACAGCTGTTTGCGGATGCTCCTCAGCCTCCTCCGGTGTACTCTCTCTCTGTGCACAGACGTGGATGAGTGTGAACGGGAGGACAGTGCAGGCTGTGTACACGACTGTGTCAACATCCCTGGCAATTACCGATGCACCTGCTATGATGGGTTCCACCTGGCGCATGACGGGCACAACTGCCTGGGTGAGCAAGGGAGTCTTGGCGGTCCTTTGGCAGGGAAGGAGGGAAAGGGGGTCAAGAAGAGCTGAATTCTTTCGAGAGCGCATGGGCCGCCTCCACTCTGAGGTGCTGCTGCTGGCCCAAAAGCGTTAGAGGAGGCGCCGCTCTCAGGCGAGGGCCAGGGGATGAGAATGGTGGGCTTAGCTCCGTGCATGGGGAGGATGAGTTAGCTCCAGACAAGCCCTGGTTCTTTAGAACCTGTGGGGCCTTGAGCAAGTGAACTAGCCTCTGGGGACCTTCGACTCCTCATCCCTGAGGTGTTAGTACCCTTCTTTGGGGCTGCTGTGGGAGGGGGGTGGCTCGTCACGAGAACGTGTGTGAGAGTGCTTTGCGGCTTCGGCACAGAGCAGGCGCTGAGTGGACAGGAGCGCTGTTGCGGAGAGCTGGCCGTTCCCCTCTGGGCCCTGCGGCCTCTGCTCCTCAGGGCTAGTTTTGTCCCCACCCTTCCTGTATTTAGTCCAGTTCTGCGCCTCCGTCTGCCTGACGTCCCTTGTCCCAGGAGCTCTATTACGGATGGAATCCCTGGGCCACTGAACTCAGCTTCAGTCTGTCATTTCTGAGAGTTACTCAGACCAAGTGAGATTTCCCCTAAGTAGAAAATCTGGTGTACAACAAGATTTGAGATTTGAAATTCTCTCCGCTTTCTCTTTGCTTCTGTGAGAAGGGAGAATCAGCAAAGAGGGAGCAGGGATGGCCAGATGACTTGTCAGATGCCCCATGGCCTAGGAGCCCCCTTACTGCAGAGGTGCATGTGAACATCACTGCCACCCTTCTACCCAGGTCCCTGGCAGGCCCTTCCCGGTAGCTGTCTTCCCCATGCCCCTGCTACTGTGGAAGGACTTTCTCTACCCTGTCACCCAGGGGACTCTGTAGGGACAGGACTGAAGCACTGGGTACAGGCGAGGGGTGCCCATGGGACTGAACGTCAGCTCCAGTTCTTTGACCTTTCCATTGGGTCTTTCTAACACCAGTTCTCACCAAGAACTAACCATAGAGACGAGAGAGGAGAGAGAGAGAGAGAGAGAGAGAGAGAGAGAGAGAGAGAGAGAGAGTGAGTGAGTGTAGGTACCTGAGAGGGCCAGAGTTACAAGAGTCTGATTAAGGTGCAGATTCAAAGCCTCGACAATCCCTTTAACTCTTAGGGAACGCTTGAGAAAACTGTTCATGTTGTGGGCCTCAGTTTCCCCAGGGAAAAGTAGAGGATGGAGGGCAGTAGCAGCATAGAGATAGAGTCAAGATACAGAAGTGAGCTCTTAGGGTGAGCTTGGCTGCAGGGGTGGTGATTTGGGGGCACCCTATTGTTCCTGCCCTACCGTCCAGGGTGTGGCCTGGCCACCTTCCCCACCCTTCCATACCACACTGCCAAGCTTTGTTTTGGTAAACCAAAATAGGAGAAAATCTAGGGACTGTGGCAATGAGCCCAGGCCGGGGTGGGGGTGGGGGGTCGGGGGTTGTGGCCTGTCCACAGAAATGGCCCTTGCCTCATGAGGACTTGTGACTCAGCGGCCATTCTCACTATCTTCAGCTCCACAGCCATACTGCTGTCTGAGGCCAGAGCCATTTCCAGGTTCCCTGATTTCCTGGCTGTTCATCACAGCTAGCCGCCACTCCTGGTCCGCCATTGCCGGCCAGTGTGGCTAATCTCCATCCTTTTACCAATGCCCCTCTCACTCGGGCCCCTCTCCTGACCTCTGCACTCAGGCCCATGAAAGGTTATGTGTGTAGGCATGTATATTCTGTGTACCACACGCCTGAGGTGCCTTTGGAGGCCAGAAGAGGACACTGGGTTCCCTGGAACTGGAGTTACAGGCAGTGAGCCGCCATGTGGGCACTGGGAATAGAACTCAGGTCTTCCGGAAGAGCAGTCACTGCTCATAATGGCTGAGCCCTCTCTCCAGGTTTGAGGGGTCAAATCCAGTCTCTCTAGTGTGGGGGAGGGGTCCAGTCCTCACCGAGGCTGGCCAGGTTTGGATGCTCCCCCCCCCACCTGAGCTCCGCCCTACATGCCTCTTCACAAGTGATGGGGACCGCTTGCTAAGAGCGGGCTTACTTGCGTGTGGGGATGGGTTCTCCAGTCTGCCCTCAGTCCTGGGTGCTGCTGCCACAGCCCCGCCCGCAGTCACCTGTCTTGCACAGATGTCGATGAGTGTGCTGAAGGAAATGGTGGCTGTCAGCAGAGCTGTGTCAACATGATGGGCAGCTATGAATGCCACTGCCGAGAAGGCTTCTTCCTCAGCGACAACCAGCACACCTGTATCCAGCGGCCGGAAGGTCAGCCCACGGCCTGGGGGGCCCCAGGCTTCTCCGCCCGTCCCCTGACACCCCGTGTCTCACACCCTAGATTCCTCTCTGTTCCTTGACTTAGTCACAGCCTAAGGGCTCCACTCGTAGACACTGTAGTAGAGAAAAACTCTAGGGGATAAGTCTGGGATCGGGTCAGTATGGAACGGAGGCTCTTTGGGGCATTCTCTGGTCCAGCTGTGATGTGCATTCTTGTTGGTGAGCATTTGTCTGTAAGCTGCCTCTTCTCGGGGACAGCCTCACCACCGTCCCCTTCCATGGCCTGGATGGGGAAGACTGTCAGACAGAAGCGTGGGGTGTATGCTGCCTGCTCTCTCCTTCACTGGACTAGACATCCTGAGGACGATAGCCACGTCTAGCCTGCCTTTGTATCACATCACCTAGTGTGCTGCCCTGCCTGTGCTAGGAACTTAATAAAATTTGTGGCATAGTCAGGCGGTGGTGGCGCACGCCTTTAACCCCAGCACTCGGGAGGCAGAGGCAGGCGGATCTCTCTGAGTTCGAGGCCAGCCTGGGCTACAGAGTGAGATCCAGGACAGCCAGGGCTGTTACACAGAGAAACCCTGTCTCCCGCTCCCTCCAAAAAAAAGTGGCATAGAAATTATCTGTGCTGATTATTTCCCACTTTATCAGTCTGTGCTATCTATCTTCAGGTTTCTAGTCTCAGTGTAAGCTTTTTGAGCAAAGAGGTCCTGGTTTAGATTTTTCTGGGTCCTTCCTAAATTCTGAGCATCTCTGGATTTTGGTTGACCCTCATAGTGTCCTTAGCCCCAACTGGTCCCACCCCTCTGAGGCCTCCATGTGCAGATGGAGTACCACGATCTCCTCTTCCCTTTTTAGAAGGAATGAACTGCATGAACAAGAACCATGGTTGTGCCCACATTTGCCGGGAGACTCCCAAGGGGGGCATTGCCTGTGAATGCCGTCCTGGCTTCGAGCTCACCAAGAACCAACGAGACTGTAAACGTGAGACAGGAGGGCAGGGGAGCGGGGGACAGGCGGGTGTGGGGCCTCAGTGGCCCAAGAACAGGGATGGGAGGAAGAACAATGGGGAGGCATGGAGGCACACGGTGGCGAGGGACCTTCCCAGCCCTGCCGACCCGCAGCACGAGGGAAAAGCAGGCTGACAGGTCCCTTCCCTCTCTGTGCAGTGACCTGCAACTACGGTAACGGTGGCTGCCAGCACACGTGCGATGACACAGAGCAGGGTCCGCGGTGCGGCTGCCACGTCAAGTTTGTGCTCCATACTGACGGGAAGACGTGCATCGGTGGGTGAAGCCAGGGAGCGATGCAAGCCACCTGTGACTGGGCGGGGGAGGGCAGGGGCGGGCAGGGGCTGGGAGCTGCAGGGGAGGCGGACCCAGGGGGCCGGGTGTAGTGACTGTTGAGAGAATGAAGACCCCTATGGTGGCAGGTCTAGTGAGGGACAGCTCTGGGAGACTAAAAGGCACACTTGACCGTCTGCCCTCCCCAGGAGTCTCACCCTCCTCTTGCATTGCCAAATTAGGAACCATTAGCAGAAGTGCTGGTCAACAAGACGGGTAGGGATGGCTGGAGGAACTCTAGGGTGGTCAGCTGAGCAGCTGGCCCAGGTCCTGGCTGACTAGCGTGGTGAGGTGGGGACTGCCACAGCCCGGTGTCCCCACTGTGGTAGAGGCCAGGACATACTGCTTGTCCCTAGAGCAGTTAGCCGTGGGCTGACAAGTAGGGTGGCTCCAGGCACCGCTTCCTCTTTACCCCTGCAAATCCCCTTCCTACCCCTCGCCTGATGCCCCCAGGCCCACCTCCCACTCAGGCTCCAATGGTACTAGCCCCCCACTGTGCCTGTGGCTGCCACACCCCTCAGCTGCTACAGCCTTCCATCCCTCTGTGCCTGAAACCCTTCTGAATTCCTAGGCCTGACCGGGTCTCCAGATACCCTGAATGAGCTAATTCCTTAAAGTTCCCTTTCAAATTCCTTGTTGCTGTTTCTTCAGTGGCGAGATGACTGGACCGGGTATCCCCTTAGAGAGGTGGAAATGAGAGGAAGGACCTTGGCTAGGGGTGAGGCAGGGTCTCCAGCCAGGCACTGATGGGTGTACTTGCTCTGTGGGCATGGGTGTTTATGGAGATGTGCCCATCTGGTGGGCCACAGCAGGCTGGGGAAGGAAAGGTGAGCACCATTGCTCTGTGAAGCCCTGTGTGTCCAAGACGGATTCAGCTTAGGAACTGCTCAACCCCTTGCCCCTCCTCTTCACTTCGGCCACAGGACAGGGGAGCAGATGGGCTCACACAGGGCTGCCAGCACTTGCTCCAGATGTTGATGGAAAGTCCTGCTGTAATGGAATGCTCTCCTGCTCTGCTCGCTCTCTAACTCTTCCAAGACCTAAAACAGGTTCAGGTCTTCCTATTGCTTTCTCTGGCTGGGTTGTTCCAGCTCCTTTCACATTCTCCTGATAGGGCTAATTCATCTGCTTCGTAAACCTCCCACCACCCTTTGGACACACCCACATATCCCCAGATTCTTCTAGAAGAAACTGCATGTGGTCCCTAGGGAGAGGAGACAGGCCCACTGGGGAAGAGGCAGGGCTCCCTCTGGGGTTTGTGTTCGGATGCTCTCAAACATGGCTGCTGTGCTTGTTGAAAATGTCCTTATCAAGCTTGACATCTCTAACCCAAGACCCAGTGGCCCATCTGGGCAGCAGCGGCGGCATCCAGGCAGGACAGAGCAAATGAGGCGGTGCCTTTTCCATCCCTCTCCCTCTGCTCTGAGGGAGCTTACTTGCCTTGGCAGGAGGAAATGTCACTGGGGTTGCCAGGGCACTCAGAGTGGGGGGACTGGGAGTTTAGTGCAGTTGAAACAGAGGGATTTGGGGCGTGGCTGAACGCAAGGCTTGCCGTCTCCTGCCAGCTTTGCCTCTGACATGCTGTGTGGGGCTGGACCCACAGCTGCTCTCTGAGGCCCAGCCTCAGTTTTAGAGTCACTTGATGGGGGCCTGATTTCTTTGAGGGTAGCAGGCAGGACAAGGCTAATCTGGGGGCCCAGGGATCACCATGCGGGCTAGTGGTTTTTCCTTCAGGGCGGAGGGTACAGGTGGGCTGCGGTGGCGCCTGCCCCCCTCTAAACAGCTTCTTCACAATGTCAAACAGGGGAGAGGCGGCTAGAGCAGCACATGCCCACTCAGGCCGTCTCTAATGGTAAATATGCCTGCTCTCCGCTTGCTCTCACTGGCTTGCTAGGGACGGGCTAACCCGCTGGGGCTCCCACTAACCCGCATGCCCAGCAGGGCTCCCGTGGCAATGCAGGCACTAGACCCATCAGGGGTCAGGAAACCTGAGTCCCTCAGAGCTGGCCTGGGAACCTTCGTGCCAATTATCTCCCTGGTTCCTGTCATTCCTCTCCTTCCTCTCCCTACACCACCTTCTAACACCCCATCCCCTTCCCAGCCATCAGCACCTCTCTGTCACTGCATCTAAAGCCTCAGCCAGTGCCATCTTACCCATCATTCCCACTATGCCACTGAGATAAGGTGCATCAGAGTTGGGTGCCTGTCCCCTGTGGGTCATCCTTCTTGGGTTCCTGCTAGTACATCACCCAACAGCAGCTGCTGATCTCTGCCTGACATTGGGTTCAGCAGACCTGAGTTTGGATCCTGGCTCTGCCAGGCTCTTACCAGCCAGTCTCTGAGTCCCCATCTTCTCTGACGCTCAGCCCACTCTCCTGCAGGAGGAGGGAGTGACAGCCGTCCCCTGGGTGTGATGATTAGGACAGCATGTAGCATGTGGTCAGGGCCTGGCACAGGCTATGCCCTCCTGCCACCCTCCCTGCTCTGGGCAACTGTCCACTGCCTGGTGCAGCCTGGGGTGGGCACTGTGCCAGTTCTGTGCCCATCCTGGGTCCTCCAGAGGATCTACACACAGGATCTTGTCCAGGCCTTGGTGGCCCTCTTTCCACACTTCAAGCCCTTCTGGGGGGTGGGGGGACTGTACTTGAGCTCCTTGTGGTCTGGGGGAACCTCAGGGAGACCTCAGTGAGAGGAGAACCCACTGCGGCTGCTTCCAGACCAGGCATGCCAGGGACTGGTGGGCAGAGGTGGGCTTCTTTTAGAGCCCCGGTACACTGCCTCAGTGGTGACAAGGGCGGACCTGACATCCTGGTTCTGAGAACAGCTCTCCTGTCTTGCCCCATGGGGACCTTGGGATGCTAATGGGAGAGAATGCTTGGTGCCTCCAGGACAGGCCACGTCACTCCAGGCTCCCATGTCAGGTTCTGGTGCTCCTGGGGCTGGCGGCTTTCCCTTGGACCCCCTCCCCAAAGCAGCAAAGCAGCTGTTGAAATCTGTTTTCCTCCTGCTCCGGCAGACGAGGAGGGCTCTGAACTCTCTGCTGTGACCTTCCAACTTCTCTCTGGATTCTCCCTCTCTCTAGACACTCTCTTACACATTATCTCATCAGCAAAATAAAAGAACCAGCCAGCCAGCTTGTTTCCAGGTGGACGATAGGGTCTTGGAGGAGTTGAAGGTGGATGACCCAGCTTGGCTGTCTCCTCCGAGGCAGGGGTCAGGCCTTCAGTGTCAAGAGGGAGAGATCAATGGGCAGCCCTGTGTCTTGAGACACTCTTCCCACCAAACCTATTAGGAGACTGCCCACCGGGAGCCCCCCACCCCCAAGATGGGAGGAAACTGGTCTGTCCCTTCTGTTCCCTGGCGGGCAGACCACCCCCCCCACCCCCCCCCCCCCCCCCCCCCCCGCTTTCATCTCTCCTGCTTCCCCACCCCCCACCCCCTCAGCACATTCCTGCCTGACAGCTCCGGCTTGTACCTGCCTCACCGCTGTCCACCTTGTTTCAATCAAGTAGGGGGCAGGGATGTGGAGCTTGGCTGCACTTGTGAGGGGCTGGGCCTTGGGAGGAAGGGGAGGCTGGAGCCCAGGGCTTCTGCTTACTGCTTCTGCTGAACTCCAGCGAGGTGGGCGAGGCCTTCCCTCAGGCCCTGCTACCTGAGAGGCATTCTTCTAGGCCAGTAACCCCGTCACTACCCACACCTCCCTCACAGAGACCTGTGCCGTCAACAACGGAGGCTGCGACAGTAAGTGCCACGACGCAGCGACCGGGGTCCACTGCAGCTGCCCCGTGGGCTTCATGCTGCAGCCAGACAGGAAGACCTGCAAAGGTGAGGCCTGAGGACAGGCACATGGCGACCTCTGCCAGAGGAGGAGGTGGGGACAGAGACGAGAGAGCTCTTACCCGACCACACCTCCTCAACTCCCTTCTTACAAAGAAGCCAGGACAGAGCTAAGGGGCACCAGGGTCCAGCTGGCACTGTGCTGCCTTCCGGGCCTCTGCTCCCTCGGGACTCTCACCCTGTCCCTGTACTGGGGAGAAGGTACTGAATGAACATGGCCATCCCTGAGCTAGAAGGCCATCTGAGCTGGTCATGGGTGCTTTTTAACCTTTTGAGCCTGCCTTCCTCAGGTCTTCCCAGTGGCTCTGGAAGGGTATGTCCCTTAGAAAAGCTGTACTAGGGAGCGTTAGAAGCACCTACATGAGAGCCTGGCTGCGGGGTCAGAGCCCAGCTCCGTCTGCTCCAGTGCAGTGGCCCTGGCCGGCTTCCTCCATTGCACCTCGCTCACAGATGTGCTGTGGATGAACTGTATACAATCTAGTTTGTATACAGTCTGGCACGGGGGACCTTTTGGGTTAGGGTCACTGTGGTTTAAGTTCCCACACCAGCCATTGTACGATTTGTGGACCACGAGGGAGAAGGGGGAGGGCAGCCATTTTGAAAATGATGACTCATCACGTCTGTGTCCTCTGGTCAGGAGAAGTGGGGACTGGGAAGTAGTGCCCGGCGGGCGCCCTCTTTGTGTCTTTTGGCCCAACAGCTGCAGGAGGGGGAGGGCTAGGGCACCAGGTCAGCTCGCCGCAGTTGAGAGGTTTCCTGCTGGGAAGGACTGTTGACAGGTAGACTAAGAGTGAAGCCCCTGCCCCCTCCCTCCAGGAGTGGTGAGTAGCCTGGGTCCTGTCTGCCACCAGCTAGGGGAACTTGACCTCAGGAAGGAAGCTGTTCACCCGCCCCTCTCCCTCTAGTGCCAAAAGCTGCCAGGCTCTGAGTTTCTCCAGACCGCTGCAGTCCAGTCCCCTGCCTGGCCCCCGCTCCTCATCACAGCCTTTCTCTCTCTTGGAAGTCCTTTCTACCTAGGGTTCCTCCTCCCTGAAGGCTGCCCCTTGCCAGCAAGTCCCTTAGGCTCTCCATATAACCAGGGCCCCCGCTCAGCGTTCCTGCCCCAACCTTTATGACAGGAGTCAGGGATACGAAGGAGACCTATCGACAGTCTTGGGAAGGGCTATCAGCTGCAGAGTAAGGGACGTGGACCAGCCTGGAGTTCAGATGGCCTCCTGACCCCCTAACGTTCCCCAGACAGTTGTTCTCTGCTGGCCTAGGTGGTTCCTAGACTCAGCCCCAGAAGAAAAGGTGCTGTGGGGCCAGATGTCCTGACAGGAAGACATGGGGACTGACGGTGACAGCCAAGTTAAAAGGGGCACTCCAGGCCCCTCCCTGATCTCCTTGTCTCCTGTTTGCTCCTAGCCTTCAGTACTGTCCTCTGTTCTGTTCTGTCTGCCCCCTAGACATAGATGAGTGCCGCTTAAGCAATGGGGGCTGCGACCACATCTGCCGCAACACGGTGGGCAGCTTTGAATGCAGCTGCAGGAAGGGCTACAAACTTCTCATCAATGAAAGGAGCTGCCAGGGTAAGCAGGTTGGGGGAATCTTCTGGAGAGGCTCTTAGGTGTGAGAGCTTCCAGGATGCTGGAGTCTAAACAACTCCGTGGACATGGGCGCATCTGTACAGGCAGTGTTAGCCACAGGCAGCCAATGGTACTCCTTCCTCCTCAAAGACCACAGCTCCATGCTAGAGCACACAGCTTGGCAGGGGGTGAGAGAGTTTTCACCACAATCCAGATTCTTCCAGATGTGGTCTGCTGCAGCTCGGTCATGACCCACACGTTCCAGACCCTGACAAACTCCAGGCAAGGGTCACAGGGTGTTGGTCCTGCTCAGTCACAGATCTGGAGGCAGTCCAGGGTCTCCTTCAATGCCAAAGTCCTTCACCTGAGCATGGGTCAGACAGACTCAGGGTCTCAAACCCTTGCTCTTCCAGACATAGATGAGTGCTCCTTTGATCGAACCTGTGACCACATGTGTGTCAACACACCAGGAAGTTTCCAGTGTCTCTGTCATCGTGGCTACCTGCTGTATGGTGTCACTCATTGTGGGGGTAAGCCAGCAAGCTTCCCAGCCACCCCAGTCCTCAGCTCTCCGCCCTCCAATGTCTGGTGTCCCCGTGCTGGCTCATGGTAATAAGAAATCCCTGGGTGCATGTGTCATGTCTGCATCCAACATGATAAAAAAGCTTCCCCAGGCCAGCTGGCAGACAGGGCACCAGGGAACAGCACCCTGCCAGCAGGATGTTTATTTTAGGGTTTCATGAACTCCAGGCTGTAGCCAGAGGTGAGCCCGAACTCCTGATCCTCATGCCTTCACCTCCAAGGGTTGAGACTGCAGGCGGTCCCCCACCGTGCCCAGACCCTGCCTCCTGAATTCTACCCTCCATCCCCATCACTATTCCCAGAGACCCGCCCTCAGGCTCTAGCCAGTGAGAGGGTGAGAGCGGAAGGCACTGAAATGCTGCTCAAGTTGGCACCCGCTCAACAGCGTCTTTGACTAGGGATAGAGAGAAGAGGAAGAAGTTTGAGCTCTCCACAGGCCAGAGAACCCTTCAGTGTCTTTGTGAGACTATTTAACATGAGCTCTCCCTACCTGACAGATCTGTAAATACACACTGGATCTCTATAAGGTATTCCCTCACCTTGCATAGCTCAGTGTGTCTAGACACTTACCAAAGGTCCTCACTTGGGGCCCAGTCCTGGCTCCTCCTCCTCCACCACCACTGCCAGTCTGTTTCCCTGCTCCTCCCACAGATGTGGACGAATGCAGCATCAACAAGGGAGGCTGCCGCTTTGGCTGCATCAACACCCCTGGCAGCTATCAGTGTACCTGCCCAGCGGGCCAGGGCCGCCTTCACTGGAACGGAAAGGATTGCACAGGTGCGTGGTGCCCTCTGCTGGCCAGACCTGGTAATGCTGTTTCAGGGGAAGGGTGGGGTCTGGTGGGAAGATGTGTCGGGGAGAAGGGTGGGAATGTAGCCAGCTGGGCTAGGCATGCCATTTCTGTTTAAGAATGTGTCCTTGGGCACATCTGTAGTTCTGCACATAGATAACCTCTTTTTCTGAATTGACCATCTGAGGGAGAAGGTGGGCGAGGCCTGTTCCATATCCTCAGGCCTTGGTTCCCTTCCTAGAGCCAGTGAAGTGTCAGAGCAGTCCTGGGGCCTCAAAAGCAATGCTTAGCTGCAATCGGTCTGGCAAGAAGGACACCTGTGCCCTGACCTGCCCCTCCAGGGCCCGGTTTTTGCCAGGTATGTGGGAAGAGGGGCTTGGAGAGCTTGGGGGAGAAGCTGGCTGTTGAGCAGCTCCTCTGTCCCCCTGGGGTTCTTGCAACCACTGGAGGCTGGGAGGCGGGTCAGAGTTGTGATAGGCCCCTTCTCTCAGAGTCCGAGAATGGGTTCACCGTGAGCTGTGGTACCCCCAGCCCCAAAGCTGCTCCAGCCCGAGTCACCCACCCTGGAAACAGCACCACCTCCAGCTACTGCCATGGTGAGCAAAAAGCCCCCCCCCCCCCCCCCCCCCCCCCCCCCCCCCCCCGAACAGCACAGCTCTTTTTCACTCATCCCCTGGCCTGACTTCTTCCTGGACCTCACGTGTCACTTCGTGATTCTCTGCCTTGGCCTTCTATACTGATACCCTCGGCTTTCCCATCCTGCTCTCCAGCTAACCCTCACTGCCCAGCTTTGAACCACCTTCCGCTGCAGCCTCACCCCTGCCCCAGGCTGCGCTGAGCTTTTCTCACCCCTCCAGAGGCTGCAGCGCTGTCAGTTAAGCAGCGGGCCTCCTTCAAGATCAAGGACGCCAAATGCCGTTTGCATCTGCGGAACAAAGGCAGAGTGGAGGAAGCCAGCAGAGCCCCAGGGCCAGGTCTGGACCGCACTCCGATGGGTCCCACCGAACTCTCCCGCACCTCAGCCCGTCGGTCCTGTCCAGGGAGTCACCTGTACCCTGAACTCTGGACAGAAAACGGGGCGGGGGGGAGCCATTGTAGACTAGGGCCCGAGAAGTCCCCCACCATCCCTTCCACTGGGTAAAGTAGACGAGGAGAAGGCTGCAGGCAGAGATGGGCTCAGGGCTGCCTGGGCTCAACGGAGAAATGAGAGCCAGGACGGAGAACTCTGTCTGACGCAGCGGGAGCCCCCGAGTTTGGAGTTGACACGGCCTCTGTTTCTAGGTTCCCCTTGCTCCGATTGCCAAGTCACCTTCATCCACCTTAAGTGTGACTCTTCTCGCAAGGGCAAGGGCCGACGGGCACGGACCCCTGGCAAGGAGGTTACCCGGCTCACCCTGGAATTGGAGGCTGAGGTCAGAGCGGAAGAAACAACAGGTGGGCCTATGACACTGTCGGGTGGAGGGCCAAAGAGGCAGCCACCAAGCCTGGGTCAAAGGAGACAGTCCACAGAAGGGGGCACCTGTGCCTTCGGCCCGTGCGATGGCGGCAAGCAGCGAGCTAGCTCCTGGACCGCCTCTCTCCCGTGCATCGGCCTCCTGCCACTGCCCCCTGCCTTCCGCTCTGACCACTCTCGTCCTTTCTTACTCCTACAACCATCCATTCCCAGCTGGCTGCGGGCTGCCTTGCCTCCGACAGAGGATGGAGCGAAGACTGAAAGGGTCCCTGAAGATGCTCAGGAAGTCCATCAACCAGGACCGGTTCCTGCTGCGGCTGGCAGGCCTGGACTATGAGCTGGCCCACAAGCCAGGCCAGGTAGCTGGGGACCGAGCAGAGCCGGTGGAGGTCTGCAGGCCCGGGCAGCACCGGGCAGGCACCAAGTGTGGTAAGAGAGCTTGATGGGAAGCCAAGGGTGTGGGGGGTGGGGGAGGCTTAACTTGGCCCTGGCTCAGAGCGGAGCCGGACCCTTTGCCTCAGGTGCCGATCTCAAACGGGGAGGCAGTGAAGACCCTCCTGACCACTGTCCTCCCTTCCCTGGTCCCAGGCTGAAATCTAGGATACTGGGCAGGGCCAGCTGCCCTCCTGCACACAGATTTGACCTGCCCGCCTCTCTAAGCATGATTCTGTTAGCTTCCTGACAGATTTCCCCCATATCTGGAAGAGTGGGAAGGGGAGTCTTAGGCCTGGGTGGTGGGAGATGGGGGGTGGCTAGCGCGGCCGACTCTCCCTCAGTCAGCTGCCCGCAGGGAACGTATTACCACGGCCAGACGGAGCAGTGTGTGCCATGCCCAGCGGGCACCTTCCAGGAGAGGGAAGGGCAGCTCTCCTGCGACCTCTGCCCTGGGAGTGATGCCCATGGGCCTCTTGGAGCCACCAACGTCACTACGTGTGCAGGTGCCAGGGGAGCAAACGCCACAGACTGGGCTGGGGTGGGCACTGGGACGGCCATGGGCATGGGGTTTTCCAAAGGGCAGGCCCAGGCTCCAGGCCACTCTCCTAGCTGATGTCCTGTTTGTATGCCTCTGTTCCCTGAGACTGGGGTGACCCCGTGGAGTGACAGGAACCACCCCATCAGAGTTGGGCCCTTGCTTCACTGCAGGTCAGTGCCCACCTGGCCAACATTCAGTAGACGGGTTCAAGCCCTGCCAGCCATGCCCACGGGGCACCTATCAGCCCGAAGCAGGACGAACCTTGTGCTTCCCCTGTGGTGGAGGCCTCACAACCAAGCTTGAGGGGGCAATTTCCTTCCAGGACTGTGACACCAAAGGTGAGTAGGTTACTTATTCCACCAGGGGCCTCCCTGGCATCCAAAACTTTCCAAGTCCCTTGCACAGCAGACCTGAGTGTGTTAGTCCACCATATTCCCTGGAAAGCAAAGCCCCAGTTGCCCAACCAAACACACCGTCTTATTCCCAGAAGCCATTTGCCGGCCAAACGCGGTGATACAAAGTAACTAGTAATCCCACCATCAGACTGCCGTTCCCCTTCACCGGCAAGTGAGCTCCTCCATCTGCCTGACACTGCCCAGTGCCTGCAGGAGGAGGGCTGGAGCTGCAACCAGCCACTCTGCAAAGTCTTTTCCCCACCCTTAAATTATGACCTGACTGGGAAAGGTAGGGACCCCGGAAGAAACTTGGGAGCCCCTGATCTCCTGATTCTCCATGACAAATGCGTCCTGCCCATCCTCCGCCCAGATGCCCACTTCCCTACCGTCTTAGCTCACGCCTCCTTCCCTCCTGCCTGCAGTCCAGTGCTCCCCGGGCCACTACTACAACACCAGCACCCACCGCTGTATCCGCTGTGCCATGGGCTCCTACCAGCCACACTTCCGGCAGAACTTCTGCACCCGCTGCCCGGGAAACACAAGCACCGACTTTGACGGCTCTACCAGTGTGGCCCAGTGCAAGAGTATGCGGCAGGCCAGCCTGTGGGAAGTGGAGAGAGCTCGGAGCCGTGGGCATGGGATAAGGGGGGGGGGGAGGATGAACCAGCAGCAAGTCCGACCTCCACATGGTCCCAGTCCCCTCAGTCTCTAGGCCAGCTGTCAGGCTAAGGCCTGTAGCACCCTTTCAGGCATGAAAGGGCAGGAAGGAGGGTGGACCCAGAACTTGAAGAGCAGATGGTGAACTAGCATGGTGGCTACCTTATATGCCTGTCCTCCGTCTTCACACTCTTCAGCTTGCTCAGCATGGTCCCCTAATGACGCTGCATCCTTTTCTTGCTCTATCTCCGGGGTGTGGCTGCAGATCGGCAGTGTGGTGGGGAGCTGGGTGAATTCACTGGCTACATCGAGTCTCCCAACTACCCGGGCAACTACCCAGCGGGCGTGGAGTGTATCTGGAACATCAACCCCCCACCCAAGCGCAAGATCCTTATTGTGGTCCCTGAGATCTTCCTGCCATCCGAGGACGAGTGTGGGGACGTTCTCGTCATGAGAAAGAACTGTGGGTGACTGCAGAGTGGGCTCGGGGAAGGGCAGTTGGAATTTGGTTGGGAAAGAGGAAGAGCTGGGGCAGTGATGTTGGGAACCAACGAGAGCAGATGTGAGCAAAGCCTTGGGGACAGCAGCTGGTACAGGACAGCAGCTGGCACAGGACAGCAACTGGCACAGGACAGCAGCTGGCACAGGTTTGGTGGAGAGTGGCGAAGAAGCTAGTCTCAGGCTGGGCTGCCAGTGCTGCTGAACGCATGAGCTCTAACCCTAGCCCTTCTGTCGTTCTGATGGTGTAAATGTCAATTTTAATACACCACGTGATCGTGTAGTTTCAGTGTGCAGACTAAACCTGGGAACGATGTTAGAGGGAGTGTGCAGCACGTGTCGGGGAGGGAGCCCCAGTTTTCTGACCTGACGTTTGCCTTGCCAGCCTCGCCATCCTCCATCACCACTTATGAGACCTGCCAGACCTACGAGCGTCCCATTGCCTTCACGGCCCGCTCCAGGAAACTCTGGATCAACTTCAAGACTAGTGAAGCCAACAGTGCTCGAGGCTTCCAGATTCCCTACGTGACCTATGATGGTGAGCAAGGACAGGAGGGGTGGAGAGGAGGGTGGGTCTTGTGAGGGAACCAGGGGAGCAAAGAGTTCCCACCCTCAGCCCCCAACCCTGGCTGACTTTACAGAGGACTATGAGCAGCTGGTGGAAGACATTGTACGGGATGGCCGGCTCTATGCCTCCGAAAACCACCAGGAGATCCTAAAGGCAAGTGAATGTTCACTATGGCAGCGAACGTAAATGGGCACACACCAATGTGCAGGTAAAATGCTGAGCGCCAGCCAGCAGGACATCCTGTTTCCTGGCTCATCGACACTCCCCAGATGAGAGAGCTGAGGCACAGGAAAGAGCTCACCTGTGGCCGGCCTGGGCTCTGAGTCTAGCTCCTAGAACTGTAGCGTTACCACGCTGTGCCACACCTTCGGGGGAAGAGAAGGTGAGAAGAAGTGTCCTCTACTTTTCCCATCAAGAAATGCAGGGGACATAAAACGTAGAGCAGTGTTTAATTCGGGGTTTTAGACCAGGTCCTATGTGGTTCAGGCTCAACTCCAGCTCCTGCTGCCTCTGCCTCCTAAGTGCTGGGATTATAGATCTAGAGGAAAAGAGACATTTCTGACATTGAGGAATGAACAACGCCCTGGGTCTATGGAGTCTGGCCGTCTGGAGTGGTGCTCACCTTTAATACCAGCACTCAGGAGGCACAGGCAGGTGGGTCTTGGTGAGTTTGAGGCCAGTCTGGTCTGTACATGGAGTTCTAGACCAGCAGGGATACACACAATGCCTTCCAAAAAATTTTTTTTACTTCATTTTTAATTATGGGTATTTGTGTGGATATGAGCCTGTGAGTGCTGGGAGGCCAGGGGCATCAGATCCCCTGCAGATGGAGTTACAGGCGGCTGTGAGCCACCCAATATGGGTGCTGGGAACTGCACTCAGGTCCTCTGCAAGAGCAGTATATGCTCTTAACCTCGGAGCTCTCTCTCTAGCCCTGAGCATTATTTCAAATCGAATGTAGCTGGGGGTGATGGTGTGCACATAAGGTTTGGACTATTGAGGAGCTGCGGTGGGAGGATCGCTTGAGCCCAAGAGTTAAGAGACTAGCCCGGGCAACACAAAGGACTCCATCTCCAACAGCCAATCAGATGTGCAGCGCAGCCATCTTTTACACACAGTGCGGCTGCACTAGGTCCGGTGGTACGCACTGTTAATCCCGGCACTTGGGAGGCAGAGGCGGGCAGATCTCTGTGAGCTCTGGGTCAGTCTGGTCTACAGTGAGCTTCAGACCAGCCCTAGCCACACAGTGAGTCTCTGTCTCAAGACCAAAGGACAGTGTAGTACAACCGTCTTGATTAAAGTGGAGTTGAGAGGCTGGAAGCCCCACCTATTTCAGAAATCTGTGGGTACAGCCTAGACGGCAGGAGATGCATTGTTAGCTCTGTTGGGTTTGTGTGGGCATGTGTAGTGGGGTGGGGAATATGTGCATGTGTGTGGGTCAGGACAATTTGGAGGACTGCTTCTCTCCTCCTCCATGTGGGTCTTGGGAATTGAGCTGAGGTTGCCAGTGCCTTTTCCTGGCGGCTCTAAGGCATGGTCCCTGGCATCTCGTGAGGGGGCAGGAGACGCCAGGAGGAAAGGGCTTGAAAGGAGCTGTTGGGTGACTGAGGAGTATTCCACACTAGTAAGAACGGCGGTAGTGGGGTGTATTTGAGGACTACAAGAGCCCTGGTTCCACGGGGGAGAAAGAGTGGAGGAGAAGCAGAACACCACAAAGGACACACAGCTGGCATGCCGCACAGAGGACACACACGCAGCTGGCATGCCGCACAGAGGACACACACGCAGCTGGCATGCCGCACAGAGGGCACACATGCAGCTGGCATGCCGCACAGAGGGCATACACGCAGCTGGCATGCCGCACAGAGGACACACACGCAGCTGGCATGCCGCACAGAGGGCACACACGCAGCTGGCATGCTGCACAGAGGACACACACGCAGCTGGCATGCCGCACAGAGGACCTGACTTGTATTGTGAGTGAGGAAAGAAAGCAGAGGGCGGGGAGTGTAACCAGTGGTGGAGAGATGCTTGTCAGGTCCGAGGCCCGAGGCTCGGCTCCCGGCACCACAGTTACTGTCATATTATAAAGAGAGTAAACTTTCACCAGACAGGATGTACCTGCCTGTAGATCCAGCTACTGGAGCAGCTCAGGTATGAGGACCATTTGAACCCAGGAGTTTAAGATTACCCTACACAAGATAGCAGGGCCTCATGTCAGGAAAGAAAGGCCAGAGAACAGAAACAAAAATGTGTTTCAAACATGAAATAAACTAATTAAACACCCTACTGTAGCTGCTGTGAAGAGACTGATCTATGGTGGGCCAAGGATGGAGATCAAGCCCAGGCCTAGTCGCTCACACCTCTAATCCCAGCTATTCAAAAGACTGAGGCAGGAGGATGGCATGTTCTAGGTCATTTGGGGCTACAAAGTGAGTTTAAGGCCAGATTGAGCAACTTAGTGAGACCCTGTCTCAAAAGTAATGAGAGAGCTGGGGGCATAGCTCAATAATTGACTACGTGCCTAGGGCTGGAGAATTGGCTCAGCAGTTAAGAACATTGGTTACTTCCTGCAGAGGACCTGGGTTCAGTTCCCTGCACCCACACAGTGGCTCATTACCATCCATAACTCCAGTTCCAGAGAAGCCAACAACCTCAACTCCAGTTCCAGGGACTCCAACAACCTCTTCTGACCTCCTCTAGCACCAGGAATACATGTAGGGCATGTACACGGGTGAAAGGCACATAAGTAAATCTAGAAGAAAAAAGAAAAGAATACTTGTGTAGGTTCAACCTCAGTAGCATACGAAACAGAACAAAGAAATAGACCAGCTATTGAAATGGTCTAAGGGAGAAACTATGGTAGCTTGGCTCAGAGTGGCAGCCACTGAGATGGCACAGACTGGTCAGCCCCTGGGTGTACTCTGAAGGAGTCAACAGTTGCTGTAGCTGTGAGAAAGTGGCTCACGATGGCTCCGCAGATCAGGGCCCGAGTAGCAGAGGGCCAGAGCTGCCATTAACGGAGCTGTGGAATTCTGATGGTAGGAAGAGTCCAGGGGTCACCTCTGGGCACGCTCAGTGTGAGATGCTGTTAGACATAAAGAGGGGCTGCTGAGTAATGCCACTTGCTGTCTTCTGCAGGACAAGAAGCTTATCAAGGCCTTCTTTGAGGTCCTGGCCCACCCTCAAAACTACTTCAAGTACACAGAGAAACACAAGGAGATGCTACCAAAATCCTTCATCAAGCTGCTCCGCTCCAAAGTCTCCAGCTTCTTGAGGCCTTACAAATAGTGCCCATGGGCCCAGAGATGCAGATTCCAGAGCGCCGACCCCCCTGGCCCTCAGAGCTGGCACCCCAACCTCAGACAAGAACCTGTCCTCTCCTTTTGGAGGAGAACTATCACTACACCAAGCACTCTCCCCTCCTGTCTTCCTGGTTACCTTGTCTTCTCTCTTTCTCTCTCTCTACTTCTTTCTTACATGTTCCCTGGAAAAGCCATTCAGTGCTGTCCCTGTTCCCCCAGAGGGGAAGAAATAGAGCCCATCTCACCAGCTCACATCCCCGGCCCCCATCCATCTTTGGAAGGGTGTTGGAGGCCCAGAATAGGATCGGGTCTGCTAGGAAGTGGGGGTGGGGAAGAAAGGCTTCTGCCATTCTAGGGTTGTGCCTTGCTAGCCAGGGGCCAGAATATCCCCACTGTGCTGCCCAGAGTGACTCTTTTACAGCCCAGAGTCCTGCCAAAGAAGCCTTTGACATAGCAGCTTTATGCCAACACGGGCTGCCGGGCACACAGTTTGAGCCCTGGGGTGCCCACACAGTTGGCGTTCTTACCTGACAGCTCTTCTCATCTGCCTGCCTGCCTGGGGCTGACTCCATAGGGTTTACAAGTGCTCCACACCACTAGGGGGCGGGGGAACCCTGGCTGGGGAGGGAGAGCAACAGGCATTATCCTGTGTGCCAGAGCCCCACTGGGGCTCCCAGTGACGATGCTCCCAGAAAGCCGGGTTTGTTTTTTTTTTTTAACCATTGCCCAAAACAGAAAGAAAAGAAAATTATGTCCTAAAGGACCGGCCTGCAGAGCGAGTGGAGCCAGCCTCGGACCCTAACCTTTTCCCTGCCAGTCCTCCCTGGCCCAGCCATGCCCTCACCCCACCCAAGTGCTCCGTGGGGGAGACTTTCTCCCCTTGCTAAGTGCATTCCTTAAAGAAACCTGCCATTGACCATCACCAGCCTAGACCTTGCTCCAGTTTTTCCCTTGCAGCCCTAGGTGGCTTGTGGGCTTCACCAAAGAGGACCCCACTCTGCAGCCAGCCTGGAGCTGCCTACCTCTGGCCTCGGGCTGTGGGCAGCAAGAATGTGTGTGCCCTTGGCAGGCTGCCCGCCTATCCTGTCCACATCTGAGAAGTGCAATCATTTCTAGTCTTTCTGTGTCGTCTAGAGGGAGGGGGTTTGGTTTTTCTTTTTCCTCTCGGCAGAACCCTATTTATAGCTGCCCAGGAGAGCAGAGCACATTGGGAGTGGTGGGATATCAGTTTGACTCTCATAAGCCTTGAGCGCTGGAGCATCTCATGGATCTCTGTCCTACCTGAGGCCACCTAGAACTTCAGGGTCCTCCGCTGTGCGGAGCCAGGGCAATCCCTCGGAGGTGCCGAAAGTGTAGGAGGGCGATTCTGGTAACTTGATGAAGCAGGAAGGAGGGGCTGTTGACTAAGGTGCCCTTGCCATCTCTGTGCCTATGGATTCATGGTTCTGATGCAGATGGACTGGCCGGCAATCCACTGCGAGCAGGGGACATCTACCCTGTCACTGCCTTCTGTTTCCCTGGCATGCCAGGGAAGAGGATCAGGACAAACTCTAAGGATGGCCAGCTCAGGCTCCCAAGGCCAGAGAAGGCTGGGGCAGCCTCGGATAGGACGGTCATCCACGCATGCAGCTGGTGACGGGACAAGAAGCAGGCATGTGCCTGACACTGGCCACCTGCCTCCTGAGAGTTGACTTCCAGCCTGTTTCAACTACTGGTTTTCAAAAGGAAGAAGAACCAAGTCCAGGCCCTGCATGTGCTCCACCCTTAACCCAACTGCTGCCTGGAAAATCTCCGATTTGCTCCTTCTAGTTCCCTCAAGGCTGTGGTCCTGGACAGTCACCAGCCACCAACTGACTCCTCAGGTCCAGCTCTAGGTGACCGCCAAGAGAGTCAACACTGAATGGTCTGATCCACACACATACCAGCCAAACAGCCAAGGCGATCAAAGCTGCTTTCCTGGCCATCTGTTAGACACCACCATGGGGTGGAGTGGGTGGGGGTCTGTCTGTCTGTCTGTCCGGGTCAGAGAGCTGTTGTGGAGCTGTTACATGGCTTCCTACCAGGGTGAAGGGGCATTGTGGGAATGTCTCTACTTCTCCAGAAGTGCCACAGAACAGCCCCAATCAACTTGGACCATCCTACCAGAAGCAAGGCTAACTTTGCGAGTCCTCTCTCCCTGCCATTTTGCCCAGCTCCTGGAAAGCCACATAGTGAGTGCCTCCCAGTGTCTGCCATTAGGGCACAGTTCCTCCGTGCTCCCTTTCCTGTCGTCCCCCACACACGAACACTTCCTCTAGTCACGCATTGTTTGGCTGCTGGGACTGCACATGACTTCATGGTACAGAGAGAACAGGCCACCAGGCCTAGGCAATATCAAGACGGCTAGAGGAGAGCAAGCCGCTGCTGAACTTGGAGGAAACTGGCCCTGGGGCACCTGCCTATGGGGGCTCAGAGGATGGAAGAAGATAACAACTCAGGGACTTTCTAGGAGGAAGTGGGAGAAATGCGAAGATGGTGTGAACAGGAACCCTTCATCAGCTGACCCCGAAGAGGCCACAGGACCACGGCACCTCATTCATCTTAGCACAACCCTGCCCTTACTGGAGTTCCAGCGTGGGAAGTCATTTCCATGAGGCTCCTAGAACCAAGGGACACATCTCAAGAAGGTACTAGGATCCTCGGCAGCACAGTGATGCTTCTGTAGCCCTCTGCCTCTGTTTGTATTGTCAGGCCAGCCAACGCCTAAACCTGAGGTCACTCTCAGAATTAGGAGAAAACCGACCAGAGCCTGGACTTGGGCTGCTCACCCTAAGCCTGTAGGAATCCTCAGAGGATAGCCACTGAGTTATCAGTGCTCCTGTGTCCCCGAATGTGGAGGCTGAGAAGACTCGGATGTGTTGCTCCAAGTTCAGGTGGACAGGCTGGGCTTTGGCTCTTACGATTCTTTGTGAGTCTGCGAAGTGTTCTCCACATGCATGTTTGAGGTGACTCTTGAATGGACTAGGAAGTCAGTGAGCATCTCACAATCTCAATATGCCAGAAAAGCTTAGGGAGCACTCAAGGATTTGCATTTGCTGCTCTGCTTCAAAATGACCGTCTCAAAGCAGGGGAAGGGAGGCAAAGTGTAACTGCCCCCAGCAGAAAAGGTTAACCTGCCTGGCTTCTTTCCCAAGTCCAGGAAAAGTGGAAGTAAACACCACCAAGGAAACCTTCACACTGGACCCGTCTCAAAGGTAGAACAGCCATTATTTGGACTAGGAATCCTTGAAGAATTAGAGGGAACAGAAGCCCTGGTGCCGCTGGCAGCTCACCAGCACAAAACAAATGGTAGTAGTTTGGACACGCTAAACATTTTGTTCTGTGTAAGCTGAAGTTTCAGAGGATAATTATCATGTGGAAGGCTTTTTTTTTTTAGTGCAGAAGAAAATCTCAAAATACTGTCTTTATACCTGCCTTCCACTATACCGATACAGTGAGCATCTCACAATCAACAATAAATAGCAAGCAGTGTGGTTCATAGAGTATTTTGCACTTGGGGAAAATATGTATCTGAACCTGTAAAACGGAATGTTTGGATTTTGTATTGTCTTTTTTATATTATTAAAATACTAAGTGGAACTCCTCAGTCTGGCACGCATCTTTTCCACTGCGACAACTTTTCCTATAGCTGGGGAGGAATTGTAAATAGTCCAGGTATTATGACTCCCAGACAGGGCTGGCTCCTTCCTCCCCCAATTCATCTTTTCTTCTTTCTTTCTTCTTCTTCTCTTTCTTTCTTTCTTTTTGGCTTTTCGAGACAGGGTTTCTCCGCCTATCCTGGATCTTACTCACAGAGATCCGCCTGGCTCTGCCTCCCGAGTGCTGGGAATAAAGGCGTGCGCTACCACCTGGCTCCCCCAACTCATCTTATTCCTAATGACTTTGTCTACCTTTAAAAGCAGTATCAGGAACTTCCCTTGCTGAGTGTGGTAGAACATGTTTGTCTTTAATCTCAGTATTCAGGAAGCAGAGGTAGGAGGACCAGCCTGATCTATTACATAGTGAGTTTCAGGCCAGCCAGGGCTACATAGTGGAACCCAGTCTCAAAAAAAGATGGGGTTGGGTGGATATTTAAAGTATTGTGTTTTCCTGGGGCTCGAGCGATGCTTCAGTTAAGGGCACTTGCTGCTCTCCCATAGGACCTGAGTTCAGTTCCCAGCACCCACATCAGGTGGTTCTTTACTGCCTATAATTTCAGCTCTAGGGGATCTGATGCCCTCTTTTGGCCTTCACAGACATATAAACTAATAAAAAACAAAAATAACTCTTTAAAGCATCATTCCTTTTTTAAAAAATTTTTGAGACAGGGTTTCTCAGTGTAGCTTTGGCTGTCCTGGAAACTCACTCTGTAGACCAGGCTGGCCTCAAACTCACAGAGATTATTATCCCTCTTAACCACAGTATAGACTGTAGAACCTGGCCAGGATACAAGTTCTCAGACATCCATAATTAAGATGCCCCATTCCTAGCACTTCCGGTCGCCAGACTGTGTTCTTTTTATGGAAGATGGTCTTGGCCACCAAAATTGTGAAATACAGATAAGTCAGCTGCTACCATCATCACTCTGCCTGTAGGCCTTGGCAAGCAATTCCCAATTCTTTATAGATAACAGCCTCACTTTAGTCCATAGTCACTTCAGAGGATGACTTGAGGAACAAGGGAAAAAAATGGCCTGAGCAATTAATACTTTGGGTTGACCCACCAGAACCCTGGGCTCGAAAAAACCAAAAAAAGAAAAAAAAGGGGGGGGGGCAGGCCCTTGGTTTTGCTCTTCACATTGCTAGCCTACCAAGAGGAGCGGTTAGTTTAGAAGCTGGTGGAGGAATGAGTGGGCGCCCAGGGACCTGAGGAGACTGGCAGGGTGCTCTACCTCCGTGTCCATCCACCACAATGTCATCTCTCAAGAAAGGCAGTCTGGAGGGAGCACCATTCCTCAACAGGGGCTGTCAGGGCAGCTTCCCTCGGGGGAGGAGGAACGTCAGGGCCCTTCTTCCTCTGGAGAGAGGAGGGGCGTCCCTAAAGGCACACCATCCCTCACCAACGCGCACGGTTCCCCAAGGCACGGCCCCCCAGAACACGGGACAAGGGCAGTACCGCAGGGAGCACTGTCAGGGCGCTGTCCCTCAGAACGCTGTCCTCCAGGGCATCCTCCCACAAAGTGCAGAGAGGACTGCCCCTCCAGGGTGCCATCCCTCGGGGCGCGGGGAGGACCGTCCCTCCGCGCCCCGTCCCCTCGAGGCTCCTCGGCATCGCCCTCGGCGGTAACTACCTAGAGATACCTGCAATGGCTTCCTCGGGACCGACTCCCGCCGCGCAGCCTCCCGCCGCCGCCGCCGCCGCCGCCGCCGCCGCCGCCGCAGCCCCGCCGCGGGTCCCTACCCATTGCTATGGCGACCGCGGCCTCCACCCGGCCGGCGTCGTGACGTCATCACGCCCTCCCCGGGCGCCCCGGCTGGCGAGGGCCGCGTCACCCGGCGGCCAGCCGTGAGGGAAGCAGGGGCGGAGCTCCGCGGCTCGCCCGAGGAGACCTGGCGGCCGGGGCTCCGGGGCCCGGGAACCGGGATAAAGCAGGCCGGCCGCCGCGGCGGAGGGGGGCGGGCTGGAGCGTGGCCCCGCGCTGGTCATCCGGGTTCCGGGGCCCGGCGGAGGCCGCGCCGGGAGCCAGAGGGAAGTGCGGCCGCCCTGGAACCTGGATATCGCGCGAGGCAAGCCGCGCGCGGGCGGGCGGGCTATGGCGCAGGCGGGTTGCGGGGCCGGCGCTGGTGGCAGGGCCCGGTGCATGGCGGTCTGTCGGCGGAGTCGCCCTCGGGGGCTGTCAGGTTGGTGGCCGCGGGGAGAGTGGGTCCACCGTGCCCCGAGGCGGGAGGCCGGGCGGACGCGGGGCCCCGGGAAGGTCCGGAGCCCGTCGTGCCCACCCTCCTCGGGCCCTGGCCGGGCGGCTGGGCCTCCCTGGACGGTGGCCTGGCCCCACCCCCACCCAGGGTCCCTGCCCCCCTATTCCGCCCTGGACTCCTCCCCCAGGACTCCCAAACCCCACCCCGTGACCGCGCCCGCCTCCACCTCTTTGACCCCCATACACACACACCTCATCCACTCACCGCAGCCCTTACCAGGTGACCCCTGATTCATTGACTGCTAACCCCAGCCCTGCTTCTGGACCCACCAGCCTCAGTCCTGATACGGTGATCACACAGCTCCAAGACCCCCCCACCGTCCCTAGTGACCCCTAAACTACCCTCTGCGGACACCCTTCAAACCTCTCCTGGCTACTGCAAATCAGATCCCCCCGTTAAGTTTCCCACCTGCTCATCCACGTTAACTCTCGCGACCTTCGCCCCGTAACACCATGATCATCTTCACCCCACTGACACCCCTCTTTGACCACCCAGCCTCCAGTGTCAATCAGCACATAACGTAAGCCCCACCACCACCACCACCATTGTGGTGCTGAAGAGGATATGGAAATGAAGTATCAATGGAGGCATCAGAGAATTCTGGATTGAGTGTGTGGTCCCAGGTTCAAGTTCAGATTCTATCGTGTTGGGCTTTGGGAACCTGGGAAAGGTCCTGTCCTTATGCTGGACTTCAGCTTCTGATCAATATTGTGATATGATTGAGTTTGATGATCTCAAATGTTTTCTTCCAATTAAAGTTCCGCAATTCTTAGGCAAGACAAAAATAGAGAACTTTTTTGGTACTCTGCCCTAGAAGTGCCCCAGGGTCCACTTGCTTCATTGAATCATTTTTCTTCATTTCCATGACCCTACACTTAGTTGTCTCCACTCATCCATCCCTTTTGCTCGGGCTCTATCAGTTTGTGAAAGCAGTGTAGCAGAGAGCCTCCCTTTGGGATGTTGACATCATAAACTTGGCCATTCAGCTGTGGAACTTTTGGCATACCCTTTAAAGCCTTTCTGACCCCTTTGTCACTATTCTGCCAAGGGAGGATAGTAAAATGCCCCCAGTAACACATGCAGAACGTTCAGCAACATTGCTGGCCCACAGAAAACCTTTAAGGGATAGCAGTTGTTTTTAGTGAAGGTCTTAACTGTCCTGGGACAATGAGCACATGGCCCATACCATCACTAATGCTGCCATCTTGGAATCCCTGTCCCAATCTGATGAGGGCTCCTTACCTCCTGGAATCCCTGTCCCAGTCTGATGAGGGCTCCTTACCTCCTGGAATCCCTGTCCCAGTCTGATGAGGGCTCCTTACCTCCTGGAATCCCTGTCCCAGTCTGATGAGGGCTCCTTACCTCCTGGAATCCCTGTCCCAGTCTGATGAGGGCTCCTTACCTCCTGGAATCCCTGTCCCAGTCTGATGAGGGCTCCTTACCTCCTGGAATCCCTGTCCCAGTCTGATGAGGGCTCCTTACCTCCTGGAATCCCTGTCCCAATCTGATGAGGGCTCCTTACCTCCTGGAATCCCTGTCCCAGTCTGATGAGGGCTCCTTACCTCCTGGAATCCCTGTCCCAGTCTGATGAGGGCTCCTTACCTCCTGGAATCCCTGTCCCAATCTGATGAGGGCTCCTCACATCCTGGAATCCCTGTCTCAATCTGATAAGGGCTCCTCACCTCTCACTTTCACTTTCATAGCTCCTTAATAATGATTGCCTCTCCCCCCAGCAACTACTGTTATATCAAGCTTTATTTATATAAAATAACTCTACCTCTCACAAGCTCTAGGTATTAGTTATATCGTCACCACTCCCTCCCCGACTTTCCCTGGGAGTTGCTTTAAATAAAGGAATCTGGAATTCATACATTTGAGCCATCTCAGAAAATCTGCTAACTCCAATGCCTCTCATATCCCGACTTCCTGGCTTCCCAAATTCTCCTCAGACCCTTGTTCCTCGCTCTCTAGTAATTCTTAAGCTCAACATCAGCACCTTTCATGACCCACAAGGGTTTCTACTCCCTTTGCCCCACGACTTAATGACTTTTCTCATCCTGTTCATGACTTTCGACCTCTTTTCCCCTTAGACCTTGCCCCTTCAGTGGGAGGGACGTATATACCTTTTTTAAATTCCTGTTTGAGGCTCTTGTAATAAAAGATTAACAAGTGAAAAACATGTAAGTTTATTTAGTATAACTTATGCGATGGAAGGCTCTCAGTTAAGGAGGTGGAGATCTGCAGGTTAAACCCACATATTTTCATTCTAGACCTGCAGAAGATGGCTAGTTCAAGAAAAATGTAAGGCCGAGAAAGTGCACTAAATGGGGGTAGGGTAACATAACAAGCTCCAGATGTCCAGGCTCTTACCTGTGGCCTGCATCTTTAAAAAGAAGGATGCCTTTTTCCGCTGGGTATAGGGAGGGCATCTAGCCGGTGATGGTCTTATGACTTGCTTCAGAGGAGAAGATAAGAGAGACCTTGGTTCTCGTGTCCTCAAATCACTGTGCTTTGGGGTAGCATGTCCTGAACCCAATTAACCTTAACACCTGTCATGCTAAGCAAGCACTGTACCACTGAGCCATATTCTCAGCCCCTGTGTCTGTCCTTTGCTCAAGTTTGGGACCTTGGGGCTCCCAGCTCTCAGTGGTGCCACTGACATTACCCCCAGTCCATTCCTGGTGCATAGGCCTGAGGCATCTGTGTCCCGATGCTATTGGAAGCCTGTTTGAGTGTGCATCCTAGCTCCTCCACTCACTTCTGCCATCCTCAGCCACATCCTGTTCCCAGAAACCTCTAATGAGTTTTTCCAGTGACCTTATAATATGCCCAGCTTCTGTGAAATGAGTCACTTCTGCCCAGCAGTCCCACTCATATATCTATGCACTTGCCCATTCCAAGAGCTCACCTTTCTGCCCGCACCTCTGCTCAGATGCTGAATCTCGTCCCTCATATTCATCAGATGCCTTTCGTACAGCGTCAACCTCCTCCTCCTTCTCTCTCCTTCTCTCTTGTTTCTGTCAGTGAGCTTCGTCACCTCACAGATCTTGGTAACAAGTTGATTACATTGTAACTCTCCCTCCCACATAGCTCTGCTCTGGCACTGGCACTCTCCCTGGCTCTGAGTTCTGGGGCTGCCGCTCTGAGTCCTGTAGGGCAGACATCCTATGCGTCTGGTTTGTCCTGAGAACTGCACTCTTCTCGGGGACCATCTGATGGATTCAGATACTAAGCCCCGAGAGGGCCTGTCTTGAGGACTTCCCTTGGAAGTCCTGCAGCATTGATTGGCTGTGTCTCCTGAGCACACTCTTGTTCCCAGCCTCTTTATGCAGTTGTTTTGCTGGAGATCCTCAGAGGATAGACTGTTGTCGGCTCCCCTGGCACTGAATTAGTCCTATTGTTTTCCAAGCCCTGGCTCCCCTCCCCCTGGAAGCAGGATGGTGAGTAGCAAATATGACATTAAAGAACCATGCCCCAAAGTCTGTTCTGTGGGTCACCCGATTCCCAGTGTTGGTTGAGTAGCCGTGAACAGCAGGCGAGGCTGCAGAACTCTGTGGGTGAATTTCAGAAGGTGGTTACACCCTACGTTGCTTTTCTCTTTCTAGGGTACAGGACATAATCTGCCTTATGTGTGTCTTTTCTCCTCCACCAGCCTCCCTGTGATTTCCTTGAGAACAGAGGCTGGATCCTTTTATTTTCTGGCATCTTGATCTTCCCTGAGAAGGGAAGGAAGGAGAAGGCAGGAAGTCAATCTTTGCTTACTGCACTGAGTGAGCTCTGAAGGTCTGTGTCACCTGCAAGCAAGTGAAACTCATTCTGTAGCTGCATCCTCCTTCCCCAGAGCCCTCTACGCATGCTTCAGGTCAGACAGTTTGGAACTTAGATGCCTCTTTGTTTAGTCATTGTTCTGGTGAGGGAATTGATAATATTACTGGGCTTTTTGGTTAGTTGACTTTTGGGTACGTAAGCCCACAACAAATTGGTTGAGAAGATGCTAGACTCCAGGCAGGATGGCTCAGCAGGTAAAGAGCCTGATGTCCCGAGTTTGATCCCCAGGACCCATATAGTAGGAGAGGACTGACTCCTCCAAGTTGTCCTCTAACCCCCACACAGATGCCATGGCATGCTTGTGGTGTGAGTGCACCCACATGAAACAAATAAGCACAGTTCTAAAGGGGTGGTAGAATCCAGCGGTAAGGTCAGGAGCTGCCTTGTATAGACTTGTTTTCAAGAAAATGGCTACATGAACTGCTTAGGCTGGAGTAGAGGACAGGAAACCTCTCACTGGCTGCTTGTTGGACATTGTTGGGCCTGTGAAAGTTTTAATATTCTACTTTTCTGTGTGTTGGAAATCTACGTCAAGAGGTGGTGGTGGAGGAGGAGGAGTTAGATGAATATGTACAAATTTAGCACTGTTCCTCAGAAAACACCTCCAATCAAATGAGCCGCTATTACTGAATCGGGGCTTACCTAGACTAAGTAGAATATTTAGCTCTAACCTGTGTCTGACCTCTTCTGTTTGTGAGCTGTCAGAAGGCCACATGTAAAAATCAGCACTCTGCAGAAGTCTGTGCTGGTGGCCTGGGACCTGCACTATCCTAGCAACAAGAGCCTGTTGCCCTGGTGCAGTGTGGCGCCGGCTCACCGAGGCTGCTGGTGGTAAATAGCCGGACTGGATCTGGGAACAGGTGAGGCAGGGAGTGGGTACCTTCCTCCAGGGTGAGAGAGCCCCAGGCTCAACAAGGATCTTTCCCTTCTGACCTACTTGGAGATCCTAAGGGATGGGTGTTCATGCATTCACTGATCATCTATCCATCTGTCCGTCTGTCCATCCCATCCATTCTGTAAGTTAATTTGTCTGCTGTGTGCAGAGCACTTTTTTAGATGCTGCGGATAGAGGACTGAGTTTGCCCATTGGGGACCAGACAAGAGAGATAGATGATAAAGCAAACAGAACAATTGGAACCATTAAGTAGAGAAGAGAGCGTGGCCACGGTTCTTGTTTTAGACAGAGCGGCGAGGAACTTGTTGCTGAAAAGGTGACATTTGAGCAAAGACCTGAAAGAAATTAGAGATGAGCCTGGCATGTATCTGAGAGAAATTTATTTGTAACAGTAGACAAGCAAGCACAAAGGCCCTGAGGCAGAAATAAGCCTTGTATATTCCAAAAACACGAGGAGCCAGCCAGGATTGCTGTGCTACCAAAATGGCTGCATTCTGACGAGAAAAAGAGCAGGAGCTGTTGAGGTGGGGAGTAGATTGAGAGCAGATCTTGGGTCTCACAGGCCACCAGCCACTAGGCAGATAAGTGACATGATTTGGCTTATGTTCTGAAAGTGTACTCAAGCTGCTATGTTGAGAGTAAGCTGTATGGGGGCAGAGTGGAAGGACAGGCACTGATGGGGGTGCTCCTGCAGTGGGAACCGATGGGGGTGCTCCCGCAGCGGGAACCGATGGGGGTGCTCCCGCAGCGGGAACCGATGGGGGTGCTCCCGCAGCGGGAACCGATGGGGGTGTTCCCGCAGCGGGAACCGATGGGGGTGCTCCCGCAGCGGGAACCGATGGGGGTGCTCCCGTAGCGGGAACCGATGGGGGTGCTCCTGCAGTGGGAACCGATGGGGGTGCTCCTGCAGTGGGAACCGATGGGGATGTTCCTGCAGCGGGAACCGATGGGGGTGCTCCTGCAGCGGGAACTGATGGGGGTGCTCCTGCAGCGGGAACTGATGGGGGTGCTCCTGCAGTGGTCCAGAAAAGAAAAGTTGATGGCTTGGATCCGAAGTAAAGGAGAGAAAGTGTTGAATTATGGACTTAACTTTCAAAGAGGTACCAAAAGAGCCATGGATTGAATGTGGCCAGTAAAGATGTTGAGGACAGCCCCCATTTGTAGCCTGGGCAAGTGAAGGATGGAATTCCCACATGCTGGGGGAAAGAGTTTGGAACATCAGATTGAGAAGGGGAGATTAGGAATTCACTCCCCCCCCCCCCCCCCCCTGCAGACAGGGCTTCTCTGTGTAGCCCTGGCTGTCCTGGAACTCGCTTTTTAGACCAGGCTGGCCTTGAACTCAGAGAAGATCTACCTGCTTCTGCCTCCTGTGTGCTGAGTGCACCACCACACCTGGCTGGAATTCACCTTGCTTTTTCCCTCTGAAACAGGGTTTCTCTATGTAGCCCTGGCTGCCCACTTTAGCTGTGAGAGATTTTTAAACAGTCTAGTAGAGCTGTTGATAAGCTCAATCTGTGGGACCCTAGTAACTATCTACTTTCCCAGGACTAGGCAGCAGATGCACTTAGAAGGAAAATCTAGAGGTATAGGAGTCTGCCTGGGCCCTGCCGCCATGTGGCTGGGTGACCCTACCTTCCTGGCTTCCAGGAGTCTGCCTGGGCCTGCTGCCATGTGGCTGGGTGACCCCGCCTTCCTGGCTTCCCTTCTTTAAAGAACCACCTTAGGCTAGAAAGGACCTGTCATCTCAGCTCCCACTGTGGAGACTGATGAATTTCAGGCTCAGACTAAACAAGACAGCATGTCTGTGTTGTGGGAGCATGTTGGAGGCCGTACAGCCCTGCCTGGGCAGTGCATTGACAATAAATTTCCTCCTTCCTTGGTTCATAAAATAATAACCAGGGAGCACCTGTCATGTGTGAAGTGCTAATGCTACTTGAGGGTATGATTTGGGGGGCTATGAGTCTGCCCTCCTGGAGCACTGCAGATGGGCCATCAGTTAGTTTCACTACTAACAGGCATGAAGACCTCCAGTACCCACACAGAAAGCTGGATGCAGTCATGCGCATCTTTAGCTCCAGCACTGGGCAGGTGGAGACAGAAAGATCTGAAGAGCTCTAGCCAGTCAGTGAGTTTCTGGTTCCTGAGAGCCTGTCTCAAAAAGTAAGGTACAGAGTGATTGAGGAAGTCACCTGATGTCAGCCTCTAGCCCCTGACCTCCACACGCACTCAGACATGTGCACACATTGACACATATGTTTTTTAAGACTTAAAATATTCCATTGTAGGGGTGTTCAACAGTTTTCCTGTTGAGGACATCTGGGTTTCCATGAGTTAGGCAGCTTTGAGAGAACACATCCATAGGTTCACTTGGGTAAATAACAAGGAGCGTGATCACTGGAGGCTGCCAAACTGTCTTCCAAGTGGCTGTTCCCTCTGGCATTCCCAGCAGCAGAGGATGAGAGTTGATGTCCGTCCACATCCTCGGCCTGCATGTGATGCTGTCAGCGTTCTGGGGTTCACCCTTCTAATAGTCTCTCCTCGGTGCCAGCTGGTTTTCAGTTTCATGGCTCCTCTGTTGAGATGGCTCCTTAACTCGTTTGCCTTCTTTATTGTTTGGTTGAGACAGGGCTCACTCTGTAGACCAGGGTGGCTCTGAACTCCTGGGGATTCTCCTGTATGAGCCTTGTAAGTTAACAGCATAAGCTACCACACCCAGCTTGTGTCTGTGTTTTTAATATATTTCATAGATCTTTTATTAAAGTATTCCCCAGCTATTGGTTTTCCTAACGAGCTGTTATCCATTGTCTTTTTTTCCTTCTGAAGGTCAGAACTACTTTCCCTTTTTTTTGTTGTTGTTGATGTTGGTTTTTCGAGACAGGGTTTCTCTGTGTAGCCCTGGCTATCCTGGAACTCACTCTGTAGACCATTCTGGCCTCGAACTTACAAGAGATCCACCTGCCTCTGCCTCCCAAGTGCTGGGTTTAAAGGCATGCGCCACCACCACTGCCCAACCTTTCTCTTCCTTATTAAGATTTTGCACATTGTTCCACTTTGATGTCTTGATAAAATGGTGTGTTAAGGGAGTGCCCCTGTCCCTCCTGATTTGGATAGGATATGTCATTTTTCACGTAAGTGGCCCTTGTCAAGCCAATGGTGACCACAGCTGAATGCCTTGATCATTGCTCTGCTAATATTTTTGGGGTTTTTTTTCTTTTTTTAGGCAGGGTCTTGCTACATATCCCCTGGTGTTGTTAGAGTTTTTCTGCCTGGCCCACAGTCAGGGCAAGTCTCTCTCACCCGCCAGTCCCAAGCCGCTCAAACCCGATCAAGTAAACACAGAGACTTATTTTGGTTACAAACTGTATGGCCGTGGCAGGCTTCTTGCTAACTGTTCTTACAGCTTAAATTAATCCATTTCTATTAATCTATACCTTGCCACGTGGCTCGTGGCTTACCGGTACTTTACATCTTCCTTATCCTGATGGCGGCTGGCAGTGTCTCTTACTCAGCCTTCCACTTCCCAGCTCTATTCTCCTCCTTGTCCCGCCTATACTTCCTGCCTAGCCAATGGCCAATCAGTGATTTATTTATTGACCAATCAGCAACACATTTGACATACAGACCATCCCACAGTACCCTGGTAGAACATTTCCACTCAGAGTTGGCATAATTTCCAAAATGCCTTGATTCTAGACATTCCTGAACTAAAAGTGAGACTGAGGTCCACCATGATCATCATGCTGGTGCTCAGAAGTTGAGGTCTTAAAACTGCTTAAATGTGTAGCTGAGACTTCACTGTAGTTGAAATGAGTTCTGTTCTATAAGAATCGGGGCCTGCATTCCCTGCCCTTCACAACTGGAAATGATCCCCTCTGCTTAGTCACTCCATTTTCTGTGACTCGTTCACATCTCCACAGTGGCAATAGCCACGTCACCGTGTAAACGTGAGCTGACAGAGGTGTGTGCATAAGCTTTACATCTCAACTGAGCGATGCAATTTTCTGTTACCGATTTCCTGTTTTCTCTTTATTACTTAGAAAGCCACAGAATTAGGCCTGGGTCTTGATGTGCACTGAGGTCCTTTTCTGTAGTAACAAATGCAGAATCATTTTGTTAACACAGCTCTCCGAAATCTGTTTCTGATCTGTTTGCCCCTTGTCCCATCATGCTTGTCCCTCCTGGACTAACGTTTGTCATCTGTGAGGAGTTTGGATGTGGGCCAGATCAGATGCGGACCTGTGCATGGGGAGCAGCTCGAATGCACGGGTGCTCTCTAGTCTCCTGTCTTGCAGCACGAATGCACGGGTGCTCTCTAGTCGTCTCCTGTCTTTGTAGTGCGAATGCACGGGTGCTCTCTAGTCTCCTGTCTTGCAGTGCGAATGCACGGGTGCTCTCTAGTCTCCTGTCTTGTATCCCTTCTCTGTCGACTGTGATTTTCTGTATGCAGCTGACAGGTTCAATTCGTTTTCAGAAGTGGAGCACAGGACGTCGCCGGATGCTGCTTGGGGAAGTCGGGAGCGCTTGCTTTAGGCCTGGCATGTTGTTAGCACTCTTGTCCCACACCCCTTCCCAGCTCAGATCATAGCAGAGCTGCTCAACTGCACACCTTCTCCGTCCATCTAGAATCTGAAATGCCCAGTGCAGGCAGGACTGTCCAGACAGCCTCTGTGGTCGCTTGGGAGTTTAGTGTTCACTGCATAAGGGGATTCGCAATAAGTCATCATTTAAAGAAGGGAAAAGGAGGCTGTAGCTTACAGGGTAAAGGCAGATAGATGGCTCCAGTCAAGGCTCTCATCCCTTAAACTTGGTGTGCCAAGACTGCACAGCCCTGTAATCCTGCTATTCAGAAGGCAGAAGGATCACAAGTTCAGGACCATCCTGGACGACATAAATCATGTCTCAAGCAAAAGGAAGAAAGAAAAGGGGAAGGGAGAGACGAGGACTCTGCCAGCCCTGAGACCTCGTTCTCACCTGGGAAGTCACATGCTTTAGGAAGGCACTCAGACATGGGAGTTAGAGAGGGGCAGTGGCTGCTTCAAAGGTGTGTGCCAGGAGGAGGGAGGAGGAGGCCAAGTGATGCTCTGGGTGTAAGACCCAGTACAGGAAAGCAGGGGAGGAAGAGAGGGGGGAGAAAAGGAAGATAGATTTGCTTTTCTTACGGTCTGAGAAGGTCGTATTGGGAAATGTGCTCCCAGCTTTTCCTTCTCCCCCTGCCCCGTGGCAGACCGAGAAGGCTGGGGTGAGGCTGTGCCTTGAGTGCTGACTGTGCCCGATGCTTCATCAGTGGGACATGCGGAGGCCCATACAAGACTGGCCAGCCCGGCTTTGTCAGCGGCTGGTAGCTTTGGGACCTTGGGCAGATCACTTGATCTCCTAGCTTCAGTAGCTTCATCTGCAAGGGATTGTGTATGCTCCTCATAAAAGAGTCAGTGCAGACAGGATGTTGAGCACAGTTGGGGGTATGTCCGTCATCAATCCTGTTAGCCTGGGCAGGGGGAAGGAGCAGAGGGCCATCTGGGCCAATGGGTACGGAAGTAGATAAGGAGCTAAATCAAGACCAGAAGCCAGTTCTGCAGACACCACCCGCTTCCTTCATGAGGCAGGAATGAACTCAGAGCGCATCTTACTCCCGCACCTCAGAGCCTCCATTCTGGAGTGCCTGCCATGTGCTAGCGCTGTGCTGAGGGACAGCACTTACTCTCAGCCCTGAGTGACCTAGGGACAGTGTTACTGCTGTCCCATACGTGGTGTCTGTCCTTCATCTCTCACCCCGTGGTTATAGTAAAATGGGCTACAAACAGCTCTCTCCCGGACTAAGAGGGTGGGCGTTGAGGTTGTCGAATAGCGAAGACAAGCCAGGACCAGAGGCCTGAGATGGTGGGGCGGCTGTAGAGAGCTGGCTCAAGTGCCAGTTCCCAGAGGCTGTTTCCCTCGACCTCTCTGCGGCAGCCTTCGACAACCTCTTCAAAATGTATGTGTCCATGTTGCACAAGAGGTTTTTTGTTTTTAGTGACCTCGGCATTTTAAACCTCCAGGAGCACCTCTGCACTTAACAGAATAGTGTGAGCTCTCATTCCAGATCAGATGGCGTGGGTTCAAATCCTCCCCTCACACTTAGTAGCTGTGCAACCTTGAGCAAGTTGTTTGATGTCTTAGGACTAGACCATGAAATAGAGACAAATAGGGCCAGCGAGATGGCTCCCCATATAAAGGCACTGGCCACCAGCCTGAGTTCAGTCCCCAGAACCTGCGTGGTGAAGGAGAACACCACCTCCCTCAAGTTGTCCTCTGAGCTCTGCGTGCGCACGCACACAGAGAAAATAAAATGTGTTTAAACTGGGGAACAGAATGGTACCAGAATGTAGAGATGTGGACGTGTGATGTCCTTGTTGTCCCATTAACCCTCAGCAGTGTGTGCTTCTGGCAGGTGCTGATGCTGTTCCCTGGAGAACAGAGCATTCAGTAAATGTCTGTGGACTCAGTGACCGAGTTGTTCCAGTGAAGATGCTAAGCTTGGGATGGAGCGTCACAGCCAGCGTGTCACAGATGGGCTATAGTTACGCCAAGATACTGATCTCAACCCTTGAGGTTGCCAAAGCCCCAGCTTCTCACTTCTGGCTTCATGTGACATGTGTTGTGACATATAAACATCCTCTGGGTACACCAATATGAAACAGTCATCTGGGAGGGTGTGAGGATAAAGCAGGCAGTCTGGGAGAGTCTTAATAAGGACCACCAAGATGGCTGTGTGGGAAAAGTCACTTGCAATCAATATGACCTGAGTTTGATACCTGGAACCCACACGATGGAAGGTCGGAACCAACTCCTGAAAGTTGTCAATATGTAAGAATAGATCCCTCTTTATAAAAAAAAGAGAATTTTACCTAGACTACAGCAGAGGCCGAGGGTTCCTGGCAGGTCGCAGTGTGGGGGTCCACAGTGGACCCTGCTCCACGCTGCTGGGACACAGTGAGTCACTCCTGCGTGCAGCCTACAGCATGAGGGGCTGGAGCAGCCACCCTGAGCCAGAAGAGCCCTGGGTGGAACATGGGTGACGCTTACAGTAAGTGGTGAAGAAGGTGAGCCCAGGGCTGTGAGCGCAAGGAAGAGGAGGGTCCCGGCTTCTCAGGAAGCCATTGGGCCTTAGTCAGGGAAGCCGCAGATTGAGGTTTGTGCTCTTGGTTTTCTCAAATGTCATCCTCACAGCCTGTTAGAAACAAATCAGAAGCGGGTGGGTCTTTATCTGAGGACATGGGTAGGAGGTTCTGAGCACTGAGAAGTGGTGCTGGCCCCAGAGAGGACAGTCCTCAGGGATGACCTGCCACTGTGTGGATGGAGGTGCCATCTGTGGAGTGGGGACAGTGTGAATTCTGTTAGGGACTTCCTTATTCCTCAAGGACGGTCAACAATGCCAGAGGATGGATGTGTCTGAGCGCAGGAAAGATGCTTAATAAGCACAGAGAAGCAGCAGGGAGGCTGCCTGCCTACAGCCTCTGATGGAGTGAGTTTCAAAGGGTTTGGGTCAGCGGACTTTTACTTCACAAGCAGCTTGACTGGCATGCGTCTGTGCTCACCATTTAGAGCGTCGTGTGTATATTTTGTACCCTCTCCATAGGAACCAACTTAGTTATCTGAAATGTGTCTGTGTTCTTGGCTGGCTTCATTAAGTGCGGCAGGAGGAAGCTGTGAAAGTTTTTACATGACATTGTCCATTTTCTCAGATTGGTGACCCAGAAGGAAATCTCTGACCTCAGTGGTGGCCAGAAGCCAACTTCATGTCTGAAGACACAAGTGACAGCTTGTCATGGAAAGCTTGGGGCTGCAGACGGTGACCCTGAGTGACGGGACGACAGCCTACGTCCAGCAAGCTGTCAAAGGTGAGTGTGGCCAGGGCCGTCAGAATCCTGAGCCTCAGCCACCTCCAGGAGCCTCACTGCCCTCCTCTCCTGCCTGCTTGCCCCCACCCGGGACAGCATGTGTGGGAGGGTCTTGTGTGTATTTGATGAAAGAGAACTCCTTAGAATAAATACTGTGGGACGGATGAGCACGTGCTCGCTGAGGCCTCCTGCTTTCAGACACAACTGTTCCAGTCTGTGCGTGCTTCCTAGAAGAAGGCAGTTGACCATCTTGATTCAAGAAAGTGTAAGCCTTGGACTGTCTTCCTGAGCCTCCACCATGTACGAGATAGCCTAGGTTCAGAAGGGGACACCAAGCATGTGGCTTGTGCCTTAATGTCCGACACCAGTGGGCACCAGAAATAAAAATGTCGGGTTCACAAAGATTTGATTTGCAGATAAGTAACAGGTTCTTCGGTAGTATAAGTATATCCTCAGATTTCATGGGGCATGTGTTTCTAATCATAGGATTAAATACTAAAAAAATTCTCCATAGTACTTAAGAATAGGCTGGGGAGCTGGAGGGGTGCTCAGTCAGAGAAGACCTGAGCTGGGTTCCCAGCACCTATGCTGGGCAGCCCACAACTGCCAGTAACTCCAGCTCCAGGGGATCCACACCCTCTTCTGGTCTCTGAAGTTACCCATATACACACAGCACCCCACCCCCATGTACATATATACCTAAATAAAAGTAAAAGTAACCCAAAAAAATTAAAAATTAAAAAATTTAAAAAATAAACCAAAAACCCTGGCGGTGGTGGTGCATGCCTTTAATCCTAGCATTCGGAAGGCAGAGGCAGGCAGATCTTTGTGAGCTTGAGGCCAGTTTGGTCTACAGAGTGAGTTCCAGGACAAGCAGAGCTACACAGAGAAACCCTGTTTCGGAGGAAAAAAAAAAAAAGATAAAATTAAATTTTAAGAAGCTTTAAGAACAGATGAGGTATCCCTTACGCAAATGTTTGGGACCAGACATGTGTCAGTTTTGGAGACTTGGGTTTGGAATGTTTGCATAAATTTAGCCTGCACATTCCTAATTTAAAGCTCATTAGAATTTCAGGCATTACAGATTTTAGATTTTCAGATGAGGGATACTCACAATGAAAGTCTGTTGTTTGTTTGAAATTCAGACTCACAGATGTGCTGCATCTGGCACCCTCCCTCCTCTATCAAGGAAGTTCAAATCAAGGAGAGCATAGAGCTGGCAGGGAGTACTGTTGGGCACAGGGGCCTTTGGGTAGGGTGCACCTCCTTTCTTCTACATTCTCAAACATGCCCTGTAACGCCAATTCCTAAATGGTCTTATAATAAAAACCCGGGGCTAGATATTGGGGTAAATGCTGAAAGATCAGAGAGACAAAGGAACAGGCCACAGCTCACCTCACCAACTCCATGAATTCTCTGACTGAGTGTCTCTGAGTCCTCACCCAAAAGGCTCCCGCCAAAAAAGCCTCTAGGAAAGGAAGGCTTCGGCCAAAAAGGCTTTAGTTCCTGTCTCCTCGCGCCTTATATACCTTTCTCCGCCCTGCCATTAAAGGTGTGTGTGCTTTCCAGTACTGGGATTAAAGCTGTGTGCCACCACTGCCTGGCTAGGTTTTCTCTCCTAGACTGAGTCAATCTCATGCAGTCCAGGGTAGCTTTGAACTCACAGAGATCCAGACAGATCTCTGCCTCCTGGGTGCTAGGATTAAAGGTGTGTGCCACCCCTGCCTGGCCTCTGTATTTAATCTAGTGACTTGTTCTGTCCTCTGATCTTTAGGTAAATTGTATTCGGGTACACAATATATCACCATAGCGTCCTATGCTGTCTTGTCTTCCTTGGACAGGAACACTGCCTCCTCCTACCTTTTCTAGATTCTGTGAGCATTGCTGTCCTTATGGCTGTGTTGCTGCCTTCCATTTCAATGCATGGCTAAGAAAATTTCCATGCCTAGGTTTACAGATGCCTTGTTTATTTTTTCATTTAAAATTGTTTCCTTTTTTATTTGTTTGTTTATTGTTGGGTTTTGTTTTGTTTTGTTTTTGAGACAGGGTTTCTCTGTGTAGTCCTGCCTGTCCTGGAACTCACTCTGTAGCCTCCTGAGCTCTGGGATTAAAGGTGTGCGCCACCACATCCAGCCTAAAATTTTATTTCTTGATAATGATGTAAGACACCCCCCGATGCCATCAGTAAGCTCTTAAGCACGTGGCCAGGCTTCTGGGAGGCCTGTTACAAACTGTCTGTTGTTTGTGTTCTTTGTAGGATGTTCTCTTGGGAAGGTGTTTTCCCTACAATTCTTCTAAAGTCCCCACCCTCTGACCCTCCTTAGGAGTCCTGTCCCTCTGGTGACGTCTGTGAGAGGAAGAATTTAGGTGGGGCTGTGTTTCTCCTCACACCGTTACTTCCCTTTCGTCAGACTGCCACACAGAGTTAGCAGTTGAAGGAATCAGGCAGTTGTGAGCCGGGCACACCCTCTCAGCTCTGCACTGGGGGACTGAGACACGCCTGGGCTGCAGAGCAGGGCCCTGTCTCCAAAGAACAGAAGGGCAGAGACCAGAGCTCCCTGGCCCAAGAAGCCACTCCCCTGCACCTTCCTTCCTAAGTCAGGGCTTTGCCTGCTCCACTCTCCGTGTCTTTCTCCAGCGTTCTTCTCGGGTCTGGCCCCTGCCTCCTCCATTGCGCTGCAGTGTGTGCACATGTGTGTGCACTTACTCCCATGCACACACACAAATACATGTAATTTAAAAACAATTCCTCCATCAAAATAATTAGTCTTTTACTTTTAAATTCAGCCTTTCTCAGAATCTTAGGACATGGACAATATTCTTTGCCAGAATGTGTCATGAATGGCCCTCCAATCCGTTTCCCACTAGAGTTCCTGTGCCCCTCTGAAACCACGGGAGCCTGGTCTCAACTGACCACTTCCTCTTGGCATCCTGGGCTTCCGAACACCCACAGGAACTGCTCATTAAGTTTTGCTTACAGCAGCCTAAGGTTTTTCCAGCTTGCCTCTCCAGACTTTCCAAAGTCCTCCCACAGAAAGTTCCCGCGCCTTAAGATCCACACTGTCCACACAGCCAGCAGCCCACTTCCCTGATACCAGTTTTCTGTGTGAGTTCTTTTGCCTGCTGTGGTGAAGACCTGACATGAGTGACAGGAAGGAAGAAAGGCTGAGTTTGATTCACGGTTTGAAGGTGGCCCCTCCATGGTCATTTGACCTCATGCAGACAGGAGCCTGTGGGTGGTGGGAGGGACCCGTTCACCACATGGCAGACAGGAAGGAGGAAGTGAGGCAGAAACGGGCCAAGGAAAACACAAGCACACCACCTGACCCCCAGGGACCTACTTCTTCCAACCAGGCCCACCTCCTATAGTTTCCAGAACTTTCCAAAATAGGAGGGCATTTGCTATTCAAGGTTGTGTACAGCTACATAACTGGTGAGTCACAGCTGTGCTGTGCATAATCCATCATTTATAACAGAACCCAAGAAGGCTCCCTCTAGGGTTAAGTTTGGGGGTTTCCCGGTGGAGAAATGTCAGCAGATGAGTGAGTCAGAAGAAGCCAGCTGGCGTTTCTCCTGACTTACAGGACTCAAGGTCCTAAGCAGGAAACGTGGAGAGAGAAAGAAGCAAACACATCTCTTGCGTGAACTTGTCAGTTTCCATGTCTTTCTTCCTGTCCTCACTCCTTTCCTCTTTCTGGCCTTCCGAGAGGATGACGTAAGCAGGGAGCACTTGAGTCTAATTCCAAGCGCCACCCAGACACGGTGGCTCATTCCTGCGAGCCCAGAACTTGGGCGGTGAAAGCAGGAGGGTGGGAGGAAGGCAAGGTTACCCACAGCTCCGTAATGGTGGTGAGGCCAGCCTGGGCAACACGAGACTGGTCTGAGGGAAAAGAAGAGATAAGAATGACCACAGATCAGCCAGGATATGGCGGCCCATGCCTGTGGTCCCAGGAGGATTGCCAATTTGAGGATAGCTTGGGCCACGTATCAAGACCTCATCTGAAAAAAAAAAAAAAAAAGATCAAGGATAAGGCTATAGCCATGAGGGAGGCCCTTGCCTAGCATGCACAAGCTCCAGGTTCAGTCCCTAGCACTGAAAAGGAAGAGAGCCTGGCATGATGCCCACAGCTGCAGTCTCAGCGTTTAGAAGGCAGAAAGAGGAGGGTCACAACCACTTTGAGCTCTTCATTTGTCTGGTTAGCAAATACCAGGCCACCCTGGGCTGCACAGCAAGACCCTGGAACAAGAAATGCTTTGGGCGGGGGCGGAGATGGGGGCTTGAAGCTTCATAGGTCCATTAAGGAAACATGACTGAAATGACAGTGAGCTAAGACCCAGACGAGCCCATGAAATAGTAGTCAACTCAGGCTAGGCGGATGGCTCACTCATTTGGCACATGAGCGTGAGGACCCAAGTTCAGCCCTCAGCACTCACATGAAAAGCTGGATGCAGTGGCACCAGCTTATAAGCCCACTGCTGGAAGACAGAGGCAGGAGGACCTCTGGGGACTCTCTGGCCTGCTAGCCTTGCTTAATTTGGGAGCTCCTGGTCAACCAATGAGAGATACTGTCTCCAAAACAAGGGAAAGCTTATTGAGGAACAACACCCAACGTTGACCTCTGGCACGCACGCATGCATACACACACACACATACCCATGCACGCCCATGCACACATGCACACGTTACACAGACATCTCACAACACACACACACACAGACGTCTCATGTACACACCCGTCTCACACACATCTCACACACTTGAATTCTCTCTCTCTCTCTCTCTCTCTCTCTCTCTCTCTCACACACACACACACACACACACACACACACACACACTCATAGCTTCCTACTGCTTTACTTCCATTTCTTTTGTTTGTTTTTCAAGAAAGGATCTCATGTAGTCAAGGCTGGCTTCAAATTCAGATCTGTAGCAGAGGCTGGCCTTGAACTCCTGGCCCTTCTGCTACCACTTCCCAAGTGCTGGGATTTCAAACTGCACAGTGGCTCCCTGTAGTGAACACTGAAGCTTATGGAGAGCTGACCACAACCCTGGCCTGTTCCCAGTGAACTCACTCAGTCCTCACAGCAACCGTATAAGGGGGAGAGGGTTGTTCAGAAGATGAACAGGAAGCTGAGACAGTCTAAATAAGTGAGTGGCCCAGGGTCACACAGTGAGTAAGAACCTGGAATTCACACTCCGGAGGTTTGTCCTGTCTCCAGAGCCAATTATAGCTACTGCCCACACCAAAGCCTGCCTTGTTGGAGGCCCAGGTTTTGGCACACTGTTACAAGGAAGATGAGGTAATGTGTTTTATTTTGTTAGTTTGGTCTGTATCTGAGTTTCTTAGCATTTGGGATCTTCCCTGGTTTCAGGACATTCTTGGTTTGCCTTAGCTCAATCTCAGCAGCTCTGTACTAGATTAGAGGTCCCCATCTTCACAGGCCTGGCTGGAACAGTAAAGGAGATTGATCCTGGGTAAGTGACCGGAAGATTACCTTGTGGCAGGATGACTTTTCCCTCGGTGCCTCCAGACTGAGGCTTAGGAAGTGGGGAATGAGGGAACATGGTGAATGTTACCTATGCTTGGGCCACAGGTGAGAACTCTGAGACCCCAGTAGGCATCTACCAAAGCAGGCAAGCATGTGGTAGACCTTTGCCAGCCTGGCCCACGTCTCTGCTTCACCTCCCCAGGGGAGAAGCTGCTTGAAGGGCAAGTGTTCCAACTGGAAGACGGGACCACTGCGTACATTCACCAGGTGACGATACAGAAAGGTGAGGCGCCCCAGCACAGCCCTGTGTGGAGGGAGGCCTGGCAGCCCTCCCTCGGGCAGCCTCCATGGCCACAAGCTCCAGAGGCTGGCTGGCCTTGCTCTCTTCACAGAGTCTTTCTCCTTTGAGGATGGTCAGCCTGTGCAGCTGGAGGATGGCAGCATGGCCTACATACACCACACACCCAAAGGTGGGCCCGTGGGCATCATGGCTGGTGGGGAAAGGAGGCAGAACTGGCGGGATCGGGGGAGTCAGCACAGGTGCTATCTTCCCTGAAATACAGCTGTGCTTCCCCAAGAGCAGCCTTGCATGCCTTCCCTGGGGCACACCATAGGAGCAGCTGCCTCTGCCCTAAGACGGCCACAAGTCTTAAACATCGGCATAGGCCTTGATGCTGACTTTGGCACCAGACCAGCCACCAAGACCTAGGCCTTTCCATTGGGCCTGAGGGAATTATCACAGACCAGGGGGGAGAAACCTACTCATCTCTAACAGTGAAGCACGCTCCTCCAGAGGCGCACAGGCGCAGTGGCTCACACCTACGCTCCCATTACTTGGGAAGCTGAGGTGGGATTGCCAGGAGCTCCAGATCAGACTGTGCTCCTTAGTGTGTTTGGGGCTAGCCAGGGCTACGGAATGAGACTGTCTCAAAGACCCAACAGAAAATAGTTTCTGATGTACAGAAGAATAACCAGTTAGTCTGGAAGTGGTTTTGTGGGCAAACACACACGAGGCACTGCATTCGTGCTGGAGCATACACAGCAGAACAGAATCAGACGGGGCCGGTTCAGCTGTAGGCTAGCTGTCGGGGATGAAGTGATTGTACACAGAAAGATTCGGGGAGAGCTCCTCTGAGCCAGGGTGGATAGACTCCTCAGGTACTGGGCTGCTTACATAGCCCTAGATATATAATCATGTAAAATAGGTATACAGATAGACAATCACCAATAATGAATCATAAAGAAATTTACAGTTTTGGGCTGAGAGATGACTCAGCAGTTGGGAGCACTTCCTGCCCTTAGAGAGGACCCAGGCTTGGTTCCCAGCATCCCCAGTCAGGCAGTACACCAATGCCTATAGCTCCAGTTCCAGAGGATGCAATGCTTTCTGGCCTCCTCGGGCTCCTGTACACATTGATGCACATAAACTCCCACAGGCACCCATGCATACACTTCAATGTTTAAATCTTAAAATTTCTTTGGCATACATCTAAATTCATTGTTATTGAAGACAAATGCAGATTTGCATATTGAGTTCTTGGCCAAACGTTTGCAGCACAGGATGATGATGGCTGAGGAGTGTAGAGCATCTTCAGCATTTCAGATTTGACCAATAGTTTCATTTTATAATCATCATTGCTAAGTGCCACTTCACATCATGTAGTGTAAAATGGCAGCCATGTGCTTGGGGCCATCTAAAAAGGGGTTGGAAATTCTGTCCTAATCCCAAGCCAAAATTCACTTAACAATTTTTTTCTTTTGGTTTTTCGAGACAGGGTTTCTCTGTGTAGCCTTGGCTGTCCTGAAACTCACTCTATAGACCAAGCTGGCCTTGAACTCACAGAGATCCACCTGCCTCTGCCTCCTGAGTGCTGGGATTAAAGGATGTGCCACCACTGCCCAGCTTCACTTAACAATTTTTATGAAATTCAAATCAACAATTCAAACTGCAATTTTTAAAATCAAACCTATAACGCAATATAATCTAAAAGACTGATTTGATATTTATTGAACAACAATAATAGAAAAATATTATTTTTATTTTCTGTAATTAAACAATTATGCTTCTGTAAGAGCAGGACACCTGTATGAAGAGTTAAAACTGCAAATCATAACACAGTCTCCAGTCTGAGCTGAGGTGTTTCAGAAGGGTTGGTTTGTGTTGTGTGACTTGACAGCATGCAGAACACAAAGTGCATGTTGTGTGTTAAGAACGAAGGCTGTAGTGAGGTCACAGGTGCGACACTAGCAAGCACCCCAGAAACATCTCAGAGTCACTGCGCGTTTTGTTTTGATTCCGTTTTTCGCCATTGAATATTTAGAAACATTTAATGACGCCCAGCTTTTCACAACTCCAACATTCAGTTATGTTCAGCCGTCTGGGGTCACCGTCCACAGTCTAAGCAGCTGGGAGCTAGGGCTCAGCTTCTAGCTGAGGGGTGGCAGCATGGGCTCAGCACTCCAGACAGGACCAAACTGTGCAGAAGAAAGGCACATCCGAGGATCTCCTGGAGCAGGAAGGCTGGGAAACGGGGCAAAGGGATGAGAGCCAAGGCCAGAGTACTTGGGGCTCATCAGAACAGAGCTCTAGGTCTTTATCCTAAGACCAAACAAACTGGGATGTGGGGCATGATGAGTACTTGGGCAGGAAGCCCTTGGGGGTCATCTATGTCGAGATGATAATGGACCCTGGGAAGCCTTGTCCTTATGAGGGACAGTCCCAGAAGGACCAACCAGAGAAACGTCACCACAGTGGAGGCTGGAGAGACCCCACACTGAAACCCCCATTGGTGAACTCACTGCTCATAATTTAAAGTCAGGATCTCAGCTGGGTCTCCCCCTGTGTGGCATCAGGACTAACTTCATGTGCCCCGTAGAGGGCTATGACCCCAGCGCCCTGGAAGCTGTCCAGCTGGAAGACGGCTCCACCGCCTACATTCATCACCCTGTGTCTGAGCCATCGGACAGCACCATCCTGGCTGTGCAAACAGAGGTGGGCTTGGAGGACCTGGCCGCGGAGGATGAAGAGGGCTTCAGTGCAGACACAGTGGTGGCCCTGGAGCAATATGCCAGCAAGGTGAGCACGCAGAGCCTAGCACTGCCATTGCTCAGGAGAGGAGGGCCTCACCGTCCACCACCTCTTGGAACTGCCAGACCTTACTTGTCTTGTCAAATGTAGAGGTCGGTGCCTGGAACCCCAGCACTTGGCCTGTGGAGACAGGAGCTTAAAGCCAGTCTGGACCACACAAGATCCTATCAAACCAAAAGGAAGCATAGAACTTCACCTCTAGAGAATAGTGGCAGGCCTGTGCCTGAGCGCAGCCAAGGCTACTCTTGCCTCAGCCCTCTACCCTGGCTCCTGCTCTTCTCTCATGAGTCCTTTTGACCCACTGGGGCCATGACAGACAGCTGTGGGCACTTAGCATTTATGCTGCCTGAGGAGGGAAGGCTACTGTAAGGAACGGTGGCTTGCGTGGCAGGAAGTCAGGCCCAGCCCCACTAAAGCGCTTGTGATAACCAGCTGCTCTTGGGAAAGCTCTGCCGTGTCTTGACTGGTTTTCCATCCACCGAAGTGCATGCTGGTGTACCTGCAGCTTCTCTGAGACTCACTCAGTCACTTGGTAAAGTGAACTCAGTAGGCAGTGAGCAGGCCATGTGCACCAGGGCAGCTAGGATTCTTGGGACATGAGGTCTGACAAGAAGGCTCTGGTTCTCTGAGTCTCTGCTGGGCCTGTTGGCCTACCTGCTGAGGACAGGAACAGAGACCTGTGGGCCATGGGCTTGTTCCCACCCTGGGCTGACCACAGAGACTGGCGGATGGGCAGTTTCCCAAACCCTGGCTAGCCTGCATGCTGGGAGAGTTGGTTTTATAAGCTGTAAGAGAAAAGAGGAAATTCTCATGCCTCTTCAAAAGGGAGCACAAAACTACCACAGGCTACTCAGCTCCACCTCCTTTCAGCCCCTCCGCCTTAAGGGATGGTAAAGGCCAGAGGTGAGGCCGAAAGAGAGCTGGGCTCTCTTAAAGCAGGAGCCGTGAGGTCAGTGCTGGCTCTGCCACTGCCCAGTCCAGCCTCGGGCGAGTCCCTCGCCTCCCAAACCCGAGCTGAGTGAGTAAGCTAAGAGGGATCTCTTCCAGCTCTGATGACTTGGACCCCTCACCCACTGTCCCCGCTGAACCCCGGCCTCCTGGGGGGTGGTCAGCAGGACTTTCTACCTCGGTCTAGTTCAAGTTCAGCCATCCCAGCAACTCTGCTTCCCGCCTTCCCAGCTACCCCGCAGATCCTTCCAGCTTCCCTGTACCACTCAGCCCTCCCTGTACCCACCAGGGCTGCACCATGACTGCATGTCAGCCCTGTTTCTCATGTAGCATGTCTGCTTGTCTGTCCCTGTCTGTCTAGATGTGTTTCTCTGCCTCAGAGACACTCTCACACACACATCATATATGTATATACAATAATAAAAAGACATTTAGAGAAGGAGTTGCAGTTCTAAGCACATAACTCAAGAGACTGAGGGACTGGAGTGTTCTTGTTCCAGCCCTTCCCTCCTTGAGTCCAGCCTGTGGCCACACGGAGCCATGGCATGCTGTGGGGTTTGAGTGAGAAGGTGTGAATACTTGGTTCCCAGTTGGCAGCGCTCTTTGGGGACAGTAGGAAGTGTGCCACTGGGCATGGACTTTGAGATTTAAAGCCTCCCCACTGCAGGTCACTCTCTGTCTTGTGTGTGTTGGAAGATTGAATGCTCAGCTTCCTGCTCCTGACCCAGGAGTTTAGTTCTGGTCATTGGGTCTTAGGCTCCAGCTGGGGCTTGGATCCTCCCTTCTCATCCTCTCGGAGCATGCATAGGGACACCAGGGTTTCTTTTCTTAGGTTCTGCATGACAGCTCGGCTCCCCATAATGGCAAAGGGCAGCAGGTCGGAGACAGAGCTTTCCGATGTGGCTACAAGGGTTGTGGACGTCTCTACACCACCGCCCATCACTTAAAGGTAAGGGCTGATGGACAGCTTTCAACCCTGTCCTCTTCCCGGGAAGGCTGTAATTCTGCCCCGGCACTGCCCTGGTCCTGGTCCTCCCCCCATGCTACCTGCTGGAGGAAGAGGCATGTTCACACACGTGTCTGCAGAGGAAGCTGCGACATAGTGTGGGAGGGAAGAGGACCAGAGAGCGGAGCCCATCCCCCATCCTACTGAGTTCTGGGTTTGCTTTTCCTCACAGGTACATGAACGGGCTCACACGGGTGACCGTCCATACAGGTGTGACTTCCCCGGCTGTGGAAAGGCCTTTGCCACAGGTAACATACCTGGACGAAGACAAGGTCTGCTTCCAGTTGAGGGCAAAGGGTTCGAGGTCCACTTGGGGACCTCCTTGAAGGTGGCCAAGCTGACCCTGCTGTCCCAGAGAAACCACTGAGGTGACTGTGGGGTGGGCCTCCAGGAGAGGCCACGTCTTGAGTCAGCTCCGGCACACCAGCTGTGAGCTCCTGAGGACTCGGGCCTCTCCGTTTCCTTTGTAAAACAAGGACCCTTGGGTCCTGCTTCCCTAGGCCCCCTCTGAGTTTCATGTTCTAGAATGTCTCCATCTGGCCTTAGGAAGTGTCACAGGGCACAGTGGGCCTTTCCTGGGCAGGATGGGGCAGAGGCTGACCTGGCCCTCTGGAGCCTCCCAGAAGATCACTTTAGATAGAGAGTCTCTAAGTAAGGTAGGCATTCAGGGATGAGGTTTCTCTGGCTGCCCTTCTTACACCCCACCACACATGGATAGGCTATGGGCTAAAAAGTCACGTCCGTACTCATACGGGTGAGAAACCATACAAGTGCCCAGAGGAGCTGTGCAGCAAAGCCTTCAAGACCTCAGGGGACCTGCAGAAGCATGTCCGGACACACACAGGTAGGCTGGCCCACCACCCCGTCCACAGCGCCCGGGGGCTCACTCTGTTTTTCAGACTGAGTCCCAGAGCTCGGAGCTATCCCTGCTTACCCTGGTGCTCCTGAGCCATCCCTCTAATCCCTGTGTACACAGGTGAACGCCCCTTCCGGTGTCCTTTTGAGGGCTGCGGCCGCTCCTTCACCACCTCAAATATCCGCAAGGTACATGTGCGCACCCACACAGGCGAGCGACCCTACACCTGCCCCGAGCCCCACTGTGGCCGTGGCTTCACCAGTGCCACCAACTACAAGAATCACGTGCGCATCCATACAGGTGGGCCAGCTGGCATGTGAGGACCACCCTCTCCCAGGCCCCGTCTCCCTGTCCTGTGGGCTTCTGATTTGAGACACCTCTCAGTTTCAGCCCTTCTCTGCCAGCCACTCTGGGCTGAGTTGGGGTGGGTCCCCCAAATGGCTGTCACCTCCCGTGAGCAGTTCCCCATTGGTAGTTGGGTCTAGTCTGACAGGTCCCGCCCACCCTCTGTGGACTTGGACAGTTCCTAGCCACATTTCCACACCTCCCTGAGGTCTCCGCATCCACTGAGTTTTTGAAGGAGGCCAGGGTCAGGAGTGGTCTGGAAGAAGCAGAGTGAAATGTCACCTCATCCCCTCCAAGCATATGCCTCTGGTGTCCCCACCCTTCCGGTGTCAGACCCTGTCCAGCTCTCTGTCGTTTCTCACCCTGTTCCATTTCTCCCTCCTCCCTGACACTGCGTTCCACCCCACTGTCTCCCCTTCTGCTCACGACCCTTGACCCCCACCCCACATTATAATGCCCTGCCTCACTCCCCTCTCGGAGCCCGACCTTGCTCTCTGCACATCGTCTCTGGGTGCAGGGGTCCCACTCCCATGCCCTCCTGTCCCCCCAGCCCCTGCCACTCAGGCTCAGTTCTCAGCCCCTGTCCTCTCCCCGGCTTTCCCTTCCCCAGCCCTGTCCCCGGCCCTGTCCCCAGCCCTGTCCCCAGCCCTGTCCCCAGCCCTGTCCCCTTAGCTTTCCCCTCGCCAGCCCCAGTTCCCGCCCCCCTCACAGCCCAGTGTCCCCAGGGGAGAAGCCATACGTTTGCACGGTGCCAGGCTGTGGAAAGCGCTTCACTGAGTATTCGAGCCTGTACAAGCACCACGTGGTGCACACACACTGCAAGCCGTATACGTGCAGCAGCTGCGGCAAGACCTACCGGCAGACCTCCACCCTGGCCATGCATAAGCGCAGCGCGCACGGGGAGCTGGAGGCCACCGAGGAGAGCGAGCAGGCCCTGTATGAGCAGCAGCTGGAGGGTGAGGGGGCAGGAAGCGGGAGGCGGGGCCCACAGGGCCTCTCCTGGCCTCCGGCAGCAGGTGACAGCCTGGGCCCTCCTCCCCTAGCTGCCTCTGCCGCCGAGGAAAGCCCACCGACCAAACGAGCCCACATTACTTACCTTTCGGAGGTGAAGGAAGAGAGCAGTGACATCCCAACCCAAGTAGCCATGGTGACCGAGGAAGATGGGGCCCCCCAGGTGGCTCTGATCACTCAGGATGGTGCCCAGCAGGTAGAGACCCTGGGCATGGGTGGAGCAGTTTCAGCATGGCTCCTCCAGTCTGGGGCTCTGGGGAGCCCCGAAGTTCCCAGCCTCAACTCCCCCCAGGCTCCTGTTTGCCTTTATGGACTTGAGAGAGCTAAGGCTGAGGGGACCAGTGTGGTCACCTGCTCCTCCCAGTCTTGTGTCCTCTGAGACTGATGTCCTCATCTGAATGATATGCATGTCCTCGAGAGAGTCCCATCAGTGCTCGGGTCTTGAAGCTGGAAGTCTACCAGTGCTGCTGGCCGCAGGGTGTCCTGCCCCTTGGCCATACTCGTTGTCTAGGGTGCCTCTTCCTTCCAGAGTGATCAGGAAGATGAGTTAGGTGGAGACCCTGACCTGCGTGCAGCGGCTTCCAGAGGCCATGTAGTGGGAAGTAGACGAGGCAGTGGGGTGCCCTCAGTGGACCTCTCTGCACCCCCAGCCCCCAGCCTGGCTCTCACTGCACGCCACACATGTCCAGCAAAGCCGGTGGCCCCCTGTGTGTGCGTGGACAGCCGTCCTCTGATGCTGTAGCTCATCTCCCCCCTGTTGACAGGTCAGCCTGTCCCCGGAAGACCTGCAGGCCCTGGGCAGTGCCATCAGCGTGGTGACCCAGCACGGCAGCACCACCCTCACCATCCCCAGTCATCCTGACGAACTGGCCACAGCTGGCACACATACGGTCACCATGGTCAGCGCCGATGGCACCCAGACGCAGCCCGTATGAGCAGGCAGTTTGATTGTGTCCCTTCCCGTGGGGGGGAGGGGGGACATTGAACGTGCAGTCCAAACTAATCAAGACATTTCATGAAAGGAAGAGACCGTAAAAGGTCTCCCTACCAGGCCTAGTGCTATAGAGCTGTAATTGTAGCCACCTGGGTGGCTAAGGCAGGAAGATCACAAATTTAAGGTCCATCTGGGCAACTTAGTGAGACCCTGTCTCAAGCTAAAGAGTAGAAAAGGTGTGGGGTACAGCTCAGCAGTAGAGTTCCTTTGGGCGTATGTGAGGTCCTAGATTCAATACCCAGTACCAAAAAAAAAAAAAAAAAAAAACAATGAAAGTCTCCCCTCAAAGGCCAGGTATGGTGATGCACACCTTTAATCCCAGCACTTGGGAGGCAGGGGCAGGCGGATCTCTGTGAGTTTGAGGCCAGCCTGGGCTACAGAGTGAGTTCCAGGACAGCCAGGAGAGACCTTTTCTCAAAAAAGAAACAGCAAAAAAGTCCCCTCAGCAACCTTCATCTTTAAAGCAGACATCTCCAGACAGTGTAGAACAGGACAGGCATGGTGGCCTGCAGCTGTAATCCAGCTGCTCGGGGCTAAGACAGCTCAGGGTCAACCTGGACAACTGGTGAGACCCTGGCTCAGAAAATGCAAAAACATTTAAGGACTAGGGATGTAGCTTGGTTGCTATACTTGCCTTAACTCCTGAGGTTCGGTCTCCAGTACCCTCACTACCACACTGCCACCCTCGGAAAAAGTCCTGCAAATTGAAGAAAAATCCAGTCGTGTTTAATTCTGAGCTCCAGGCTGCTTAGTCTGACCCATAACGGCTTTCTCCACTGGGAATGTGTTTACTTGCATGGGGAGGGCATGGGTGCTTGCTGCAGGTAGATGGAAGGAAGGACTTTCTGCGTGTGTTTGCAGGTCACAATCATTACCTCCGGGGCCTTGGTAACCGAGGACTCAAGTGTGGCATCTCTTCATCATCAACAGGTGGCGCTGTTGGCCACAGCCAACGGAACACACATCGCAGTGCAGGTGGGTAGAGGAAAGGCAAGCAAGTCTGGGGGCAGCAGGGGTGGTGGAAGGGAGCCAAGTTTGGATTCCTCTCTGCCTACATCCACACATCTGAGGGACAGCGGGGACATCCTTGCCTTGGGGGTGACTGAGACAGCGACCTGAGGTGAAAGCTCGTATCTTGCGTCTTTCTCTTCACCTAGGAGATCAGAGGCTGGAGTACACTCCCTCCAGGACCTTCCTAACCAGTTACTCTTGTTTGGTTTGGTTTGGTTTGGTTTGGTTTTTCCAGACAGGGTTTCTCTATGTAACCGCCCTGGCTATCCTAGAACTCACTCTGTAGACCAGGCTGGCCTTGAACTCAGAGATCCGCCTGTCTCTGTCTCCCGAGTGCTGGAATTAAAGGCGTGCGCCATCACCCAGCCAATCACTCTTTTATGAACTGCCTGGTGTCTCTGACCCTGAGGCAGCCTGTGGTCTGCCCAGGCCATGCCTCGCAGGACTCTTCCTATATTAGGGCCATAATAAGAAAGATTAGACAGTCACCCAGGCCTCTGTTGGGGTCTGGAAGGGAGGGTCTCACACTGAACTTCCTGCTGCACCTCTTCACAGCTGGAGGAGCAGCAGACCCTAGAGGAGGCCATCAGTGTGGCCACCGCTGCCATGCAGCAAGGGGCTGTGACCCTGGAGACCACAGTGGCGGAGAGCGGCTGCTGAGCCACAGACGACCGGCCCCCACACAGTGCCGGAGAAGGTGCCAGCTCACAGGTGGCCCTGCCTCGGAGCCCTGGCTGTGGCTGACCCCCAGAAGATGGCCACATAGGCCTCTGGGGTGAGAAGGCGGCAGGAAAATGACCTCTGGTGGACAGGGCTGTGGGCCACACCCAGGATGGGTGTCAGGCAGTGGGCAGTGGGGGCCGAGGACAACCAGCGTGGTCACCAGGCTGCCCTGGACACCTGCATTCCTCCAGTGGGGGAATACTCGCTTCTGTCCACTCCTTTCTCAGAGAGATGGGGACTAGGTGGATGAGGACTGGCCTCCACCCTGACTGGTCTACCACCAGGGGAAAGGTAGACAGTTCTTCAGCCCAGCGCCTCCCAGCAATAACCACCTCCTGGGGGTAGGGTGGTCAAGATGCCTAGCCACTTGGCACCAGGAACTTCCTGCCACCACAGTCAGAATTAATTCCTCAGGGGCCTGTGGCTGGAGTAGGTTCCCAGGCCGTGGCTCCCCAGTGGCCCTTTACTCTGTCTGTGGCAGAGAGACAGAGAATGGCCTGTACTGCTGGGATTGGGTTTAATTTGTTTTGTGGTTTAGTTTTTTAATTCTATTTTGATAATTATTTTTTTTCCTGCTCTGGGTGGTGGCGGCAAACGGGTGAATGAGTATTTAATAAAAGTTGCAAGTTTCCCCCTGGGTTCTTCCATTGTTTCAGGGCTGGGTGCTGGTGGCAGGGCCCACTGGGTTCCAGTCCACTTCCCTAGCCAGCACAACTCTGTGCAGCCTTCTCCATGGGTTCAGGCAGGAGGAAGGCCCCGGGAGAGATGAGCCCTGAGGAGCTGCTAGGGGTTTCTGCCCACATCCACGGCAGACAGGACTAGAGTGGCCGTGGTCCCCGGGCTGGGTCTGAATCTTGGGTCTCACCATGCTTGGACTGGACGAATTCAGGTCTCCTGTCTTTCTGTCATTGAATGGAGCCTGAGTCCTTCCCTTCCCAGCCACTGCCACACAAAGCCCCAGGTGAGGGACCTTCCCAGGCTTGCTGAGGTTCTAACACCTCACTGCTGTCGTGCTGACATCCTAACTCTGTCACCCAGTTAGGGGGATAGAACACCTAAGCCCAGGCTGTGGGATTCCAAAGGCGCAGGGTGGCCCCACTAAAGAGTCATAATGCAGAGCAGCCACACAGGACAGATATCGGAGGGACCTCATGGAGAGCAGCTGTTGGCCTGACAACAGCTGTGTGGGAATGTTGTAGGAATTGGGGGTGCCTCTTCCTCTCTCTACCATGATCCTCTAATGGGCCCCCAGACCCTTACTGAGAATGGATGCAGAACACCAAAGACCAAGTGCATCCTCTCCTGGGGTACCTAGAAGGCTCACATTTGCTCTTTGTTGTTTTGGGGTCTCTTGTTAGTTTGTTTTTGAGACAAAATTGTGCTTCATAGCCTGGGTGGCCCCAAACTTATCCCTAAGTTTCAGAACTCGTAAGTGAGTAGCTATGGTGTGTGTCTCCATATCCTGCTTCCCATTTACTCTGGGCACGAGTCCTGTGGAGGTAGAGAGGCTGGGCATGCTCCCCTGGGAGTGGGATGTCCCAGAATCAGCCTCAACGAGGCTTCATTGAAATCTGGTGGCCACCACGATATGGGTGCCCCTCAATCTGAGTGGGCACTGCATCTGAAGAGGTGGAGGCATTAGGGAAGGGGTCCCACCCCTGCCAGGACCTCCGAGGTGAGCCCACTGTCAAGGTTGCCCCACACGCTCCACACACAGCCTCTAGTTCTTCACGGCCACTGGGTGCAGAGCGGGCAGTGTTCTGAGTCACCTTTAGAGCCAAGGCCCAGGGGAGGGAAGCAGCAGCCCAGGTGAGGGGCTGCTTCCCTTCTCCCTCCAGGTGGGTTTCGTCTGCTTGGCTAGAACTCCTCATTGAGATCCTGCTAGGTGGCCCTAAAAGGAAAGCCCTGTCGCAAGTCTGCTGTGCCCTTTATACCCAGTCTACACAGCTCTGTGAGGTGGGCACTTGGCCTCTTACTAGGAGTAGACTCTCGGGGTTAACTCGTCCGAGCTCTCCCACTTGATAATCTTGACTCCTGACCCTGTCTACCTCCAAGTCGGGGCGGCTTGCTTTCTCTCCTTGAGCTACCACTGGGACCCTGGGAAGGTTCTGGGGCAGGGGAGCTTGTAAAGGGGCCAGACCAGGCAAAGGAGAGCTGTAACTCTGGGAAGGTTCGTCCTGGTCCCCTGAGGGAGTGGGACAGCAGAGCAGGGCCAGAGCAACAAGCCAGCGCTGGAAGCCAGCGCGAGCAGGCAGGTGGAGCTCTCGCTCCGCTCTGCACCAGGGCCTCTCTGCGGTCTGCAGCCGTTTGCATTTCCTGAAACCGGATCTTGGTGTCAGAGCCGCCCCTGGGCCGGGGCGGGCGCCTCAGCCATGGCCCTGCGCAAGGAGCTGCTCAAGTCCATCTGGTACGCCTTCACCGCACTGGACGTGGAGAAGAGCGGCAAGGTCTCCAAGTCCCAACTCAAGGTGAGGGGCGTCCTTGGGGCTTAGGGGAGGCTCACTGGCTACACCAGTTCCCATCCGCCCTGTCGAGAGTCAGACATGGAAGGAAGCCTTTGCTGCTTGGCAGGCACCTTGCCATCCAGCAGCCCTGGCCCCTGGTGGAGTGCTGGCCCGGGGTAGGTAACAGAGCCAATGTAGCTCAGTGACTGCTTCCCAGAGGTCCCAGGCATGTGTCACCAGAGCCACTGTCCAGAACCAAGCACTCTGACTGGACGGTAGAGGTGGCACCATGGGGTTCTGAGACTCAGTAGCCTGCCCCCTTCCCAGGCTTCTTGTGGGCTCTCCAGAGTCAAGCTTGGGCACGTACCCTGCTCCTCCTTGTGGTTCCCTCAGGGCTTTGAGGAAAGACAGTTAGTGCTCGCCAGTCACTTCCTTTGGAGCTGAGTGCCTCCTCCATTTGCAAAGCAAGCTGGAGAGTGAAACAGTAATGTGGGCCAGCTAAGGGGTCATGGCCAAAGTCTCCACGGTGTTGCTACACAGAGCACCGTCCGGCTCCACCTACCAGCCCAGGAACACAGCAGGTTGGGAAATTTGCCTTATGCCTTGAGACTTTAGGCTGAGAGTGGAGGGAAGCCAGGCCCAGGAAAGCCCATCAGTGACCACCCCTGTCATCGTAGAACTGTCTGGTCTGGACAGTTCTGAGGAGAGGAACCAGCTCTCTTCTTCCTGGGTAGGCATCTTCTTCCTGGGGGAGAAGCAAAGGCCTCTGCCCCTGGGGCTGTGGCGTGCTGGGGAAAGCGTCAGAGTGAGCGGCTCAACCCTCAGACCCTGCCTAGGGGTCCGTTCACTCTGTAAATACTTCATCTAGTGTGGTACACGAGGCTGTGGGCCACCACGAGGCTAGGCTGTCTCTCTGTCTCGCTTTCCCCTCAAAACACGGGTGTGTTTACAACCTCCACTGCTGACCACCAAGACAGGAAACCTGGGAGGCAAACGGGACAGAATAGGCATGCCCTCCTCCATCTCAACCTTGACATTGCTGAGGTTGGGCCCTATGAACTTAGACGCTCCAATTCTGTCCTCATCTGTCCCTTAGCTGGATTTGTGAGCATCTAAGACTAATGCTGTACTTCCCCGGGGAAGGAGAGTCCAGTGCCACCTCTGGTCCCCGAGGGAGGCAGATTATTCCTTCCATCCTGTGTAAGCCCAGCTCATCCAGTTGAGTTCTATCCATGAAAGGAAACTAGATCACCCAGAACACCAGTCCTGTCGAAACTGTGCCCACCCACCTTCGTTCCATCCTGTCACGTTAGCACCCCACCACATGGCTTCTTGCTCCCAAGATAGTATGTTCCATCTGTGACCTTTGACACCTCTCTGGGCTCTCTCTGTGCCTTATATGCAGAGGGTCCAGCCCTCGAGTAGTTCCATTTTCTGGTGGTCTCTTCCAGGAAAGTCTCCCGACTAGAGCCCCTCTGTCTTAGCTTCTGACTGGCCCCATTCCCACCTCCAACACCCACAGGTTGAGCATTTCTGGGGAAGAGTCTGAGAATATGCATGCCTGAACTGTGTACCTCACAGCTCAGCTCGAGCCCACTTGCAGTGACATCTCTGGCCCCACAGGATTAACAGTGAATGTCACACCTGCCCGACAGAAAACTTGTCCACTCTCAAACTAACACAGAAAGTCTTGGGCCACGTGGAGGTGAGGCAGAAAAGGCAGGGTCCCTGCATAGGAGGAGAGGGTCTCCCCCAGGCCCACAGCAGCGACACTAGAGTGGGAGGAAGTCGTGATAGTACTGGAGGTGGGGACAGAGGCCGAGGAAATGGAGAAGTGGTCGGGAGGCAGAGGAAGAAGCGGAGCGACAGAAATCACCAGCGCGGTACACCCTGTCTTCTGTAAACACGGGGACTCGGGAAGGTCCTGGGGTTAGCTGGGCACACTAAGGGGCTCCTAGCCTTTGTGGTCTCTGTGGGAGGCAGGTGGGCGGCTGTACCAGCCCTGGTCTGGCTGTGTCTGTGAGTCGCTCTTCTCTCCTGAAGTGTGCATAGTCGCCTTGGCTAGCCTGGGGACGTCCCACTGGGGCTGAGGAGGGAAGAGAAAAGCCCAAGGGGCTGGATGGGTCCGCGCCTGTGATCCCAGCACAGGGAAGCAGGAAACTCCAGAGAGTCTCAAAAATAAAACAATAAAAATAAAATAAATATACAAATAAATAAACCAAGAAGCCAACAAGCCCCAAGGATGGAGAGTGGCTTTGTTTTGTTTCCCCTGGAGAATAGAAGGCTGGTGTGTGTGGGGTGGGGGGGGACATGATTTCTTCTATGAATACTCTTACTTAGCTATTTATTTATTTAAATCTTTGTCTGTATTGTGGGGACCACAGTGTGCATGTAGAGCCAGAGGACAGCTTGGGAAGTTGGGGTCCCCTTCCACCAGCTGGGTCCCAGGCACTGAGCTCAGGTTGTCAGGTCAGGGCAAGCACCCTTATCTGCTGGGCCTCACTATAGTTTAATCCCAGCATTCGGTATAGCCCAGGTTGGCCTCAGATCCACAGAGATCCTTCTGCCTTTGCCTCCTCCAAGTGCTGGGACTAACGGTGTGTGCCACCATGCCTGGCTGTGCATCCTTTTAAAAAGATGACTTGGAGCCTACACAGAGGTCACACCTGTGACCCCAGCACTAAAGGGCCGAGGAAAGAGGGTTGCTGAGAATTTGAGGTCAGCCTGGGCTACAATGCGAGTTCTTATCTCAAAAAGCAAAACAAAACAAATAAAAAGGAAAAGGAGTCAAAAAAAAAAAAAAGAATAGTCTGTGTAGGAGTCAGATTACTCCTGCTTTGTGGGGTCACTGCCTGGTGATTTTACGGGCTCCTGCCGTGTGTGCACCTCTGACCTCTACCAGACAGGGGTCCGAGAGTTGGGGCTCTGCAGAAACAGCTCTTTGGATTTCTTGGGGTCAGTGTAGACATGACTGCCAACCTCTCCCTGGACCTGGGTCCCCAGGAGAAGAGCTCCACCCCATCCCTACAGAGGGAAGAGGGAATACACAGAACCTTCTATGCCCAGGGCTGCCCACCCCGAGGTCAGGGGCTGAGGGAGTCCAGATGTCAACCTACGGAAAATACAGACATCTAGACCCCACCCCTGGAAACTCTGAGTCAGGAGGTCAGGGCGGGGCAGGCCTTTCAGTTTTACCTGCTCTAGCAGAGACCCAGAGGGGGCCTCGGAGCTAGACACTTCCTCCTGAGCCTCCATTTCCTCACCTGTGAGTGGAGGATAAGTGTCCCTTCCTCCTGGCCCAGGGCTGATTGAGATCTGCAGTGAGCTCCTGTTCATCACTGCCCCACCCCTGCCACTTCCTGTCTTGCCTGATCCCGCCCCTCACCCCACCCCTCACCCCAGGAAAGTCTAGCAGTCTGAGGTCAGCCTCTCTGTGTGGAGGGCCCTAAGTGTCTGAAACCCTGAGTACCACCACACCCTGACACCTGACAGCCCCAGCACTGGGCTCTGCAGATTCAGTCACAAAAGGCAGAGATGAGGGACCCCTGCTGGGCAGGTGGATGCAGGTGAATGCCCCAAGGAAGGCAGCAGGCCTGCAGATGCAGCTTAACCGACAGAGGGTTTGCCTAGCGTGCATGGGGCCCTGGGTTGGGTCTCCAGCACTGCCCAAACTGGGCATGGTAGAGAGCGCATGTAATCTTGGTACTTCGGTAGGAGAGGCAGGATGATCAGGAGTTCAAGGTCATACAGAATGAGTTTGAGGACAGCCCAAGAATACCTGAGACTCTGTCTCAAAAAAACAAAACAGGAATGGGCTAGATAGGAGATGGCCCAGTGGTTAAGAGCACTGGCTGCTCTTGTAGAGGACCCACATGGTGGCTAACAACTCCTGTAACTCCAGTTCCAAAAACAGGCAAGATGGTGTCGACCTGGAATTCCAGCACCAGGAAACGGAGGTAGAAGGATTGGAAGGCCAGCCTGGGCTACAGAATGGGACCCTGTCTCAAATGGTCCCTCCAATGTTTTGTCATAAAGGCAATGTATGTTCCAGACTTCAACACACTGATAGCCTGTTGGGGTGACTCAGCAGGTAAAGGCACCTGCTGCCAAGCCTGGTATCTCGAGTTGGATTCCTGGCACCCACCTTTGGAAGGGGAGACCTGATTCCCCATAAGTCGCCCTCTGAGCTCCACACAGACACTGTTAAAATAACAGAGATTTAAAAACACGGTGTACCATTAAGCACTGTCATTACTCTGCCCAGTTATTAAGTTGCTCTGTGAAATAGTGTTATGCTGTCCCTGTTTGTGTGTTTCTGGGTGTCACCCATTCCTTAAGGACAAGAATGCCTAAGGAAAACCCTTTCCCCAGAGTTCAGCTGATGTCCTCCCCAGGTCTGTGTTGAGTGTCTAAGTGACACCTGAGAACTGTGAGACGTGTACTCCACCACACACACATACATAAATAAATAAACCGGTCGGGTGGTGGTGGCACACACCTTTAATCCCAGCATTTGGGAAGCAGAGGCAGGTGGATCTCTGTGAGTTCGAAGCCAGCCTGGACTACAAAGTGAGTTCCAGGACAGCCAGGACACAGAGAAACCTTGTCTCAAAAAATTAAAAAAAAAAAAAAAAAAAAAGACCTAGAGACGACTCAGCAGTTAAGAACTCACATTGCTCCTGCAGAAGACCTAAGGTCGACTCCCAGCACCCATGTCAGATGGCTCACAGCCTGTAACTCCAGCTCCAGGGTACCTGACGTCCTCCTCTGGTCTCCGAGAGCACCCACACTTATGAGCAAATGCACACACACATAGGCATACGCACATCACATAGTTAAGGTAGAGGAAATCTTCATAAAATGAAAAGAAAATATAAAACGAAAAAGAAAAATGCTGAGTTAAAGGTCACATCCAGTTTAAAAGATCAAAACTTTGGTGGTGGTGGTGGTGGTGGTCGTGTGTGTGTGTGTGTGTGTGTGTGTGTGTGTGTGTGTGTGTGTGTGTGTATTCATGAGTGTGGGCACCCTCAGAGGCCAGAAGAGGATGTCAGACCTCCTGAATTACAGGCAGTTGTGTGGATGCCGTGAACTGAGCTCAGGTCCTCTGAAGAGCAGCAAATGCTCTAATGATGGTGCCGTCTCTCTAGCCCACAACCAATTTTAAGTTGATTCTTGAACACCACAAAGATGACTAATTTACGTGTTACGGCAGTGCTCAGCTGTATTCCCAGCATTGGGATGTAGAGACATCAGGATCATGAGTTCAAGGTTATCTTTGGTTACTACACAGTGAGTTCAAGACCAGCCTTGGCTACATGAGACATCTGTAGATGACTAATTCACACCCTGGTGGTAGGTTTTTTTGGTTTTGTTTTTGTTTTTTTGGTGTTTGAAACAGGGTTTCTGTGTAACAAACAGTCCTGGTTGTCCTGGAACTCACTCTGTAGACCAGGCTGGCTTCGAACTCACAGAGATCTGCCTGCCTCTGCTTCCCAAGTGCTGGGGGTAAAGGAGTGCCCCACCAGCGGCCAGCTGGTAGTGGGTTAGTAAAGCCCCCATTTTTCCAGTCTCCTCAGTATTTGCTTTTACTGTCTTTTTCTTCTTTGGCAAATAGATAAAAAGCCACGCCTTCCACGCTGGACAGACGCTCACATTCACTGTGTGCAGACCTGAGCAGGCTCTGAGTCATCTGACACCTTGTAGCCCCCAGCAGCGACAGCCCATTTGATTGAAAACAAAACCAAGGCTCAGATTGTGAAAGGGTTTATCCAAGACCCTACAGGCTGGAAGTGAAGGTCTCTTCCTCACCGGAGAGTAGCCATTTGCCTGGGGCTTTGCAGGAAGCCTCTTAGGAGGCTCTTTGAGAAGAGGCATGGCAGACGGGATAAGTAAGACTCTCAGGCAGACACTGTCACTTTAGTGGTTGTCCATCACTGTCTTCTTGAGGCAGTCACTGGACATTTAAGTGCTGGACCTTGAGCCAATGGCACCCATAGAGTGGACCGTAGATCATTAGCCAGATGTCAGTGACAGGGATGAAATCATGGTTTAAGGGGAAGGATACTTACTAGCTCTCACAGCCAGGATTCCAGAAATGAGGCTGGGAGAGTGGCTCACTGGTAGAATCCTTACCCAGCACCTGCAAGGCTGGGGGCACGCACACACAAATACACGTAAATATTTTATTTATTTGGTCTCATGTAGCCCAGGCTAGCCTCTAACTCCTGAACCTCCTACCCCTACTTATTTGCTAAGATTACGTGTATGTGCACCATGCTCGTGGTGCATTTAAATTCTTTTTCTTTTCATTAAAAAAGTAATTTGGGCTGAAGAGCTGACCCAGTGGGTAAAGGTATTTACTGGCAAGTCTGACGACATCTCCCACATGGTGGAAGGAACGAACTGGACCCTTACAGTTGTCCTCTGACCTCCATGTGACTTAAGTCCACCATGACTTAAGCACTGCCCTGGCCACACATACCGAATAAATGTAAGAAGACATTTTAAATCTCTTTCTACAGTGACAGGTACACAGGGAGTGGCAGGTTAATAGCAGTGGCTTTCTCCCCTTTGAGACAGGGTCTCTCTGTGTATCTATGGCTGACCTGGATCTCTCGCTGTAGACCAGGATGGCCTGGAACTCGCAGAGATTCACCTGCCTCTGCCTCCTGAATGTAGGGATTAAAATCGTGCCGAATTATGCTCCACCCAGTAAGTGGGGTCTGTGATTAAGCAATGTAACAGAGTTTCCCCAAAGCCACTTTTCCCCTTCTCTTCATTTTACCCAATCTTCTTGTTCAAACTTCACTGTCGTGTTTTAGTATCCTAAATCTGTCCAGCTAAAGCCCACCCCACACACACCATCCTGGCCACATGGCTACCATCGCTCTTTTTTTTTTTTTTTTTTTTTGTTCTTTTGAGACAGGGTTTCTCTGTGTAGCTTTGGTGCCTGTCCTGGAACTCACTCACTCTGTAGACCAGGCTGGCCTCGAACAGAGATCCGCCTGGCTCGGCCTCCCGAGTGCTGGGATTAAAGGCGTGTCCACTGCCGCCCCGGCCGCTACCATTGCTCTTATTTCTCCATCTCATGAGCCATTTCTCATTCTTTTTTTTTTTTGTTTTTGTTTTTGTTTTTGTTTTTCGAGACAGGGTTTCTCTGTGTAGCTTTGCGCCTTTCCTGGAACTCACTTGGTAGTCCAGGCTGGCCTCGAACTCACAGAGATCCGCCTGGCTCTGCCTCCCGAGTGCTGGGGCCATTTCTCATTCTTTGAAACGCCCTCCACCTCCCTCCCCTGTTCAGAGGGGCCCTCCCCAGATCAGACTCACCTGGATGCCCATGGCAGCCTGAATACCGAGCCTTTGATTAGAAATGGTCAAGTCAAGGGTTCTGCCCTGGAATGTCCACCCCCCTCCCTGCAGATAGCCTAGCATTTGTGGGGAGCACCTGGGCTTTAGGATCTTGCCACACACGCTTGGAATCCCAAGTTCCCATTCATTCACTTTCTGAGAGACCAGGATCCCGAGTCCTGATTTATAGAAAGAAGCCACCAACTAGTAATAAAAGAATGGGAAAAGTCGCCATCTCCCGGATCTGAATCCCAGCTCTGCCAGTGGAGTAGGACCTCAGTATTTCTTCATCTGTCGCTGGGGACATGGGTAGTCGCTGTGGGGGTGCTGTGAATGATGGAAAGTGCTGAGTAAGCTCTTGGGTGTCAGACTGGATAGTGCCCAAAGAGAACTCAGCCAACGCAGGGTGGAGACCGGTGACCAGGCAAAATGGAATCAATGGTCCAGGCCTGACTGGGTGCGGGAAAGCAAACTGTCACTCTGTCCAAGGTGCTGTCCCACAACCTGTACACGGTCCTGCACATCCCCCATGACCCCGTGGCCCTGGAGGAGCACTTCCGGGATGATGACGATGGCCCCGTGTCCAGCCAAGGCTACATGCCCTACCTCAACAAGTACATCTTAGACAAGGTGGGGCCTAGCTTGTGGGGAGTGCCCCTGCCCCAGGACCCTAACTCTCTGCTCTTCCACTCTCTCCACGCTGCCCATCCGCTGCCCATCCCTGCTCCTCATCTCCGTTCCCCACCTCAGTCACCGGTCCACTATCGCCCGCTGCCAAAGCCCACCCCAACCCCCACCCTGCTCATCACTGTCTTTGCAGATTCTCCTTGGCTGTCCTGTCCCCTGGGGTTCCCCTCCTCTCTCCCTTGGCTGAGAAACTAGGTTTCACTGTTACCAGGGAAATTAGGGGGAGAAAGTGGGAGATATCGGTGAAGTGCCTGAACCAGCTGGAGTTCGGTCTTGGGCTTGGCGGGAGTGGGGAGCCAGGCTGGAGCGGGGATGAGGCAGCTGGCTGACTACAGGCCTCGTGGCAGGTGGAGGAGGGGGCTTTCGTTAAAGAGCACTTTGATGAGCTGTGCTGGACGCTGACGGCCAAGAAGAACTATCGCGCAGACAGCAATGGAAACAGCCTACTCTCCAATCAGGATGCCTTCCGTCTCTGGTGCCTCTTCAACTTCCTGTCTGAGGACAAGTACCCACTGATCATGGTTCCTGATGAGGTAAGGGTGACCTCAGATCCAGAGATTGAGTCACTCAGGGCCAAGCCCCTGGCAAAGCCATGGAGGATAGAAGTTGTCTTTGTGCCTTCCCACGCCCCCTGTCTTCACTGTCGCCCCATGCCGTTTTAGCCTCCCCAGGCTGTCTCTGGATGCTGAGAAGTGTCCACATCACATCACCCGTGCCTTCTTCTAGGAGAAGCAAGACTACATTTCCATCAGGGTTCTCTAAAGAAGAAAACGAACCACCGATGTTTATGTTCTGTGTCAGTATAAATGCCCAACACACTGATGAGCATTTTAAATGAGAGCATTCAGATCAAACAACGGATTCTTAGGTGCAGTCGCAATCTAGGGAGGTACTTTGTTAAGGGAAAGGGGAGCGCTTTCGCAGACAGGAAGTAACTCTCTGGTTACACAAAGTGGACAACCAAGTCTGGCCTTGGCCTTAGAGGGTTTTTTTTCCCGTCTTTCTTTTTCTTTTTCTTATTAACTGGAGAGGCAGACAGACTCCAAAGATATAGGACATGCTGAGGGAAGAGGCTGAGAGAGTCTGGGCACTGCCTTCTTAGTTCTGGGGGAACTGAGATCTGAACTAATGCTTCCTACTCAACTGCCGCTGGAGACCCAGTAGTCCCCAGGGTGACATCCCTAAAGAGAGTCTCTTAAGACTGCTGGGGCCAATGTGGACACTCTAATCAGGTCTCTGCCAATTGGGGCAAGGTGGCCCCTCAGAGAGTAGGAAGGCTCTCTCTGCTGTGAGAACAGACTGCAGCAGGATGTACCCCAACCACCACTTCCTGTTCCTCTGCCATGGATTTCCTGTCCCTGCCCTGCTTATCTCCAGTCCCAGTTCCATTGCTCTCCCACAAGGGAAGCATCTCAAGGGCTGGGGATTGGCTTTGGGACCAGAATGCCGAACGGAGTGCTGGCTGCCTCCCACTTACCTGGAGTATGTTAGTCATTTTCTATATTGGTCCTTGGTTTTTGTCATATGCAAAGTTGAGGGCGTTGGGTAGGAGGGTTTTTTTTTTTTTTTTTGGTTTTGGTTTTGATTTTTTGAGGCAGGGTTTCTCTGTGTAGCTCCCTCTAGCTGTCCTGGAATTCACTCTGTAGACCAGGCTGGCCTTGAACTGACAGAGATCCACCTCCCTCTGCCTCTCAAGGGCTGGGAGAATGACCCTACTTTTATTTTATGGCAGAAAGCATAAACAGTATAGCATGGGGGATGAGGGAGGCTGTTTGGGGTGTGGTTAGGGTTCTAGGGTTCCCTCTCGTATCTGTCCCCTGGTTTCCACCTGTGCGTGGCCTTCCCGTGCCCTTGTCCCTGTCCTTGGTCCAGGTTCCTCTGGAGGTGCTGCTGACATCACCTGGCTCCCCCTCCCTTCCAGGTTGAGTATCTGCTGAAGAAGCTCCTGGGCAGCATGAGTTTGGAGATGGGCCTGGGCGAGCTGGAGGAGCTGCTGGCGCAGGAGACTCAAGCCGCCCAGACCTCTGGGGGACTCAGCGTCTGGCAGTTCCTAGAGCTCTTCAATTCCGGCCGCTGCCTGCGGGGTGTGGGTCGGGACTCCCTCAGCATGGCCATCCAAGAAGTCTACCAGGAGCTCATCCAAGATGTCCTGAAACAGGTCAGCCTGAGAGAATCGTCGGGAAAGGGTGATGGAGACCTAGAGGACCATTGGGAGTGGGTGATGGAGACCTAGAGGACCATTGGGAGGAGGTGATGGAGAACTAGAGGGCCATTAGGAGGGGGTGATGGAGAACTAGAGGGCCATTAGGAGGGGGTGATGGAGAACTAGAGGACTATTAGAAGGAAGTGATGGAGATCTAGAGGACCATTAGAAGGAGGTGATGGAGACCTAAAGGACCATTGGGAGGAGGTGATGGAGAACTAGAGGGCCATTAGGAAGGGATGATGGAGAACTAGAGGACCATTAGAAGGAGGTGATGGAGACCTAAAGGCCCATCAGGAGGGAGTGATGGAGACCTAGAGGACTGTCAGGAAGGGGTGATGGAGATCTAGAGGACCATTAGAAGGAAGTGATGGAGACCTAGAGGACCATCAGGAGGGGTGATGGAGACCTAGAGGACTGTCAGGAAGGGGTGATGGAGATCTAGAGGACCATTAGAAGGAAGTGATGGAGACCTAGAGGACCATCAGGAGGGGTGATGGAGACCTAGAGGACTGTCAGGAAGGGGTGATGGAGATCTAGAGGACCATTAGAAGGAGGTGATGGAGACTTAAAGAACCATCAGGAGGGGTGATGGAGACCTAGGAGTCCTCTCTGACTTGCCTCTGGCCGCAGGGCTATCTGTGGAAGCGAGGGCACCTGAGGAGGAACTGGGCAGAGCGCTGGTTCCAGCTGCAGCCTAGCTGCCTCTGCTACTTTGGGAGTGAAGAATGCAAGGAGAAAAGAGGCACCATCCCACTGGATGCTCACTGCTGTGTGGAGGTGAGGGCACAGTGTGCAGACAAGGGGTCAGGAGCAAGGGTGGAGGAAAGAAGAAGCTCGCTGTGATAGTTCCCTCGCTGTGATGGTCCCGCCTAGGTTAGGACACACACACCTGGCGGCCTTGAAGCCGTTCTCCTCCACGTCAGCACTTTTCTTTTTTCCATTTTGTCGTGTAAGTGGTCAAAGCCAGAGTCTCTAGCATGATAGGCAGGTGTTCCACCATACCAGCCCGGTGTCAGCACTTTAAAAAGACTGAAACCACCAACCAGACACGGAAGTCACTGGTGGATTATTAAACTTCAAGAGAGATTTCAGAGGACATGACTCATATCTACACCGCACAGCAAATCTTTCCAGTTCTTTTTCCTTTGAGACAGGGATTCTTGTAGTCTAGTATGGCCTTGAACTTATTTATATAGTCAAGACTGACCTTGAATTCCTAATTCTTTTGCTTTTTCTACTTCTCACATACCAGGATCGTGTGTGTGTGTGTGTGTGTGTGTGTGTGTGTGTGTGTGTGTGTGTATGCTCCTGTGGGTGCGTGTGCACATTTGTTTGTAGGTGTACATGCACACATATATGGACACCGAAGTTTAAACTAGGGTGTCATTCCTCAGGAGCCATCTACCTTGGTTTGTGTGTGTGTGTGTGTGTGTGTGTGTGTGTGTGTGTATGTGTGTTTCACACACATGTGCATATGTATATGGAGGCTAGAAGTCATCCTTTGATAGAATTTCTTCAGGAGCATTTACCTTATTTTTTGAGATAGAGTCTTATAGTATGCTTTCTCTGGTCCACCAATCAGCTCCCAAATAAAGACATGGAGACTTCTTATTATTATGAGTGTTCAGCCTTATCTAATGCTTGTCCCACTAGCTCTTATAGCTTAATTTAACCTGTTTCTCTTCTTCTATGTTTTACCTCAGACTTTTTACCTTTCTTTCCTTCTGTGTGTCCTACTTTCCTGCTTCTTCTGTGTCTGGCTGGTGGCTGCCTGGCTGGCCCTAGGCGTCTTCCTCTCTTTCTCCCTCGTTCTCTCCTTTCAAGCCCAGATTCCTCCTCTTAATTCTCCTGCCTGCCAACCCCACCTATCCCTCTCCTACCTAGCTATTGGCCGTTCAGCTTTTTGTTAGATCAATCAGGTGCCTTAGGCAAAGCAACTCATCTTTACATTGTTAAACAAATGCAACATAAACAAATGTAACACATCATTCCGTAGTTAAAGTAATATTCCACAATATAAACAAATGTAACACATCTTTACATAAAGTAATATTCCACAACAGAGTCTTTCACACTGAAACCTGGGGTTCACTGGCTCAGCTAGGCTGGTGGGCCAGAGAGACCCAGGACTCTCCTCCCTCTGCCTCCGAGCACTGGGATTATAGCTTGCGTCATCATGCCTGGCTTTTTAACCTAGTGCTGGACTAGAACTCATGCTTACACAACGAGCACTTGACTGAGCTACCACCCAGCGCTCCCACCCCATTTTGTTTGTTTGTTTCTGAGGCCGAGTCTCTCACTGGCTGGGATCTTGCTATGTAGGGTAGGCTGGTAGCCATCAAGCTCTGGTATCTGCCTGTCTCCACCTCCTCAGTGCTAGTAGAAAAGCATGTACCATCATGCCCAGCTTTGATGACATCACACCTAGCTTCCTACATGGGTTCTAGGGATTGAATTGAGGTCCTTTTGTAGTTGAGAATGTCACACAACTTGTCTCAATCATATTTACCTCCCATCCCCCAACCCTTCTTCAGTTCACCCCTCCCCTTTCCCTACTCACCCAACTTTGTATCTTTTTTTTTTTTTTTTAATCTTTCAAGATAATTTGTGCTGTCCAAATATTCTTGGATTCTGGAGAACGGTTGACTTACCAAGGGCTACACTCTCAGAGAAAACTGACTCTTCCTCTCCTAGCAACTAATAATTACCGTTGACACCACTGCTTGGGGTGGGACAAGGTGCCCAACTCCCCTCGTGGGATTTGGTCTGGCTTGGGCTTGCACAGGTTTTGGCCCTGGTGTTGAAATGGCTGTGAGTTCAGCTGCCCTGCTGTGTTTCCTTGTTGTCATCAGCTGCCTCGGGCCCTTACAGTCTTTCCACTCTCCTCCAAAATGATCTCTGAACCTCGGGAGAGAGTTTGCAGTATGTACTGATCCCCTGAGGGCTGAGCATTGTGCAATCCCTCCCTCAGCCAGTTATGGTTCAATGTGTTTATCACCATCTACTGTGAAGAGAAGCTTCTCAGATGAGGGATGAGAGATGCCCTGGTCTGTGGGGATAGGGATGACTCATTGGGAGTTAGTTTAATACTCGGTCCATTCAGCAGCATAATCATAGTGGGTCCTCCTCAAGTCAGGCGGTGGGGTGCACGCCTTTAATCCCAGCCCTCGGGGAGGCAGAGGCAGGCGGATCTCTGTGAGTTCGAGGCCAGCCTGGGCTACAGAGTGAGTTCCAGGAAAAGCTCCAAAGCTACACAGAGAAACCCTGTCTCAAACACACACACACACACACACACACACACACACACACACACACACACACACCCCAAAACAAACAAAACAAAACAAAACAAAAAACCAGTGGGTTCTCCTCTAGGGCCCATGACCTGTGGAGCCATAGGTAGCTAAATAATGGTGTCAAGTGTGGGGTTTGTCCTGTGAAGTGGGACTTGGCTCTAATCAGGAAGTGACTGGTCGCTCCCACGATGTTCAGGACACTGTTGCACCAGTGGTCATATCTTTCCAGGCCAGTCATTGTTGTAGCCTGGAGAGCTCACAGCCGAGCATGACAGATGATGACTTTTCTCCAGAGTCATGTACCTCCTAGCACTCTGAAAGCCAGGCAGCAGAGCTAAAGCTTCCAAGCTCAACTCACACCAGCTTGGTTTTGCCGTGCTCTGAGACTCAAGCAATTGGCGCCTTCGGCACTAGGGCCTTACCGTCAAGTTCTGACGCACAACTCCCACAGCCTGTAATGTTTGGGAATCTATGGGACCTCATGGGCCAACAACTCCAAAAGGAACTCACATCTGGCACTAGGTTTTGAAATATTTACTTTTCATTTATGTGTATGTGTACCTGAGTGTGTGTATATGCACCACATGTGTTCAAGAACCTGAGGAGGCAAGAAGAGTCAGTTTTGAGCAGGTGTGTGAGTGCTGGGAACCGAACCCAGATCCTCTGCATGAGCAGTAAGCAAGCACTCTTAACTGCTGAACCATTGGCCCAGTCCCCTGGCACTGGACACATTTCTACTGGATATGTTTTCATTTCTCTTTGGTAAATATTTATATAGGAATAGACTCACTGGACCATATATGATCATTCTAACTTTTGAGGAAATGCCAATTTTTTTTCAACAATTGTATCATCTGATACACTCAGCTGTGGGACCTAAGTATTACAGTTTCTCTATATCTTTGCTTGTTGTTTTTATATTAAAGATTTATTAAGGGCTCTCAGGATTCAGGAGACTGAGGCAGGGAAGACCGGAGGTAGAGGCCAGCCTGGGCTGCGTATCAAAACCTTATCTCAAGAAAAAAATAATCAGTTACCCAAGCCTTTATCCATTTTTGTTGCATAAGGAAACAGGTGTTGGACAAGCCTCCAAACATCTCAGAGCCAGTTTCTTTCTGTATGAAGTGATGCCTGACAGGAATATATAGATAAATGTTATATAGAAAACATCAGTGCAGGGGCTGAAGAAATGGCACAGTGGGTAAGAGCACTGACTGCTCTTCCAGAGGACCTGAGTTCAGTTCCCAGCACCCACATGGCAGCTCACAACTGTAACTCCAGTTCTTGGGGATCTGAAACCCTCACACATGCAGAAATAAAGATAAATAAGTCATAAAAATGTTAAAAAAAAAAACAACAAAAAACCCACCAGTGCAGAGCTGGGCACATTGTAGTTCATTCACACCTTCAGTCCCAGCTCTTGGGAAACAGAGGAGCTACGTGAGTTCAAGTTCCAGCCTGGTCTACATAGTGAGTTACAGGACAACTAAGACTACATAGTGAGACGCTGTCTCAAAAAACAAAAACAAAAAAAGAAAGAAAACACTACTTCAGACAGCTGTTATTTTCCCATAGAACATACATTTAGCGGAGGCAAAAACGCCAGACACACCCCTGTAACACCAGAATCCCCAGACCATGAAGAACAAGCGTCACTCAAGAGACTAAGTGGAAATCAGCAGTTGTAGTGGTGAGGACCCAGGCACATGTTCAAGCATGTTACTACACCTTGTGGAGAGATACCACGATGAAAACGGCGCTGGCTAGCCTTCAAAGAACAAACACCAGAACTGTGGGCACACAGGCACCCCAATAACTAACCCTCCACCCCAGACCGTGCATTCTCCTGGCAGGGTGGGGACGGTCAGCCAGGAGGAGGAGGGGGCTGGAGCTGGGGCACTGCTGTGGCAGATGTGGCCCCCATCTCAGTGAAGTCATCTGACCTGGGCCTTTAACCCCACTCCTAGGTGCTTCCGGACCGCGAAGGAAAGCGCTGCATGTTTTGTGTGAAGACGGCTAGCCGCACGTACGAGATGAGCGCCTCCGACACACGCCAGCGCCAGGAGTGGACGGCCGGTGAGTGCCTGCCTGGGTCTTGCTGGACCTCCGGTCACTTCATCCGAGTGACCCTTGGAGGCCCTTGGCCGTGGTGGCCTAGGCATCGGCTGACTCCGTCCCACTCGGCCCACAGCCATCCAGACCGCCATCCGGCTGCAGGCGGAGGGGAAGACGTCGCTGCACAAGGACCTGAAGCAGAAGCGGCGGGAGCAGCGGGAGCAGCGCGAGCGGCGCCGGGCAGCCAAGGAGGAGGAGCTGCTGCGGCTGCAGCAGCTGCAGGAGGAGAAGGAGAGGAAGCTGCAGGAGCTGGAGCTGCTGCAGGAGGCGCAACGGCAGGCCGAGCGGCTGCTGCAGGAGGAGGAGGAGCGCCGCCGCAGCCAGCACCGGGAGCTGCAGCAGGCTCTGGAGGGCCAGCTGCGGGAGGCGGAGCAGGTGAGGCTGTCCAGAGGGCGGGGCAGGGAGGACCGGGGCAGGGCTCAGGCAGAGGGCGGAGCCTCTGGGCGGGAGAATTTGGGGACCGTGTCCGGTGAGAGGGTGGGGCGGGGTCATGACGGAAGCGTGACAGGAAGAGGACCAGGGCTGGAGGATGCTGTGGGCGGGGCCTCGCCGAAGGGTGGAGCCCGTAGGGTGGAGGATATTGTGGGCGTGGCCTAATGGGTGGTGGGGTGGGGCTGTAATAGGGGGTAGAGCCTAGGGCAAACCCCTGTTGTAGAATGGGACCTAGTTCAGAAACCTTTTCTGGGGGCAGGATTTGGGCTGAAAAAGCTGCTTAAGACTTGTTGATTGCAAATAGTTTGGAACGAAGTCAATCTGGACTTGAACTACATTTTAACAAAACCAGTTTGGGGACTATAAACTGGGATTTGTAGGTAGGACGCATGCGGAGGGCAGAGTAGACGTGCAGAAACAATTGAATTTATAATTTGAGAAAACTCAGTTCTAGGCCATCGAGCTGGTTCAGAGGGTAAAGGCACTTCCCGCACAAACCTAGCGTCCTGAATTCTATTCCTGGAATCCGCTAAAGATAGGCAGAGGGAACCGGCTCCACAAAGTCGTCCTCTGACCCCCACAGGCACGCGGTGGCGTGTGTGCCCATTACACCTCCACCTTAAGAGCTGTATGAGCCCAGTCCAGCACGCACTGAGTCTCTCTGTATCAGTAACTAGAACGCTGTTCACGGAGCTAGGATGAGGATTCGGTGAAGAAATACTCGTAAGGAGTTCAATGAAGCAGGCCGGGTGTCTCACGGCCTGTAATCTCAGCACTGAAGGGGTGGAGGCAGGAAGGTCAAGAGTTTGAGGTCATCCTTGCTATTTAGAGAGTTTGAGGCCAGCCTGAACCTCCTGTGGCTGGAGTGATGGCCCCGCAGTTAAGAACACTGGCTGCTTTTTCATGTTGTTGGTTGGTTTTGTTCTTTTGGGGGCCACCACCCAGCTCTCAAATAAATCACACATGGAGGCTTATTCTTTTTTTTTTTTTTTTTTTTTTTTTTTTTTTTTTGGTTTTTCGAGACAGGGTTTCTCTGTGTAGCTTTGCGCCTTTCCTGGAACTCGCTTTGGAGACCAGGCTGGCCTCGAACTCACAGAGATCCGCCTGGCTCTGCCTCCCGAGTGCTGGGATTAAAGGCGTGCGCCACCACCGCCCGGCTTGGAGGCTTATTCTTTTTTTTTTTTTTTTTTTTTTTGGTTTTTCGAGACAGGGTTTCTCTGTGTAGCTTTGCGCCTCTCCTGGAACTCACTTGGTAGCCCAGGCTGGCCTCGAACTCACAGAGATCCGCCTGGCTCTGCCTCCCGAGTGCTGGGATTAAAGGCGTGCGCCACCACCGCCCAGCCTTAGCTTGACTTGTTTCTAGCCAGCTTTTCTTAAATTACCTAGTCTATCTTTTGCCTCTGGGCTTTTACCTTTCCTTATGTCTGTAAACCTTACTTTCACTCTTACTCCGCGGCTGGGTGGCTGGGTGGCTGGGTGGCTGGGTGGCTGGGTGGCTGGGTGGCTGGGTGGCTGGGTGGCTGGGTGGCTGGCCCCAAGAGCGCTCCTCCTCCTCTTGCTCCTTTTTCCTCCCAGATTTCTCCTATACAGTTTCTCTGCCTGCCAGCCCCGCCTATCCTTTCTCCTGCCTTGCTATTGGCTCTTCAGATCTTTATTAGCCCATCAGGTGTTTTAGACAGGCACAGTAACACAGCTTCACAGAGTTAAACAAATGCAACCTGAACAAAGTAACACAGCTTAAAATTATATTATACAAAATTTTCAGAGGACCCAGCTTGGGCTCCCAGCACCCACGTGGCAGCTCAGAACCAGCCAGCAGATCCCACCCCCTCTTCTGGCCTCTGTGGGCACTGTCCCCACATCGTGCACAGACATCTATGCAGCTAAAACACCCATCCACATGAATAAAAACTTTTAATAAAAAGAGAGAGAGAGACTGGGCGGTGGTTGCGTACGCCTTTAATCCCAGCACTTGGGAGGCAGAGCCAGGAGGATCTTTGTGAGTTCGAGGCCAGCCTGGTCTACAGAGCGAGATCCAGGAAAGGCACAAAGCTACACAGAGAAACCCTGTCTCCAAAAACCAAAAAAAAAAAAAAAGAGTTCAATAGCTTTTGGTTGTTATAACTGCAGTCCCTGGTACCCACCATAATGATATTATAATTGTTAGGGTAGGAGCTAGGAAGGGATTACCTTAATTTAATATGTTGTTTTATTGTAATATAACATTATGGTGTTTAATTACATGTAATTACAATTGGTGTTGTTTTGTGTGAGGTGCTGGATTGCAAACACAGGGCCGTGGGCATACTAGGCAAGTCCCTCTACTGCTGAGCTACAGCCCCAGCAAACGTCTAATTATTATTTCTAAGGCCAGTGCAAGGAAAGAATAATTTGAGGTATCAGGCTCTTGGACAGGTCAGATCAGGAAACCCCAACTAAAGACCCTCCATACACAGCCAGGCAGAGCCTGGGAAAGGCAGTAAGTAGCCTGTCTGCCTCCTCCGGTGTCCCACTGACCGGCTCTGCGCTCCCCACAGGCCCGGGCCTCTATGCAGGCCGAGATGGAGTTGAAGAAGGAAGAGGCAGCCCGGCAACGGCAGCGCATCGCGGAGCTGGAGGAGATGCAGGAGCGGCTGCAGGAAGCCCTGCAACTGGAGGTGAAAGCTAGGCGGGATGAGGAGGCCGTGCGCCTCGCCCAGACCAGGTAGGCACGAGGACCCGGGTCCCTTTCCCGCCAGGGTCTGAGCGGACCTCCCTCCGCTTCTCGCTCTGAGAGGTCCCTGTGCTCTCCGGCAGGTTGCTAGAGGAGGAGGAGGAGAAGCTAAAACAGCTGATGCATCTGAAGGAGGAGCAAGAGCGCTACATCGAGCGAGCGCAGCAGGAGAAGCAGGAGCTGCAGCAGGAGATGGCGCTGCAGAGCCGTTCCCTGCAGCAAGCCCAGCAGCAGCTGGAGGAGGTGCGGCAGAACCGGCAGAGGGCGGACGAGGACGTGGAGGTGAGACACCCCGCGGGAACCGGGAGAAGCTGGGGGAGCCAGCGTGTCATTGAGCCTGCCCCAGAGCCAAGCTACCTTTCTTCAAACGCACATTATCATCAGCTGACGGTGTTACCGCCTACAGGTTGCTTAACGTCTCTGAGTCTGAAGTCTCTCACCTGGGAAAGGAAACAGATAGCTCTGGTTACCACAATGAAACAAGCTAATACATGGTACTTAGTATGTAAATGCAGAACACACCTGTATTTGCCAATAATATAATTAACCTGGGCAGAATTCCCTCCTCCTACTCTTCTAAGCCCTAGATTTGTACACACTCCCTGGAGCTTGGATCTCTATAGATAAGGGTTCTAGGTTTGTTTGTTTGTTTGTTTTTTAAATGTCTTTTTAAATTTTTTATTAATTTTTATGTGTATGGATGCTTTGTGTGCATGTATGCCTGTGTACCACTTGAGGGCAGTGCCCACAGAGACCAGAAGGTGGTAGTGTTGGATCCCCTGGGACTGGAGCTACAGACAGTTGTGAGCCACCATGTGGGTGTCCAATCCTGGTCCTCTAAAAGCAACCAGTGCTCTTCACTACCATGCCATCTCTCCAGCCCAATGATGTCTTTTAGGACCTGGGGATGTGGCTCAGTTGGTAGCATGCATGTCTAACATGCACAAAGCCCTCAGTGCATTCCCCAGCATTGTTTGTATCAGGCATTGTGGCTGTGATCTCAACATTCAAGGAAGGATAAGTTCACGGACCTTGTCTGGTGAAAGGAAATTAAATAGATACATTTTCTAAAGCTTTTTTTCTGGGTGTGGTGGCACAGGCCTTTAATCCCAGCACTCAGGAGACAGAGGCAAGTGTATCCCTGTTGAGTTCTAGGCCGGCCTGGTCTAGAGTGAGTTCAGGCCGGCCAGAGCTACATATAAAGTCTAAAAAGCTTTTATTGGGGCTGAAGTGATGGCTCATTGGTTGAGAGCACGTGCTGCTCTTCCAGAAGACCCAAGTTCAATTCCCATCACACCTATCAGCAGGCTTCCAACCACCTGTGACTCCAGCTCCAGTGAGCTCCAATTCTCTGGCTCTGTGGGCACCTGCACTCATGCGCACACACCCGGACATGATATACGTAATTTAAAATAATAAAAATAAATCTTAAAGGTGCTCTTATTTAATTTTTCTGGCTGACACAGTCATGGCAAAAACAGTGTGGAGACTGGAGACAGGCCAGTGGTTAAGAACACTTGGTCCCCTTCAGGGGACCCAGGTTTAGCCACTAGCACCCTAGCTCATGGCCACCTACAACACAGAAATGGGCAACACGGGAAGGCGTGGATCTGCCCACCCAGCCCACCCCTGCTTAGGGCCCTGAGTGCTGGTGCAGAGACTCTCCTACAAGGTCCTTGTTATACAGTGCTTTGGTACTCAGTGTATGTCCCTGGGCTGGTCATTTAACCTGTTTCAAATGTGACTGTGTTAACTTCTGCTCAGGAAGTTAGATAAAGTCGTAAATGCACTCAGCATGTCTTAGCACCTCCATCGATGAAAATGATGACTGTTGAACCTTTGGGAGGACACGAGCCCCCTCAAGTTGGAGGCAAACCCTGACTTTTTGTGGACATGCGTGGGCTTTGTTTTTTTAAAGATTTGTTGATTTTATGTGATGTGTATGTGCACAACATGCATGCAAGTGTCCTTGGAGGCTAGAAGAAGGCATTGGATCCCGTGGACCTGGAGTCACAGGTGGTGTGAGCTGCCACGTGGGTTCTGGGAACCAAGCCTGGGTCCTCTGCAAGAGCAGCAAGTGCTCTTAACCACTGAGACATCTCTCCAGCTCCCTTCCCCCACCTTTTTTGAGGCAGGATCTCATGTAGCCCATGCTGGCCTCTAACTCATTATGTAGCCCGGGCCATGACCTCCCCCTTTCTCTATATCCCAAGTATGTATCCCAGGCATGCACCATCATGGTCAGCCTCACATGAGTTTCCCAGGGAGATGATGAGCTGCTGCAGTCAGAGTCTCAGGGGCTCTGACCCTGACCCGCCACCATGGATGGCAGTTCTGACCCATTCCCACCACCTGTTCCCCAGGCTGCCCAGAGGAAGTTGCGCCAGGCCAGCACCAACGTGAAACACTGGAATGTCCAGATGAACAGGCTCATGCATCCGATTGAGCCAGGAGGTGAGGCTTCCCTGCCTTGGGATGGACAAAGGGAGACTTCCAGGTCTGCTGGGCCACGGAGGCGGAACTGAAGGTCAAAGGTCTCCCTCTCCCAGGGCTAAGGCAAGACCTTCACTTCTCCCTTGCAGCTCACTTTCCTCCTTCCTACCTCTCTTCCCTCTGCCAGATAAGCGTCCGACCACCAGCAGCTCCTTCACCGGCTTCCAGCCCCCTCCACTTGCCCGCCGGGACTCCTCTCTAAAGCGCCTGACCCGCTGGGGTTCCCAAGGCAGCAGAACCCTTTCAGGCAACAGCAGCGAACAGAAGTCCCTCAATGGTGGGGATGAGACTCCCATCCTGGCTTCTGCCTCTCAGGAAGATAAACTGGATCCGGCACCAGAAAATTAGCTTCTGATGACTCCTGTTCTTCTGATGCTGTGTCTACTAGGGCCCGGCTACAGCGGGCCTGAGGGTGACTCCAGCCTCTGTGAGAGGTCCTGGGGATACAGCCCAGGCCTGCCAACCAGAAGCTGGTACAAGATAAGGTGTGGTTGGCATTCTCACAGGGCCCAGACCGTAGAGGCTGTCTGGGGTATTAATACTTGAAACTATGGTTCTGTGCCTCAGCCTCAAGGACCCTGTGACCAGGGCTGGGAAAGAAACTAAACAATTTAGACAAAGGTCATCTGCCCCCAAAGGTTATCTGCCCTCTCCCCTGCCCAGACTACCAGCAAGTCATGGAGGCATACTTCCAAATAAAACTGCTCACATCTGCCCACTGCTCCTGCCCCTCTCTGTCCCTTTCTCAAGTTCAAGTTCAAGGTCCCAGAGGCAGCAGGTGTGGTGAGGTGGTTAGGAGTATGGACTGTGGGTTGAACCTGGCTCTGCCACTTTTTAGTGGGTGAACTTCACTCCCCATGCTGGTCAATGGAGATGATCACAGTCCCCATGGAGAGGGCCTGTGAGGAGCAAAACTCGCACTCATATTTAATGATGATAACACTCATCATTAGTGTTATCTGAAGTGTTTATTGAGCATCTGTTGAGTGCCTGGAGGACACCTACATTTCCTCATTCCCATAGCACCCCTAAGAACCACAGGGTTACTCTATCACAATACTAGAGGCACAGGCAGATTGGGTAATTTGTCTGAAGCCTTCCAAACTTGCTTTTCGTACCATGTTCTCTGAACACAGACCTTGCTCTCTCAGACGAGAGATCTGAGAGTCTAGACTCCATAAAGTTGGCATCCGTTTTCATGCCCCTCATCGCAAGCCTAGGACTGCTCACCTTTATGGTCTTGTACCTCTTTCTAGTACGCTTTAAATTGTTATCCCGCTTGCTCATGTGTTGAATGCTTGTCCCCATCTAGGGGCACTGTTTTGGGGAGACTGTGGAGCCTGTAGCAGGTGGGACCCACCTGGGAAGTGGGTCACTGTGAGGCCAGCCCTGGTTCTTCTCTGCTCTCTGTTGCCTGTGTTGCCAGAATGTAAACCGAACTGCTTCGACATGCTGCCCTGCTGAGATGGAGTGAGCCCTCCCACACCTAAGCAGAAAGAAATCTTTCCTCCCTTGGGATGCTTGTGGCGGGCACTGTCACGTGACACAGAATAACTAATGTGCCCTCCTTTCCCATCCTCATAGCTGCTCAGTGTGAACCATTGACGGTTTGGCCCCATGTTAAATAAATCGCCAAGCCCGATCAACTGGATGCTTTGGGCCACTCTCAAACCCACCCCAGTGGTGCTGTATCCAGGGGCCACTGCCTCATGCTGGTCTTTGTCAGCTCCTAATTAAGTAAGAACTTCACTGAGTCTCCTTTCCAGTCATGCTGTCTGGATGAGATTTCCAAAATGCAGGTGTGATTGTGACTCTTTTTCCTTTCCAGCTCCTTGGTGCTGTCTAAAAGGGTTTGTTGTTATTGTTTGAGACGGGAGCTCACTCTATAGCCCAGGATGTCCGCCAACTCAGCATGTTCCTGCCTGAGTCTGTCAAGTGCTGGGATTACAGGTAGACACAACCACACTTAGCTACATCCAAGAGTTAATTTAGTGTGTGTGTGTGTGTGTGTGTGTGTGTGTGTGTGTGTGTGTGTGTGTGTTTGTGTGTGTGTATGTAGTGGGTAGCTGTTTCAGCTTTGACCTGGAAGTACCACCCCCATTGAGGCTTCAGTAACTGTCACGCTGGAGGTAGACCGAGCAGCGTTCTCCAGAGAACACCGCTGAACTGTGCTTCGCCTTTCTCAGACCCTGTAACCTATCCCTTCATTTGTAAGTTACCCCACAAAATAGACCTCCCTTTTAACTACGTGGAGTTGCCTTAATATTTCAACCAATATCTGGCGCCCAATGTGGGGCACGAACCCACGACTCTGAGATGAAGAGTCTCAGCCGACTGTCCAGGATCCAGGAACCAAGAGAGCTGGCCCATCTGGATCTCGGGTCTTCAGGGGTCCTGTCTCAGCTTGTAGGTGTGACAGTTACCGAAGCCTCAATGGGGGTGGTACTTCCAGGTCAAAGCTGAAACAGCTACCCACGACGTGTGTGTGCAATGGTGGTGTGTAGCGGTCAGAGGAAAACTTTCAAGAGTCAGTTCACTCCTTCTAACACGTAGCCCCAGGAATGAAACTCAAGTCACCAAGCTTGGCAGCATGCACCTACTACCCACTGAGCCATCATCCTGGACTTGCACTGTGAGTTTTGACAGTCAAGTTTGCCTGCCCCGCTTCCTTGTGGGAAATGAACCCAGGAAGACTTGCTACAATTTCGCCTCAGGGATCTAGGCTTAGCTTTCTCTTCCTCCTAGGTCTCACCACGGCTGTCCTTTCTCCTCAGTTCATGTCATAGCATTTGTAACTAAGTGCTGGCATTCCTTGAAGGCAAAGACTTCAGTTCTCCAATGCTGTCCCCAGCACCTGGCCCAGGGCTTGCTTTTGAGAAATCTGTGTGACAAACGTGTATTGAATGGATGTGATGCAGGACTGGGTGTGGCTCAGTTAGCACATGATGACAGAGTGGAGACTGGAGTTCAAGCCCATCCCTCATCCAATTCAGTGAGTCAGGAGGATGGGCCAGGTTTGACGTTTGGTGCGAGCTATTATCTAGAAAGGGTTCCTGCCCTCCTGGAGCTGGCTTGCTATCTGATCACAAAGTTCACAGCAAGTGAACCTGGTGCTCTTTCAAGGAAGTTTGTGACATTTAAAGTGTCACAAAAACAGCTGCTAGCACAAGAGGGTGCAGAGGTGAGGGCTGGTGGGGGAGTCCAGACTCCAAGTGCTGTGGGGATAACTGGGGCCGAGGGACGCTTACGGTGGCGCTGGGACTTGAGGCTGCCCTGGATGCTGTCTTGTTCCTGCAGTGCTGAGGATGGAAGCCAGGGCCTTGTGAACGTTCCCTCACTGCTCACTGCTCAGGGGAAGCCCTCCCTCACTCTTCTTTTGTTTATTTTATTTTTTTTTTTAAATACGTGTTGTTGCTGTATGCTGGGCTGCCCTCAGACTCACTCTGTAGCCCAGGCTGGCCTCTCACTCACAGTCTGCCCGACAGCCTCCCACACACTGAAATGTCAGGTGTGTGCCACCAAGTCACCAAGCCCTCAGTGTCCTACACATATGAAGGAGACCAGGACAGCACTCAATAAATAGGTCTGAAGAAGCACTGAGTATCTAGGGGTACAAGAAAGCTGAACTCTGGGCCCCATATGGGGCTGTAATTCCAGCCCTGAGGGGCAGGAGGAGGCATGGAGGCAGGTGGATCAAAAGTTTGACAAAAATAAAGGGGAGTGGGAATATACAGATGAAGAAAAAAACTTTTAAGCCAGTCTGATGTACATATCAAGTCTCCATCTCAAAACACACACACACACACACACACACACACACACACACACTGGCATGCGCACTCAGGATTCAGCTGTTGGAGGGCATAGGACTGATGGATTAATGTCCTTCTGATTGGAGAAGGGAATCTATAGTGTGCAAAGAGTTGGGAGAAAATCAGTTTGTCAGTTCCCGAGTGCTATGTACGGAAACCGTTTTCCTGTTTTCAACCTCACCTTCTCTGCTTTCAAAAGGAAGGCTGGCCATCCTTTCACCCATTCATTCTCTTGCAAGAGTGGACTATCCAGGAGAAGCAGGAGTTCGAAGTCCCTGGAAGCGGTCCTCTGACCTCATGCTCTGCTCTTTATAGTACATGTGCACTTGCACACGTACACACACTAATGATAAATAAACTGATAGAGGCAAGAGGATCAGAAGTTCAAGGTCATCCTTGGCTACATACAGAGGACGTTTGAGACCATCTTGGAGTATGTGAAACCCTGTGGGTCTCAAAACAGTAATGAGACAACAAAACAAAAACAGGAAAAGGGGGAAATATGATAAAAATCAAATAACTTCTGGGCAAGGTGGCACACGCCTTTAGTCCCAGCACCTGAAAGGCAGAGGCAGGTGGATCTCTGGAAGTTCCAGGGCAGCCTGGTCTACATTGGGAGTTCTAGGACAGCCAGGAACATAGTATGTCACCCCACCCCCTGCCCCACACCATCTAAACAAAACAAAACACAACACACACACACACACACACACACACACACACACACACACACACACACACACACACACACGAAGAAGGAGGAGGAAAGAAAAGTAACAGAAGGCCTGCTTAAGAGAGTCTTGAAAACTAGACAGAGTTGACTGATTGAGTTGATTAGCTGATTTCCAAATCTTTATTATCTTTTTTGAGACAAGATCTATAGCCCAGGCTTGTTAGGAACTTGAGATCTCAATCTGCCTCAGCCTTCCCAGAGCTGGGATGACAAGCATGTACCACCATGACTGACTAAATCATCAACCATATGTTGATAAAGTTTGTTGTTTGGGGGTTGTTTATTAAGCCAGGGTCTCATATAGCCCAAACTGACCTGGAACTCACTGTGAGGCTGAGGCTGGCCTCGAACTCCTGCTCCTTCTGCCCCTACCTCCCAAGTGTTGGGTTGTAAGTGTGTACACCGTCATACATGGCTAAGGTGAGTTTGTGTTCCTGCCATGCTGTGATCACATGGGGCCTTCCTACATCCCAGCCCTACGAAGAATTTAGACTCGAGATCACCAACTATCCCCTGTGCCTCGGTTTCCCCAGTGGGCTCTCCAGCGTCCTGGGGTGAGGCATGGGCAAGCACTGATGGTTGAGGTATGATGTAACAAGGACAACCACATGATGGCTGAATGTAATCTAATTTTGAGCAGCATGGTCGTCTTGGGGGCCAGAAGATATCTCCTAGTTTTTAGTCCCAAGGCTAGAAAATAACTCCTGCTGGGTGGCAGCAATGGTGTACACCTTTAATCCCAGCACTTGGGAGACAGAGACAGGCGGATCTCTGGTCTACAAAGTGAGTTCCAGGACTGCCAGGGCTATACAGAGAAACACTTGTCTTGAAACAATAAATGAATGAATAAAATAATTCCCCTATCCTGTCCAACATCTTGAAAGGAGAGTGTGTCCTGTTCCAGACGTCCTCATACCCCCCAAACTCTGGGGATCCCACAGGAAACAACCATTGTGGCCCCAGGTTCTCTACCTCGGTGTGGCTTCTGTGTAAGGATGGGTGGGGACACAGGATGGCGTGCCTCAGGCATGTTAGACCTTGTTGTCAGGGGGCCACCCAGACCTGGCAAGTGGCTGCTTTGAATTGCTACTCTTGCCCCTGGGGCTGCAGAGAAAGAGGAAGGAGGGGATTGATTCCCAAGAGTCAGCATGCGCCACCTGCAGGCCAGAGGTGGGCACAGCTCTGAGAGGGACGCTAGCTGACAAGCTCCGCGGACACTGGGCATCTCCGGGCAGGTCTGGGGAGCTGAGACCCCTGGCTCCCTTCAAAGGGCCATAAAAACTTGGCGGGAATCTGCTTTTCCCACCCAGCTGCCCCAAAGGCAAATCTAGCCAACAGGAAGATTTGGGAGCACTGTTTCAGGCAGGGTTGTGATTCAAGTAACAGAACCAGACTGATTGAATTATTATTTAACTGTTTATGGAGGCGAATGAGTTCAGCATGGCACACGTGTGGAGGTCAGAGGACAAGCTGCAGGAATCAGCCCTCTCCTGGGACCGTGTGGGTCCTGAGGAGGGGACAGGTCACAGGCTTTACCAACAGGCACCCCTACCCACTGAACCATCTTACCAGCCCATAAACAGAATACTTAAGAACCCAGAAGGGAACAGGTGAGATGGCTCAGCGTGCAAGGGGGCTTGCGGACAAGCCTGGCAATCTGATTTCAAGCCCCAGGACCCACATGGTGGAAAGACTGACTCCTGTAAGATGTGTCCTGACCTTCGCACGTGTGCACAAGCACGCGCACACACATACACACACACACACACACTTGTGCAGGCAAGTAGACACACGCACGCACACATGCACACCCCTGAGTGCACACATGTGCACACACACACACACACACACACGAGAGAGAGAGAGAGAGAGAGAGAGAGAGAGAGAGAGAGAGAGAGAGGACAGAAGTGGTGTGGGAATCTCAAATCCAGAGCGCTGAGGATGTGGTGTAAGCAGGGCCTGAAGAGGGCAGAGGTAGCCTTTAATGGAGGTGTAGAGGAGGGAGGTACCTGCTGACTGTTCCTGCCAGTCAAGTTTTGTTCATACCAAGATGATGAAACCAGCTCCTGCCAGATTGCCTTCTGGCTACATACCCTCTTAGGGTACATGGTAAGAGGCAAGTTGGGATGAGAGGTCCTTCTTCTAGACAAGATCAGGGTTTCCTCTGTCAGGGAAGGCAGCACCCCGCCTCTGACTTAGGTGGACACAAGGTCCCAGGACCATGAATTTCCAGTGACAGAGATCTCAAGAGGGAAGAAAGTTCTTTTTGAATTTACTTTCCCGTTGGGGAGGATCTCACACAGCCCAGGCTGACCTAGAACTGCTTTCTACATAGCTAAAGATGATGTGGAACCTTTGGTATTTCTTCATCCACCGCCTGAATGCCAGAGTTACAATGTCGCCATACCTCCCAGTTGTTTCTTTTTAATATTATTATTACATTTTTTTTTTACTTATAGTGTGTGTGTGTGCACGCGTGTGCATGCATGGGTGTGTTGTAGAGGTCAGAGGATAACCAGGGACTGAATTCAAGTTATCAGGCTTGAAGGCAAAGCATGATTACCTGCTGAGTCATCGAATGAACCACCAGTTTTCTTCTCAAATTAAAAAAAAAAATACTGGAGGGCTGGAGAGATGTTTCAGTGGCGAAGAGCACCGGCTGCTCTTGGAGAGGACCGCTGTTCCATTCCGAGCACCCACGTGGAAGCTCTCCATTGGCTGTAACTCCACTTGTAGGGATCCAACGCCCTCTTCTGGCCTCTGCTGGCACTTGCACGCACATAGTGCACAGACACGCAGACAAAACTCTCAGGTATACAAAAATAGACAAATACTTTAAGAATGGGTCTGTGTACGTATTTTCATTCCCAGGTCTTTCATCCCCCCGCGCTCTGCCCTCGAACTCTTTCGAATATTACAGTTTGCCTCTACTCCTTGCCCCGTCGCCCTTAGCTTTGCTTCTTTCAAAGCCACACAAGTCCGTGCCTAGTTTCTCCTCGGGAAGAGCGAGGAGGCTGTACTAGATGACCTCCACCTTCTTTCCTCTCCTTAAATTTCCTTTTGTAAGACTTGCGGGACTCGTTCTACCTGCCCTAGCTTCTCCCCAGAGCCTTCCTTGAGCTGCTGCTCCCACATCGGACTCCAGAGGGCGCTGCCGACGCGCCAGGGGGGCAGCAGTGCGGTGGGCGGAGCGATGGCCCCGGCGGCGCGGCGATTGGTTGCTGCCCTGGGGGAAGAGGGCGTGACGAGTGCCTGGCGGAGGGGCGGGGGCGGGAGCGAGCGGCGCGGTGACGTCAGCGAGGCGGGGGCGGGGCCGGGGCTGGGAGCGTGTGACGCCGCAGGCCGCGGCGGAGCTGGGGATTAATGGGAAAAGTTTTGGCAGGAGCTGGGGGATTCTGCGGAGCCTGCGGGACGGCTGCGGCGGCGGCGCGGGAGGCGACCGGGACAGGTCCGTGCGGGTCGGGAGAGGCCAGCGCGGCCCGGGCGGAGGTGAACGGTGGGGTCGGGGCTCCGGAGGCTGCGTTCCGCGGGGCTGCGGCTCCTCCACGCTCGGCCTGGGCGCTGAGGCTCCGCCACCGGGGTCCACAGTACGGAGACCTCTGTGGCTGCTCCAAGCCGACATCCCTGCCGCCTCCTACCCACCCTGACCCCCTCTGGGGCCCCGTGGCTTCATCTCCTCCCGATTCCACGAGAACCCCATCTTCACCTCCCTTCTGACCTCTTCCCGAGCGCCTCCCTGGTGCCCCTCTACCCAGCCCTCTTTGGAGATCCTCCTGCCTCCCTCGACAGCCTCTCATCCTTGTCCTGTCGGTCGTTGCTCTCTGTCCCCATCCCCGTCCCCTGCTTCTCCGGTTGCCTGATCCCTCCCCATCTTCCCTAGGATGTTGTGAGCCCGTCCGGTTTATCCGAGCCTCTTCTGTCCTGGCGGCCCGCAGAGGCCCTGCTTTAGCACGGCTCTGATTTCCTTGGGAGCAGTCCCGTCCCTGTCACCTCTTGTCACCCGACCGCTGCGCTTCTAGGTTCTTTGCCTCTGCTTCGGGGTGAACGCAGAGGTACACGATAGGCTTCCGTTTTACCTTCGGTGGAGATGGGAGGGCGGCAGAATGGGGTGTTGACCATTCTTGACAAGGTTTGTTCGAGTGGGAGGGTTTACTGGGTGTTGTACTGAGAGGGATGCCCAGTTGTTAGGCCCTGCTAATCTCAGCTTTACAATACTTCCCCTTTATGGGTCTGTTGACTTCCAGGAACCCTTGGGGAGAGACAGCTCTGAGTTGGATGTGTGCCAGCGGTAGCCGGAGGCCTCATATAACTCTTTTCCCCTTCCAGGAAATAGGATTCATTTGGGATATTATGGAGCCCATTTAAACCATGATACTTAAAGCTATCTGTCCTCACTCCTCCCTTCCACGCACTGCCCTATCTCAGAGAGCTAGGAGAAGTCTCCAGAAGCCATGCCCAGGGATGACTTTGGTCTTCAACTTGGGTTTTCTTCCCTGTACAGGCTCTAAAAAGCTTTTTTGTTTAAAAGTTGCATTTATTTATTTATGTGGGGTGTGGATATGGGGTGAGGTGTAGGTGTGTGGAGGTCAGAGGACAAGTTACTGGAGTTGGGAGTTGGTTGTCTCATTCTATTGTGTGGGCCCTGGAAATAGACTCAGGACATCAAGGCTTGGTGGCAAGCACCTTTACCCGCTGAGCCCCTTCACCAGCCCCAGAATACATTTCCCTCTCCCTGTTTTTTAATGGATTATGGGCCTGCTAGCCCTGGGGCTGTTGGGTATCTACACCCTTTAGTCATGATGCCTTGACTAAAGGCCACTGGATTTCTGTCCTCTGTCTCTCACTGATGGAATGAGCCTTACATGTTGGTCACTGGACGTGGTCTCTTGGTACCTTTTCTTCTTCCATTTCCTGGACAGCTTCATTTCCTGTGGCTGGGAGAGGCAGCTGACGTGGTTCCTTTTGCCCAGGTGTGGTCTGGGGTATTGCCTTGGTATCTGCCTGGGCAAGCTATGGGATTGCACCAGTGAGGCCTTGCAAGGAACTTGAGCTGTCTGCTTCCAGGCACATGGATCATTGTCTCGGGTGTGTCTGGGCTTGGGCACCTTTATTTGGCCCTGGACCCCTGGAGACATCCTCAGGAAAGAATGTATACCCCGTTTTTACCCCTCGTGATCTTGGCAGACCCTGGAAGTGTCACCCACTCTCATATTAGAAGCGGGAGCCCCTCGTTACTCTGGCACCATGTCTTTAGCTTCCTCTTGTGAGGGTTGCACTCTGTCTTTGAGCCAGAATTGGCCACAGGACAGGCAGCCTTCTGGAGCCACAGCAGGGAGCCAACAGAACCAGCCCGACCGGACCTTACAGTTTTGTAATCTGGTGTACACTGACCCTTTTCCATGGAAAGCAGTACGGTCGTGGCTGGCCTGTGGTTGAGCCTGGCTCCTCTCTACAGGTCCCCAAGCCCCCTCTGCACTGCTGGATTCGGAGGAGTGGAGCAGAGAGTAGGTTAGAAGAAATCTTTTCTTTCTATGAAAAACATCCATAAAGGTTTTATATATATATATATATCTTTATTTTATTTATTTATTTATTTATTTATTTATTTATTTATTTATTTATTTATTTATTTATTTATTTTGTTTTTCGAGACAGGGTTTCTCTGTGTAGCTTTTGCGCCTTTCCTGGGACTCACTTGGTAGCCCAGGCTGGCCTCGAACTCACAGAGATCCGCCTGGCTCTGCCTCCCGAGTGCTGGGATTAAAGGCGTGCGCCACCACCGCCCGGCTATATATATATCTTTTACATCTATTTATTTATTTGTTTTTGTGTGAGTGTGTGGGACAAATTTTGGGAATTAGTTTTCTCTGTTGTATGGGTCCCAGGGATTGAACTCAGGTCATCAGGCTGGGTGGCAAGAACCTTTGCCCTCTGATTCACCCCCTCTCCCCCCTTTAAATTTGAGACAGTATCACTCTGTAACCCAGGCTGGCCTTGAGTTCACTTTGTAGCTCAGGTTAGCCTCCTAACTGGTGGCCGTCTTCCTGCTTCTGTGTATTATTGAGTGCTGGTATTACTGGGCTACATCACCCCACCTGAGTCATTTTTGAGGGGTGCAGTTGAGTGCTTGGCAATGATTAGTCCGGTCTCTGGCTCCCCAGAGACTCTGTTTGACACTCTTTTGGTGCATGTATCTGTGCACCACATCTGTACTTGGTGCTGTGTGCCCTCAGAGGTCCGAAGAGGGCGTTGGAGCTGCTCCAACTGGAGTCACAGATGGTTGTGAACCACTCTGTGGGTGCTGGGAATCGAACTTGGGTCTTCTGCAAAAGTAGCAAGTGCTCTTAACCTCTGAGCCATCTCTCTAGCCCCCTACCTAACACCCTTGAGCAGTCTGCCGCTGTCCTGTCTTTGCGTAACCAACAATCACAGCGCTCTGTGCTGAGGCGGTGCATGGGAGCCTTGAGCAGAGCACAGGGCCAGTCCAGGAAGAGCCTCGAAAGTCCTAGCAGCGCTGGCCAGGTAGCCTCCTGGGGCGCATCCATTCTGCAGCCTTCAAGGGAATAGTCGTTTTCCATTTGGGGATTTTTGCACATCGTGGGTCAATGCCTGTTTTCAAGGTGCGGGTGGACGGGCCCTTGCCAGTGGCATCTCCTGTCACCTACATAGTTCACTGGCTTGACCCCTACCCCCGACTCTGTTTGGAAACTTTTCTTCTTCTTGCCTTTTCTCCGCTGCGCTCTGGGGTGTGCGTCAAGCCCCCCAGGAAAAGCAGCCCGTATCCCTCCTCCCAGCCCCACCTACGGTCCCTTACTCTCTTTCCCAGAGGCCTGGGAGGATAGTCAGTGTGAAGACTAGCCTGGGAAACTGGTAGGCCTCGATTTTGGATAGAACACAGCTGCCTGGCTGCTGTGCACGCTGTCCCCGGGGCTTGAGCTTGGCATGTCCTGGTACAGTGAGGCTCATCTCTTCAGGAGGTGTTAGACCCGTGGCTCCATCAGCTTCAGCTGAGTCCTCTCCTGAGGCCCACCTTCACAGGGTGCTGCTCTCTGCCTGTGTGTGTGTGTGTGTGTGTGTGTGTGTGTGTGTGTGTGTGTGTGTGCTCTAGTGCCCTCCTCTAGTGCCTCTCCGGAAGCCAGCAGTGCCAAGGCTAGCCCCATGGTACTGTCCACCTTGGGAGCATCCCTCCCTACCCAGCACTCACACAGGCTGGCATGTCCTGCCAGGCTCTGGCCTGTATTCTGTCCGAAGCCCTGTGCCTAGTGCCCTTGTCTGTGCTGTGCTGTCCCAGATTGCCCTGTGGCCGTTTCTTGGAGATGGTTGGATGTCGCTGAGCATGTTTGCGTGCCATGAGAGCCAGGGGAGGAGTGGCTTGCTGTGGCAGTGGGATTCCAGGGTGCCGGAGGAGAGCTGGGTACTTAGCTGGAGCCTGGCAGGGAATCAGGGCTTCAGCATCAGGTTTCAGGCATGTGGGTCTTCTCCCATGGCCTTCATAACTTGGGGCTGGTGACTGGGGCGTGACTTCAGTCTCTCTGTGTTCCCCTGAGGAATCTCGTGTGACTCAGGGCCTCTCCTTTTATGAGCTGGTGGGGTGTTGGGCACTACCTCTTTTTACCTTGGCAGCTCCTTCCGCCCCACCCAGGTAAGATCAGCAGAGCTGGTGTCTGCTTGCTTGGAAGTGCAGACTCCTTCCAGGATTGGGAAATATTTGCTGACTCAAGCTTAGCTCAACAGCCTCCCAGGGTGTGTGTGTGAGGTCACATGGGACCACTGGTTTTTGCGTCCCAGTGTTCCGTTTCCTAGCGCTTTGTTTTGGGCCCTGGCACCACTCAGTGATGGACCATGGCTCTTTTCTGTCTTGCAGAGCTGTGCAGTGGTGTGGGTATGCACGTGGCACTCACTCAGTGGCTCCTGCTCACCGACAGATGAAGACGAACCCACGGTAAAGGTAAATCCCACTTCACTGACTCGGGTGTCTGGCTGAGGCCACTGGCTCCACATAGGCGCCAGGCCTTGTGGGATTCCGCAGGCTGAGTCCCGATCACAGCTCCCTATCACAGCTTCTGCACCATCCCTTAACGCGTAGTGGGAGTGGGCACTCCTTAAGGAGTCATCTGTTGTGTGTGGCGCATGTAGGTCTTTTAGGAGTGTGGAGTGTGGTACCTTTGTACCCACTGAAAAAGAAACTCCACAAAAACAAGGACTTACTCTTGCTCCTCTTGTGTCTCAGGGACTCCGTGCTACAGAGGGTAGTCAGTGTTTGTCGAGTGACTAAATGAACACTCTTTCTTCTCTGCCATGTGGGTGCAGTGGGTCACCAAGATGCCGTGCATCGTTTTCTTCCACTTATGCCGTAGATGTGTTGCTGTTTGGTTTCTTGGAGACAGAGCCCGGATTTGTAGCCAGGCTGGTCTAGAACTCCAGATCCCCTTGCTTCTCTTTGGCAAGTGCTAGAACTGGGTGTGTGTGCCATCACATCTGCTCAGGGACATGATGGAGACGTTTAATCCCTGTTCCCAGGTCTATGGGGCAGAAATGGGGGCTCTTCCTTCTCTGCTGGGTGTCTGAGCCCTCAGCAGAATCTCACAATGCTTTGGGCTTCCCATGCTGTTTCTCTGTTCTCAGGACGCCTGGCAGGTTCTAGAAACTCTCAGAAGGGGCACCCCAGGGAGTTTGATGGTCATTGTCTTGACGGTTGCGCAGGCTGGGTCACGGCGGGTCCCTGCTGGGGGCCGGGGGAAACCTGGCTCCGTTTTCATCTCTGATGTCCAGTGGATCCAGGAGCTGTTGTGGCCTCCACTTCCCTTTCTCTGCCTTTTACACCCGGCGGATTTTCCTGTTGCCAAGCAGGGTGGCCAGCCTGGAGCTGTGTGTCCGTCCTAGGGCTCAGGTTGTTTGTGGATCCTTCTGGAAGGTCTGGGGCAAGAGCCCCTGCAGTTCTCAGACCCACATTCAGAGGAAGAAGGGGGTAGAGGCTTCTGAAGGTCTCAAATGGGATGAGGAGGAAGTCTTCCAGGCTGGGAGAGCTGCTGAGCTGCACTGATTTCTGTCACGTGAGCAGCGACAATGGCCGCAGTTCAGCCTGAGCCTTGTCTCCTCCCACCACGGAGGCTCAGCTCGAGCTCCATCTCATTTTTCTGTACAGATCTCAAGAGTCTGTGGCTGCTGCCTCTTAAGCCTTCTTAGCGCTTCCTTGGGTCCGGGGCTGTGACAGGTGCTTCAGACACAGTCTTCAGCTGCCACCCTGCTTCCAGGCGTGAGGAGCCTGGGTGAAGGGAGAAGACAAGCGTAGGATAATTTTTCAGATTTTAGGGAGCTGCCAGGTGCCAGAGTGTGATGGTCAGTGGGTTTATCTTTAGATGGCGTCCCGAGGGCCAAACGAGAGCGCTGGGCTTTGAAATCACCATGCAAAGTAGGAGTTTTCAAACTTCTGACCTCAGCACACACACCCCACCCCCCTACACACACACACACACACACACACACACACACACACACACACACACACACACCTCTTTTTTGACCCTCTGTAGACCAGGCTGGCCTCAAACTCACAGAGATCTCTCTGCCTCTGCCTCCAGGGTGCTGGGATTAACGGTGTAAGCCACAACATCCAGCCACCTTTGTTTTAAAGTTACATTTGTGTGTGTAACTTTGGTCTGTCTGTGTGCTTGTGCGCATGGGCGCACCGTGTGTGTATGTGGGGGTCGGAGGACATCGGCTGCTCATAGCATAACTGGCTGGGCTCTGAGCGCAGACATCCCAGAGCAAGAGCTGAAGGGATGGTAGGCCTTCTCATGACCGGGTCTCATCCCTTCTGCTCTTTGGGTCACAGGACCAATTGAGACCAAAGGAAGGGTGACACCAAGGTATATGTAGGAGAGACATGGAGAGGGAGAGGCCTCTGCTGTGGGGAGGTCACCTGGCCTGCACACGAGTCACTTGTAGAAGGAAAGTACTGGAACAGACCTGTTAGGAATTCACTGGTAGGTACATCGAGGACACTGAGTCACGGGGAAGGTGTTTCCATCGTGTGTGGGCGGTGGGGAACCACTGATAGTTTTGGAGCAGGAGTACTAACGTTGCAGAAGGTGCTAGAACAGAGAAAGAATGGAGGTGGAGGATGGAGGACCAGTCCAGGGGTCTCAGTGGAGGAGGGAGGGCCTTCCTCGTCCTCGTCCTCGTCCCCATGGGTGCAGTGGCCTGCACTGACTTTGATCTGCCCACCAGTCATTGAAGTACCCAGGGTGTGAGGGGGGTCTCCAGCCCCACTCAGGGTTACTGATGCATGGGAGAAATTAATTAAAGGGTTTATACACGTCAGAAGGCCGCTGCATTCAAGCTTTATTGTCAAGGCTAAGGCACATAAAAAGCTAAGCATTTTATTAAAAAAAAAAAACTGAAAAACCAGGCAGACGAAATAAATGTTAATAGCAGTAATTGTTTCAAGTGTGCTTAAGTTTCGGGACCACTAAGAGGCAAGGATGGGGGCTGGAGGTGGCTCAGTGGTTAAGAACACTTGTTCTTCCTGGGTTCTGTCCCGGAACCCACGTGGTAGCTCACAACTGTTTGTAACTGTCCATAACTCCGGTTCCAGGTGATCCAATGTCTCACCTTTGAGGGACCCAGGCATGGAAGTGCCACCAAGGCATAAACGAAGGCAAAACACTTATAACATAGTCATAACATAAATGGATCTTAAAGAATATTTTTAAAAAGCAGGGACAGTAGCCAGGTGTTGCTAAAATTTCCTTGAGAGATTGGGACACTCTTGCCACGGTCCCACTGACAACCAATGTGTGATTCCACCAGCTTCGCTTTTATCAGGCTTACTTACTGAGCTGGTTGATCTCGAAGTGGACACAACAGGTCTGCACTGGTGTGGATGATGGCTCCTTCGTGGCTGTCCCCTCTTCCAGTCCTTCACCACTTGTCCTCTACCTGTTCCCAGAGACCTCGAGACCAGGGCAGATAGGGCAGAATAGCACACGTGTGGCTGGGTACTCAGGTGAGGGTCCCATGACCCTCCCTCCTCCCGCCTCCCTCCTCCCAGGAAGGAACTTGACATTCTACAAGCCCAGCTGCGATGATTCTTGGCTGATCCTTGGCGGGCTGGTCCTGACAGACTCCTGAAGGTGGCAGCAGTGTGGGCTGCAGGCCAGTCCTGTGTGGGACAGGCATGGGGCCACAGGCCTGGAACCCAGGTACATGGGGGCGGAGGCAGGGGGATCACGACTTCAGGGAGTTTGACGCTGGCCTGGGCTTCATGGGACCAAGCCTCAAAAACAAAAGGAAGAAGGCGTGAGAAGAGCCAAGAGGGAAGCCATGTTGGGGAGTGACAGTGAGGGTCCAGGGTCAGAAAGCAGACTGTAGAAGGGACTGAAGAAGGACAGGCTCTCCTGGGCTTCGCCCCCACAGTCAGCAGCCCTGTTCCGAGCCGTCCTTTGTCTGAAGAGGCCTGTGTGGATTTGGTGCAGGCCGACGGAGAGTGCTCTTAGCTCTGCGTTAGCCATGCCTTACGGTTGAGTGTCCTCGGCCTTCATCAGCCTCTCTGCGAGGATTGGAAGGAACCACAGCCCCCATGTGTCCCCTTCTGTGAGCTGGGTTCTGAATGTTGAGGGAGGGACTTCCTGAGGCAGCTCCTCTCCCCGTTCAGGAGCCAACTTTTGAACAGTCTTTACCACCTGTCACACGGCCTGGGGCCAGGGCAGCACACAACAGTACCCCTCTCTCGCGTTCTTACCCCATCCTCCGTACCTTGTGTCAGCCCAGCCCGCTCGGTCGTGTCTCGGCAGCTCTCCTGGGACCGTTACTGAGTTCTTTACAGCTTATCTGGATGCAGCTTGGAAAGCTGCTGTCCTTGGAGGAGCTGCCTGGCACTGAACTCTCTCCTCTGTCCTTATGCTAATGGGTGTCCTGTATGAGACTGCCACGGCTTTCCTGTATGATCCTTGGCACAGCCTTGGCACTTCCTGTGTCCAGGAGTCCGTGACCTTTGAGGCTCAGAGAACTTGGCCTCCTCACACCAGCTGCGCAGGCCAACTCTCCCAACTGGCAGCGTGGCTGACTAGACCTCTCACCTCACAAACTCTGTGCTGGAATTTTCTGGAACCCAGAACTCTACACATCTCCATTTCCAAACAAGTGAAGTTTGCTTTGCCCCAGTGTCCTTGAATGCCTAAACTAAAGCATTTCTGGGCTTGTGACTAATTATCTTCTCCTCTGCCTCTGCTTCAACATTCTTGAGTACAGGCTGGTTCCTCAGCCTTCTGGGTGTATTGGGAAGTTAGTGATCTTCTGTGTGTTGGGGAGGGGGTGGTCAGCAATACCTGGCTTCTGTCCACTGGAGGCTGGTGACACTGCCCCTCTCCAGCTGTGGGAACCTAAGAAGGTCTCTAGACGTCGCCAAGTGCACCCTTGGGGCCACAATCAGCCTATTCAGTGTCTCTGGCCAGCTGGGCACACTGGATAAGGAGAGCAGATAGTCCTTGTGTGGGACTTCTGGTCACCTCACCAGGTGCTGGGCGGCTTTGGGAAGGTGGGAAGTGGTTTACAAAGAGTAGCATGCCCCGGTGATGGCCACAGCAGAGAGTCACCTGTCCAAGACACACAGCCGTCTCCAGGCCACAGGTCTCTGGCTGTGCTTTTCCAAACCGTTTAGTGTCTGCAGAAGCCACGTTCCTGGGACAGTTGGTGACATTTGCTGTGACATTGCCATGCACTGACCCATCTCTGGTGTCTTCATGGCCAAGGATCTGGGCACCCTGACCTCTCTAAGCCCTCTACCCTAGATCCGCCTGGCTCTGCCTCCCGAGTGCTGGGATCAAAGGTGTGCGCCACCACCACCACCGCCGCTGCCTGGCTCTTCACGTCAGCGCCCATCCTGCAGAGCAGGCTTCAGGAGCCCTTGGGGAGGTGGGAGGAAACCCCTTTCCTTCCACAGAAGTC